TTGTGGTGCCCTTCCGTCAATTTCTTTAAGTTTCAGCCTTGCGACCATACTCCCCCCAGAACCCAAAAACTTTGATTTCTCGTAAGGTGCCGAACGGGTCATTATAGAATCCCGTCCGATCCCTAGTCGGCATAGTTTATGGTTAAGACTACGACGGTATCTGATCGTCTTCGATCCCCTAACTTTCGTTCCCTGATTAATGAAAACATCCTTGGCGAATGCTTTCGCAGTAGTTAGTCTTCAGCAAATCCAAGAATTTCACCTCTGACAGCTGAATACTGACGCCCCCGACTATCCCTATTAATCATTACGGCGGTCCTAGAAACCAACAAAATAGAACCACACGTCCTATTCTATTATTCCATGCTAATGTATTCGAGCAAAGGCCTGCTTTGAACACTCTAATTTTTTCACAGTAAAAGTCCTGGTTCCCCCCACAGCCAGTGAAGGCCATGAGGTTCCCCAGAAGGAAAGGCCCAGCCGGACCAGTACTCGCGGTGAGGCGGTGAAGTGAGATACCTTGAAGAGATGTGAGATGTGTTCTACTGTGAATCTTGAAGCGATATGTCTTACTACTGAATCTTGAGGACTGTGTCTTGCTGGAGTCTGGTGTTTTGTTTGGCGCCTTTGTCGCCAGTTTACTATCAAATGTTTGTTAATTTCAACCTGACCAATTTAGCATGAATTGATTATCTTTCTTTCGAAATGTATACATGTTTCGTATTCATGTTGACGGTGCTAGACGATGCGACACTACTAGACATAGGTTGACTACACTATCACATGGCTTGATTTCTATCATATATCGATGAATGAATAAGCGAGTTCCCATGGGAACAAAGAGGCTGGAGGTTGATCAAAGGGCCAGTCTTGCCGACAGTTCAACTTCAAAAGATCTCATAAGACTGGTCACCAGAGAGCGTCCAGGAACTGTCATGCCAATTCATAGATATTCCTTGACACAGGGCGAACTTGCTCACATGGCCTCCACCTCAGTCTGCCCAGTAAGCTTTCTCTTGCCATCAATACACTTGACCTCCCAGAGAATAACGTTGGTCTTCTTGGTCTCCTTGCCCGATGTCTTATCCGTGGACGTCCACTTACTAAGAACCGCCACCACGCCGTCCGGCTTGTCCGGGTTCTCCCACTGGAGAATAACAGAAAATTCGTCTTGGATTGATGTACTGGAAGCACGGGCGTATTGGAGGCCTGCTTTGAATTCGTCGTAATTGTAAACGTTGTGGTTGATCCTGGTGATGCGGACGGGTCAGGTGTGCTTGTTAGATGAATGGAGCCAGGATAGCGTACCTGACTACCAAGCCTGGATCAACTTGGTCATGGACAGCCTTGAGGGCGATTTCGTCGTTTGGTTGGATAAAAAAAGTATCGTTGATCTGTGTCACCCACTGACTGAGGGATTGCTGCTGGGCGGTCATTTTGGGATGCTACATGTTGTGAGCACATTGTCAAGGTCATTCTTGTGTTTCAGGCCTACCGGATTGATTGTTTGAGCTGGTTGAAGTCACAAGGTGGAGGCATGGACCGTCTTTTATACCTTTTGGCTTCTGGAATCCACAAATCCTTCTTTGGACTTGACCTGGAATCCGTTTCCTGAGGTCCACTAGCGCCTGCGGGTTTGCGGAGTTTCGATCATCACCCTTGGGCCTTGGGGAACTGCTAGGATACATCCGACACCTAGCGGAGGATACCTTGGCTTCATGCCGTGATCTCCGCAACCATATGCCTAATTCTTCTAGAGACGAATCCCGTTCGTATTGTGTGATTCCTGGCTTTAATAGAAATCTTAGCCTTTCCCTTTACCGTTATACGATAGCATTGCCGAAGGTTTCACCGACAAAAAACTAAGGTCTAACCCATCACAGAATGTACATATTGAATTCAGATAGAAGTCATACCGAACCGTACTCAGCTCCCTCTAAACCATATCTAAGATTGTGAGTGTATCCCAGCCATTTCCCGGCTGCCTCTGTCCCCTTTAACATGACCATTATAAGTACACCGAGCTCCTCTAAATCATCCGGCTTCGCCTTTGCTATTGCCTCATCCCAATGCGTCACCCGCACTTCAAGCCACTCCCTCTCACCTTGCGCTCTCTGCCAGCTAATTTCCGACTGCGAATTCCAAAGCGCTGCTTGGGCCGTGAAGCTCACTCGTAGGTCTGGAACCGTGTCTTGGCCGAGTTTCAAGTAACTGTATACTCCTTTCAACATAAAAGCCATGATTACCGTCCGTCGGCTGCTCTCCTCGATCAGCCAGCGTCGCCAGCTCGGAGAAGCGCTTCCCTGCGTAAATTGCGCTTCAATTGGAGCTAGCTGGGGCTGCACTTCACGCGTGCGTGAATTAAGGTGCGAAGCCCACATTAGGAGAACTGGCTCGTCCGCTTCCGCTTGGGCCCTGAGACGAATGTTGCCGTCGAACAGACTTATTATTTGATACAATATCAGCGCTTGCAGAGCTTCAAGTAGATCCAACTTGGAAACAAGAAGGGGGTCGATTTTATCGATCAGCTGTTGTCGTTTGTGCTCTAAGTTGCGGAACACTAGCACTTGATTCTCTGTATTTTTTAAGCAATACAGAGCGCAAGCGCTAAGCGCATCTTGTAAAGCTGGAGGACTTCTGTCTTGAAACAAGCGACGGTGGATAAACATCGCTTGCCCTTGTTGGGAAAATGTCTTCGGAATCGCAGCTAACTTCTTTGCTACAAACTCCACGCGAGCCTGTGGAGCTGTACTCGAGGTGATACACCCGATATCGTTTAGATCTTGCTGAACGGTATTTTCCATGAGAACCTCACGGAGAAAGTCATCTTCCGGTATGCTTTCCAGATTGAATGGGTCGTTAGAAAAGTTGAAGAATGGATTATTTGTGAAAGGCGAGAGAATTGCTGCCGCCGGTACCGCGGGACTTCGCTGCAGTTGCCAATCACTGGCATGGTCCTCCGCAAAGGGCTCCGCAACGGCAATATTAACGTTTACATTGCTTCCAGTAGTTTTCCGCAGGCCGGAATATCGGCCGTTGTATTCGCAATCAGTGTTCTTTGCAAGGCAACGTTGGCATTTGGGTAATCCTTTGTCACATCTTCGCTTGGATTGAGCGCATGCAAGACAAGACTTCCGTGATGGGGGCATCCTCGCACATACTTTTCAATATTGGTGTGCGCTCTTAGGAGTTGCTTGCCACGGTTATCTGTGAAGATGTTACTTAGGGTTTCGCCTAGCCACACCGCTTGCCGTGGGCTAAAATAAGGTTGCGGGTTTCCGCAGCGCGGGACTATCCTCCGCTAGCGGACTTTGGAAACACAGATATGTTGTCCGCAATCTCTGTTATTTACCATTTGATGCCCTGATACAGTCAATTTAAAGTCCGCAGTGGGTTACCGCTTATAAATGCGCATTTTGAATGACTTTTAGAAGCAGAAATGCGAAGGAAGTGGAAGGATTCATATCTATAAAAGCCTCAGCCCTTTCATTGTTATCATCTTTCCCAGCACTGAAGTCTTCTCTCCAAGTCTTCTACCTTCGGAATATTTTAGTTCAGACACAGATCATTCCTTACTCCTTGGCATATTCTCTGTCTGGCATCGAATGACCATGTCTACCACAGTACTGGTCACAGGCGGAAACCGCGGTATGCACCTTTGCTCCTCTTACTAGTACACTTCTCATCAGTTCCACAGGACTTGGCAAAGGCTTCGTGGCTACTTACCTATCTACCCCGAACACCACAGTGGTAGCGACAGTCCGCGATCTATCCAAGTCCGAGTCTTTGTCTGCTCTTCCTAAGGCCTCAGGATCCAGCCTGCTTATTGTCAAGCTTGACTTATCGTCTGCAGACTCTATAGTCACAGCCATAGACACTTTGAAGACGCACAAAATTGGTGCTCTCGACATTGTCATTGCCAATGCTGGGATCTCTGGGCCGACCCGCAGCCTGGCTGAGGCACCTGTCTCTGAGCTCCAAAGGTACATCGATGTGAATGCATACGGCCCATTCGAGCTATTCAAAGCTGTGCTCCCTCTTCTGCGCGCTTCGAGTGCGGGGACAAAAGCGAAATTCGTCCTCATCTCGAGCGCCGGTGGAAGTCTGACGAACATGTACAACTTCAGTATGTAATGCCCCAATACTAGGTCGGTGGGGTCTTGTCGGATGGACTGCTTCTTGAGGCAGAACATTGACATTGTACCTAAACACTTCCTTGGAAAGACTGCGCTAACTTTGGCCTGCACATTAAGTGCCTATCCCCGCGTACGGTGCGAGCAAGGCCCTGGCTAATTTCCTTTTCAAATGGCTAGCGCTGGACAATAAGGATCTGATTATTTGGGCACAAAATCCCGGGTGTGTACTGATCTTCAAACACCACCTTTTGGGAAGCGAATGTGGCTAATTACGTTCCGTGAATAGAAACGTGGACACCGACATGGCTCGGGACGGTCTCGGTGTTGCAAAGAGTTTGGGATTCGATCTGTCTTCAGTGCGCTTTACCCCTCCCGAAGAATCTGCGCGTGCAATTATCAAAGTGGTATGTTTGCTCTGGTGCGAAGGGGGTGTAAATGCAATTGAAGTTGCTAACTCGGAATTTGGCAGATTGACGGCGCGACTGCCGAGATGAATGGGAAGTTCTTAGATCACGATGGCTCTGAATTAACGTGGTAGGAGATGAACTGCCATCCACGTTTGTTTGTAAATGTATAATTCATTTACTCCGACCATTCGTCGAAACGATATATAGGCCATCACGGCTATATATATTCCTCAATTTACATCTTTCAGGTGCCACTCCCCATGTACATCCAGAGCCTCACTAAGGCATTTTGTTGTCTCTAAGTCATTGTTGCTTTCGCGCTGCTTTAATGACAAAAATACTAGTAAATAGGACGCTTAACAAGGCACCAAACCTAGATGAGCAGGTGATGATAGGTAAGCTTATAGGACTCTTCATCTCCACTGTCAGGGAATTAGCCACGTTTCTGATGATAGCTCTCACAATCTTGGAAACATATACATTGGCTCTATGGGCTCTATTTCTTCTAGCTAACTATGAAGTATATGTTAGCAGCCAACAGCCCAACTTGAACAGATCTTCACTAATATCCGTGGGCGCAAGATTAGAAATTCAACATACAAATAACGCAAACTCAAAAAAAAAGCCTCATTAGTATCCTCGTATGAGTCACAAGGGACTACTCTATATCCAAAGTGAGTAATAATGAATCCACACGGACGATTTCATCCGACCAGCTCCGCGGCCATGTGCCGCATAGCCAGCAACCAGCGTCTAAGCTCAATCTGGGTGCGGAAGACAATTAATTCCGAGGACCACAAAACCCCGAGATGGGTCACGTTCATCATTGCATGTGTCGATCACCCGTAATAGCGAATAGCCTATGTGAAGAAAGAGCTTTAACGGGTCTAACGTAAATTGGGGGATGCATAGCATAAAGTGCACAGTGCGCGACGCACGATCCACCTACGGAACTCGGAACGGAGTTTGCTGGGAATTTTGGGCGGATAGTCTTAATGCCGAAGGTCGGAGGAATCTGTGACAACTATTTCCTAAAAAGGAATGAAGCATTGCAAGGGTGTGATAGTTTTATGTTTCGGCGATATATTATTAATGTGGGATTAAAATGGTGCATAAGCTATGCGCTGGTATCAGCCTTAAAAGATGGTACACCACGTTGCCTCTTTTGGACCAAATGATGGTACCAGATAATCTATTGTCGTCTATTCTTCCTGAATCTCAGCTCATCATGCAATGTGTTCCGAGGTTGCTCACATCATGTCACCTAAGCCAATTTCCAATCTATCCAAAAGGTGTTTTTACAATCCAGCCCCAGACATTGAAAGAATCTAGTACGTCTCGGCCAACGGTAACGTTGGCCGAAGCAAAAGTCCTTGATGTCATACCTTTCAAACACAGTGGATCTCGGAATATTAACAACCAAAGGCCGAGGATCCAGTGTCGATTATTGGGCGTTCAATAAAGTGCCCGACAGCTACAGCGTGGTTGGCCGATGATTATTGTATGTGTTCTTATCTCCGCCCGATCCCTAGACCCTGAATCCAATTGTTCTGGACTGTGGCTAGATCTCACCGTTGACCTCATCGTTTCCTAAGTGGACAAATTTCGTACTTGATGTTGGAAAGTAGAAGAATTAGGTAGAATATATTAGAATATATTGGAATATATTGGAACATATTGAACAATGAGAGAAGCCTAAAGATCAATGAACAAATTGAGACATTCGTATTCGGTAAGGCTAAAGTGGAGATTTTAAGAATCAAAACAGCAAGCCCTGCGAGCGCACATGGGAAATTTTGAGTGCTTAGGTCATCTCCATGCACGGGGCAACCTTGGAACCTTGGGAGCCATGGAGGCTCGGCGATATCCGCATGGATCTTACTAATACGCCAAGATCTAGATACACTCAATTGGGAACATCTGAAAAACAAGACAGGTTTGAACTGACGTATGCCACGCTATCTTGAAGTATGCAGTAAGGAATGTACAGTGTACCTGTATCTTGAAGGGAGAAACACCTAATCTAACCCCTCCTTGCAGGGCGCAGTGTCAGGCTCTCTCTCTCTCTCTCTCTCTTTTGAGCGCAATATTTCATGTGGGGACCAATAAGATCTGCCAATGCCCCATTGTGTTCCACCTGTGGAATGTACAACGTAGAACTTACATCGTACGTCCACAGGCAACGCTGTATAACGCGAGGAGTGATGGCCTCATACAGGGGTGCTGGAATTATGCTGCCTCATGGCCTCATGAGGATCTGTGCATGTCAATTAGGATTGGGCGTTCCCCACAGCACAGCCTTCTTATGCATGGGTTCCTGGTCAATCTCAAATTCCTGGGGAATGCTAGTCAGTCAGTTTTGCCAAGGCTGGGCACTGGTCGTATTCGTCTAAGGAGTATGAAGGATGGAGTACAGAGTACAGGCGAGGGGTAATAGAAATGTTTCATAATACAGATATACACGTAAAGTAGTTTGACCTCCCAATGAGGCTTGGCTTCCAAGCTCCCAAGAGCCTCCATGCTGACATGCCAACTCATTGGATGCCTAGATAGGATCCCGACATGTCAACATGTCAAAAGTAATTGTCAGCTATGGTCTATTTCATATTAGAACATGATGTGATTTGGTATATGATTGGAAATCGGAGTGCTGAAGTAATCTAAAGCTGAAATTCCAAGGATCCAAAACGAACTTTAAGATTATCAGTAATCAACTTAACCATAGAAAATAATGGAATTAGGAATTAAGGGAGGAAAAAAAAAAAAAAAAAGACGGAACAGGTGCGACCGATCCTCCGATCGGTTTTTATCCTCCGATGCGGACCACGGCACGGCGAATTGGTCATCCGAAAACCATACCTAGGTGAGTCACTCTAGGGCTGCATTAAGGGATTGAATACAGAGTAATAGTAAGTAGTAACTAGTATACAAAGTATACGTAGACAAAATAGATTTGTTGTTAATGTACAACGTAGCGGTGAGAAATCCTGTGAACCTTGGAAATAGAAGCGAACAGTGCATTATTCATAACTCGGGCTCGGCGTATACCCTTTCTCCATTTATTTCCGGTGGATCACTCAGCATCCGTAAAGTCCGTTTCGGGTAGATCGGACTAAAAAAGGAAAAAGAAAAAAAAAAAAAAGGGTAGCCTTGTGAGATTAAATATAAACCTCTTCTTCCTAGGAATTCCTGTTTGATATCTCATCTACTTTTTAAACCTCGTTACACTATCGATCTTGTCCCCCTGAAAACTTGATCTATCATCTATATACATCTATATACTTTTATGTATAACAACCTTGTTGATCTCCCTTTATCAATATATATCACACCGCCTCACGACGATCCACTGTGACTGGATGACGCCTAATTGAGTCACCAGCCAAAGAGTCATACCCAATAATCTTCAAAAAGCTCCTTTGGCCCACCATGGATTCTTCTTCCATTACATCCAATACCTCCAAACCCTCCCCCTACTTCGATTCTCTCCTCCGTCGTCGCCAACAAAAGAAAATGAGCATCACGCAAACATACTACCTCGCCCACACCGCCCGGAAGAAGCTCACTCGTGAAGCTTCCCGGGCAGACCACGACCTGCGCCTGCTCGTTGGCCACGCTAATCTCCTTGACTCGCTGATGTACGACCTCGCCGATGCTGAGCGTGAACAAGAACGCTGGTTCAACCAGACCGTCAGCGGAGCCACCAAGACTTCTACTCCTTCCACCCGCCAACACATTCAATGGGCTTCCACTGTGGTCGAAGAGCCTGAGGAAGACTGGGACCCGGAGGATGCGTCCGATGTGGACTCCGAACTCAGCGACAGCGACGACTCCGACTACGACGAGACCGAATTCGTCATCAACACTCCTGTCCGCCGCCGCCGCTCCCCATCACCTGTGGCTCACTTCCACGAAGACCTACTGGAGGAGGACGACGAAGGCGACGACACAGATTCGGACTTTGAATACGACGAGGATGAGGAGCTGAGCTTGACTCGCTCACCATCACGACAGTCACCGCCTGAACTCCTGGCTGACTCGGATGGGGAGTCGGAGGACGAAGCAACACCGCCGTCCCCGCCTCAGCCTACACTGGAGTCATTCGACGAAAAGGAGCCTACTACTACAGCTATTGCCTTGGCAGGCTCTGATCAACCTCATCTCTTTGAGCATGGGTATTTTGGTACACAAGAGCAGACGATCATCGAGGCTTATTGATTAAGCTCGATCATACACACCCACTCCATTACGACCCCAACTATACTCCACCTCTCTGTCTTGTGTACCACCACCCAGCGACATAATTGATTTGATACCCTGATGCCTTTTTATGACGACTTTTTTTTTTCTCAAGCGAGCCTATGTTTGACATCTCCCATCTTTATATTCTGGCGTTTCTTTTGGTCGCATTTGCGAATCTCCAATTTTGGACATTCAATATTTCCATGTCATATTGGCATTTATTATATATTCCTCTCATCTCTGGCTATCTGTGATAGCGGCCCAACATTCAGCTCTCCCTACAAAGGTCGAGACTGCATTGGAGCGTTGAAACACGGGGGAAGACATTGTGATCCCAACCGATGTACAAACATGAAAGTGTCTTTATTTCCCCCAAAAAACAATTCAATAAAAAAAATTCTAAACCTCAACATTTTTCCATGTCCTTAGCGTACTCCATACATACATAGTACAGTAAATAGTCTATACTAAAACCGGCAGAATAAACTAACGGCGCATGTGACCCGTCGATCCGCGGCCCGAGCGTGCAAACTCCGTTCCCAGCCAAATAAAATTCCAGCTCGCCAGCACGCCATGATCTTCACCGCCGGATAAGATAGATAGATCAGAGCCAAGGGCAGATAGTGCGAGATCACCGCGGCTAGGTCGGCATAACATGCCGCTACGGGTTGATAGTCAGCTGAAAGGTTTTACTAGTTCATTCTTTAGGACGTGTTCGGACACTCCAAGTGGGTTATGGAGGGGTGATTTTTTTTTCTTCGCTTCTTTTTGCTTAGAGTGGATGCCTTGGCTTTGTTAGAGGTAAGGTAGGGCGGGATACATATTGGGCTAGTGAGTAAAAATCTTGAGGATGGGGCTGAGGTTTTGGGAATGCATGTTAGGCGATCTAGTTATGGATTTTATTGGTGCAAATGATCTTCTCCTATCTGGCATTGCTTTGTGCTTATCTGACAGTTTACGGATATTTACGGGGGATGAAGTTAGTCATACGGAGTATTATATGCATAATCTTGGAGGTGGGTCATTTTATTGTGGCTTGGTATGGAGTATCATCTGACTATTGGAGATGTCGCGGTATGCTGCTCTGTACAAAGTATACGGAGTGTCGCGTACGACGATTGCTTCAAATTGATGTTATACAGCATATACTTTGGGTTTAATCTTGTAGGTTAAAGTTTTTTATCTTCTACTTCTGCCTTCAATAACCCTTGTTTCTCCATCGGGCAAAAATATACTACATATCGTAGTTTAGTCTCTGTTCGAAATGTCTAGCATGATAAAGAGTATAAGTATTTGAATAAATTTTAGCATCTACTCCGTATATTGCTTAACTCGAGGTCTCGTGAACTTCCCTATTTCTTGCTTCTCAATTACATGTACATATATACTTACAACTGGAAAACTAGGATTCTTTCATTTTTGGAATTTTTATCTGAGCTTGGTACTCAAATCAAGATATCACATATGTAGAAAAACAACCATTTTAACAGCTTTTTCTGTACTTCGTAAAGTAGTTCACCAATGAAGCTCAATTATATAGGGTTGTGTCAATCACCGGACCCGTGGATCCGAGCTGGCATTACATAAGCAGTGTTAAGCTTCCGAGCCGCTATCGATAAGTGATCACCGCCCTGAATCAACCTGACCCCTCGCTGCATCCGTCATTCTCCAGCTTGAGCAAGATGACGCGTGACCATTAATCTTCCTAATCTCTATTGCAGAAGCTATCCCAAAACATGATACCAAATCCCCGCTTGGTCCTGTGGAACCCTCAACAACCCCGTGACAGCTGATACGTGCTACTGGCTCTCGTTCACATCAACACACGGCCCAGGATAATCAACAGACCCATTATACCCCTGTTATTTTACATTGAAGATCAACTTCATAATGTCCGCGCCGACTTCTCCCAGACGCTCGTCTGAGTCTGCAGGACCCGAATCCAGTGATCATACGATTCCAGTTGCGGGGTCCGGCCACACCCGTAGCCTTTCCGGTGAGGTCCAGCCAAAAAGCCACCGGAGATCGATACAATTTAGCGTCGACTCTGCAGAGTCTCAACTGCCCAGTCGTTCAACGAGCATCAAGGAAAAGCGGCTGTCATATGCGGATACCCCAACAAGGGAATTGGAAGAAAGGGAAAAAAAGGAACGGGAACACAAAGCTGCCCAATTGAACCGAGGGCCATCGCCGCCACCACCGAAGTATGTTTTCCCCAAATACTGCGTGTGAAACGACGTGTACTAATATATAGCAGAACCTACGAGCGAGGCGTCTCTTTCGACACATTTGACAATTTCGATGCGACCGATTTCTCCCTCACATTGAACTACAAACACAAAGGTTACCAGAGCACACGTCGCAGCAGGACATTTTTGTGCGGAACTGATCAGAACGACTACTCCGAATTCGCCCTCGAATGGCTCATTGACGAGCTGGTGGATGACGGCGACGAGATCGTCTGTCTTCGAGCGGTGGAGAAGGACTCGCGTATAGCCAGCGATGTCGGAATCGAGGAGCGGAAGTACCGTGAGGAAGCCGAGAAGCTGTTTGAGCAGGTGATCCAGAAAAATACCCAGGATGAGAAGGCTATCAGCTTGGTCCTGGAACTTGCTGTAGGCAAGGTTGAGAGCATCATCCAACGCATGGTAAGTTTCCAACTCCCTTGCTATCACCTACCAGTCTAACATTGCCCTAGATTCGGATATACGAGCCTGCAATGCTTGTAGTCGGTACACGAGGGCGCAACTTGAAAGGCGTGCACAGTCTGCTCCCAGGCTCCGTCTCCAAATACTGCCTCCAGCAATCACCTATCCCGGTGATCGTCGTCCGTCCTTCACCGAAGCGCGAAAAGAAAAAGAAAAAGCGCCGTGCAGACCCAACACGCCGCAGCTACAACCATATCCTAGAAATGAGCGAGCAACGCGGCAGTCAGATATTCGGCGCCAGCTCTAGCAATGATAGCAGTACTTCGAAGCTACCAGACGAGGAGGCCGCAGTGGCAGAGGCACTTGGACTTCCCGCATCATACTCGAATGCGGCCTCGCGGAGTTCTTTGTCAGTCTCAGATCGCAGTAGCATTAGCCACGACGACTCCGACACTAATTACCCCCGGAACTCACTGGATGCAATGCTTATGGCGAGTCCGAGTATCAGAAGTCCAGCAGATAGCTCTCAGGAGAGCGTCGCCACTGGCAGTAGTGTCCAGCCATCTCCTTCAGTGGACAGGACTGTTGTCTCGCCTTCTCCATCTAACCATCTCGACACTCCTGCGTCAGACTCCTCTACCGAGGTTGACAAGGCAGATGGGGTGAACGAGACTTCTGATTCAATCAAGAATCCCGTGTCTATCCCGATGATTGAAGTGTCAGGCAACGATGATGAACACGACGACACGAAACAATCCGAATCTTGAAACTCCGGTTTTCCTTTCTATCGAACAAAATAAACGTCAGGTATCACGTCGATTCGCGACGTGGCTGACAGTTATACCCCCAGCTCAATACCCTCATCACTTATTGTTCTCAGATATGTCCTCACCTGGTTAAACATTTATGTTCTGACCATGTGTATCTCTCTCCCCTCTTGTGTCTACAGTGAGAGATCACCGAATGAACGCGCATCCATGCATATTCATGGATGTCTAGACATTGATTGCTTAATGTCCCACAGATGTGCAGATCTCCTGTAACTAGTTTACTCGTAGTCACTATTCTTGCCTAGGTCTCACAGTATCTCCAAGTAAGTTCAGGTCTACCTATAGCTATCGATTTATGATAAAACAAGTCTATAGCCACGTTTAGTACATTTGAGCAGGATTTACACCGCAAGGAACCCATTCTATAGGAAGAGAATAGAAGTAGCCAGAAGGCGAAGTATTCAACTAATCACATTAAAGCAGAGTGGTGTTCTGGGTATTGAGAAAAAAGGACAAGGACAAGGATGAGAGCAAATAGTAAGAGAAAGATGAAGAGCAAGAAAGATATGCAAAGCACGAGGGAGAAAGAGACAGGCAAAGAGCAAGCCTTAGACGGATCAGCAATCCCTTCACCACTCGTGTAATTGGCACTTCCACAGTAAACCCACTACTAGATTTGCATATGGAAGACAAGAGAATGAAATAGAAGTGATTCAGCAAGTCCGATTGCAAGCAAAGTCCTACTCTCAAACAAACCTCCACACCGATCTCTGAGAAGGAAAAAAACAAGGAACAAGAATAAGAACTGAAAAGATGTCAAGATTGTACACTATGAAGAGGGTCTCTTTTTTGAAAGAAGTTCAAAAAAGTAAAACCAGGATAAAAGCGTAAAGTCCTAGGGGAAAACCGACCAGTCGGGAAATGCAAAGGACTGCCGATTAGACAAAAGTGCATGGGTTTCCTCATGGGAAAACAAGATGGAAATGACGAAAATGAAGAAATCTTTTTGTGAACCAAGAAATGGAAAACGTTGATCATTAACTCCTAAGGACTCTCTCTATGCTGTGGGTTCGCCGTCCTTGACAGACGGGGTTTTTGAGGGACGACGTTCCGTAGAAGCGGGCTGCGTCTTGGTGAGCACTGGGGAAGTGGGGTTTGACGGTGGCGAGGTGGCCATGTTATCCCGATCTTCAAGTGCGGCAAGCGCGCTGGGGAGGGGAAGGGTGTTAGCATGGGGTGTTACATAAGAGGGATAACCTTGGGGATTGGGATTGTGTACCTAAAAGCGTTCATAGAAGAGTTGTCCTCCTTCTTGCTGCCGGTAGGAGTGCCGGTGCGGCTGCTGGCAGCGCTGTCGTCGCTACCACGGACAAGGCTACCACCGGGACCGAGGTTCTTGCGGCCGCTGTTGGTACGGGAGCCGAGAAGGCTGGACGGACCGAATGACATGGGCTGGTTGGTGTTGCGAGTCGCACGCAGACGGCGGAGATCGTCGCTGCCAACCTTGCTAGATGCGTAATCGGGAGGAGGGGCCTGGTTTCCGTATCCGAATCCGCGGGCGTCACCGCGACCCATGGGGATGCGACCACCGCCTCCACGGTTGCTGGACTGGCGTTGGCGCTCAGCTTCAGCGGCTTGCTGGGCACGGGCAGCCTGTTCCAAGAGTTAGAGATGACACATAGTATATCAGAGTAATGAAAGTTACTTACAGCCTCGCGAATTTCAACGATGGTCTGAGGACCCTTATCGGAGTCCTTGGAGTTCCAGCGGGCAGCACGCAAATCAATAATATCCTGGAAACCACGTTAATTTTATTTTTCTTCCATCACCAAGACAAGAGGTCTAGAAAAACTCACCAGAAGCATGAAGCGAAGACGGCTGGGCAAGTTAGGCGTCTCAATCATCATGTTGATGCGAGCAAAGTAGGCGTCCATCATAGCAGGTCCCTTCTCGGAGGCATCAAGGGAGGCACCGATGGTGCGAAGCAAGCTAGTCAAACTCTCGACCTCGGCTTCATCGGGGACACCCTCGTAGTCCACGAGCTTCTTCACACACTCGTGCATGATACGCTCTGTAAGCATACCGAGCTTGTAAAGCTCACCAATGAACTTGACGAGACCAAGACCACGACGCTTAGCGGCGGCAGCGATGTAATATTCGTCAGATAGCATTTGAACCTGTGATCGGTCATTAGTACACGGGGAACTTTGTTCTTTTTTAGATGTAGATCGACATACCTCCTCAGTAACGCCCTCGGGCTTCTCAGGCAGGTTAGTTTTCCAGCCACGCTCGAATTCTTCTTGGCAGCGGTTGAGCAAGTACTTGCGGAACAGACTTCCTCCAGCAACAACGGTGCCATTTCGGTCACGAATATTCTCATCCTTGATTTCTGGGCTCATGCTCTCGAGCATGCTCTTACAGAACTTGGCGTACATAGGGGCCCAGTGAGCCTCATCAGTAGCTTTCTCGAATGTAAGTTGGATAACCTGGCGCAGGGTACGGCCATCGGACTCATCCTTGGACTGGGAAACAATGTCGAGGATCTGACCAGAGATACGGTCGAACTTCTCCGGAGTCATCTTGTTAAGGGCAGCCTTGACCTTGCGCTGCACGACATCAGGTGCCAAGTAGCCATCGCCACCAGGGGCGGGACCAGCACCGGCAGCCTGTCCGACACTGCGAGGCTTCCAGCCAGTCGCGGAGGTTTGGATTGCCTTCAGGTCCATGCCAGCGGTAAGAGGCATCGACTTGTCTTGCGCCACGTCCTGTCGGCCACCGTGCTTCTTGCTCTGTCGGCTGTCAGTGCGGGGACCCTTGCTCGAGTTCCCACGAGGAGGAACGCCTTGAGATTGTGAGCGAATATTTGCAATAGGACCCATGCCACCACCGCCACGTCCGAATTGGAAGCCGGACGCATTGCGACTACCCATCGGCCCGCTGCCCATAGGGGGCATTTGACCAGGTCGGCCAGTTGGGGCATTGAAGCTGCCCATGGCAGTGGCTCCACTGAAGGGAGTGCCCATGGCACTGTTGCGAGAGCCAGCACGGCTACCCATGCTAGGAGTGCGGGCAGACTGGGGACGGGAAGAGTCGGTGGGATCACCGACTGTGTCCCGCAGACGGGAGTCCCAGTCCACAGAGATCTTATCCTTGAATGCAGCCTGGAATTGCAGCAGGAAGTTCCGGTCGTAGTGGAATTTGCGGCCTTCGGGTGCAGCAGCGTTCATAGTGGCGTCAGGAGGGGTAATGGATGGCGGGTAAGTAACTTTGCTGAGGTCTTTCAAGAACTTGGCATTCTGCAAAGACTTCATGCCTGCGGTGGCTTGCAAGGGCTCGGTGGGCTTGGGGGTATCAAGCTTGAGGCCAGCGGGCTTCTTGGGGATAGCGCTGGCGGGCTTGGGTGGCGGGCCCATGTCAGACGAAGGGGTAGCAGCACCACTGTCGCCAGGTGTGGAAGACTCAGTGGCAGAGAATCCGCCCTTCTTGAGCGAGGCGAACATCTCCTTGCTGTCGTCCTGGGCAGCAGAATCGCCTCCGGCACGAGCAGCGTTCTCGCGGGCAATCTCGCGGGCCTCGGCCTCGGCCTCGGCCTTCTTCATGTTGGCTTCGTAGTTCTCGAGTTCCTCGCGTTCCTTACGCTTCTCTTCCTCTTTCTTAGCTTGCTTTGCGCGGTTGTAGTCTGCCTCAGCAGCGGCCTCCTTGGCCTCAATCTCGGCCAATTCACGCTCGATGGCATCATAGTCGGGCTCGTCGTCTACGGGAGCAGGGGCAGGAGCTGGAGCAGGTGCCTTCTTAGGTTCTTCAGCAGGCGCAGCTTCCTTGGATTCTTCAACTGCCTGAGTCTTCTTGGGCTCCTCAACGGGCGTGGCCTTATCCTTGATGCTAAGATCTTCAATAGCAGCCCGGGCAGACTCAGTTTCATCCTTCTTGGCATCGGTAGACACAGCTTCAGTCTTGCGAGAAGCCTCATCAGCCAGACGTTGCTTCTGAGCAGCCTCGTCCTGCTGGATCTTCATGCGAACGGCATCCTTCAGTTCTTGTTTCTTCTCCTCATCAGTCTTGGTCGCATTTGCCTTGCTCTCGGTACGAGTGTGCTCAGACGCGCTGGCAGTGCGAGGAGGGGGAGTGGATGTAGGAGGGGGAGTGAACTTCACGGGCGAAGGGGTAGCACGAGCAGGGGATGCGGGGTTCTTTTCGAAGGTCTTGACTGAGCCGCTGTTAGGATCCTTGATGATGATCGGGCTCTTCTTGGCCGATGGAATAATGAAGTGGGGCTTGGGAGCGGGGCTGTTGGAGGCGCGGCTGCCAGTGTGGGTGTGGCTTGCGACAGCAGGACCAGTGGGGGCGGCTCCTTGGCCGAGGCTCGAACCTGGACGATCAGTAGATACCTGTGAGGGAGTACGTGAAAGTGGCGCCGCCTGAGGCATGGGGTTAGGGAATTGCTGTCCCATGTACTGAGGGTTGTAGGGCATGCCAGCAGCACGAGGCTGGGGCGAGGGGGGTCCCATGTAGTAACCACCGTTCGGGTTGTAATAGCCCGCGTAGTTGGGATCGTAAGCGTTGGGGAAAGACTGTTGAAATTTAACCATTGTTAGAATTTGTTCAAATTGACCACTTTCCGGAGCAAGATTCACGGGGTACTCGGGAGAGCGTGGAGGGTTATCTCTACGCCGCCAAGAGCTCTGAAGGTTCCTTTGGGGACGACGCCACGAATCCTGGGAAGAACGAGAAGGGGGGGATCTCACAGCTTGAGGGCCCATATGTTGACCGTAACCGTAGGGTTGTTGAGGCATTTGGGGGTGTGCCATTGGAACCTGGTTCATCTGAGGAGTAGTAGGGTTAACGTTGGCCAAGGCAGGGCTGCGGTTGGCTTGATGAGGCGAGTTAGGGTAGGGAGCCAACGGACGACCCTGGTTGGAGCCGTGGAATTGGGGACCCATGTTAGGACCACCCCGTGGCTGGTTGGGGGTCTGTCGGAAACCGGGGTTAGGGGAGTAGGGCATCTGCTGTCCCTGGTAACCGGGCTGGGAGTATCCGCGACCACGGCCACCCTGGTAGCCTGAGCGTCCAGGGCCGTTGCCCATGTGGTTGCTCATGTCGCTGTGAGTGGATTGGGAGGACTCGCGGCGCAAGTGCTGAGCACCGTGTGCAATAGAAGGCTGTGTAATCAAAAGTCATGTGTTAGCAAAACAGGTTCGAAACAATGACATGGAAAAAGCCACACACAGGTGTGCTGCGCTCCATGTACAATTTGCGCATCAAGATAATTCAAGAGGGAAAGTCTTGGGAGGGACTTACATCAACAGCTTCTCCGAAGCTACCAAAGTTCGGCACATTTCCTTGCGCCTGGTAAGTGGATGGAGGTGGGCGACCGCCGCTGGAGGCGGGCTGAGGAATCGGCGAGGGAGAAGTCTGAGGGGACGTCACGCGGGGGTTGGTCGAAGGGGCACCAAGTCCAGCCTGGGCCTGGTTGGAGGCAGGCACAGCAGGAGCACCCATGTTGGGAGAACTCTGTTGGAATCCGAACTGGAGACTGTTGGGCCGACTAGCAGGGCCACCGCCGTTGGGCATGTAGCCAGAGGTACCGCTCGAGGTGATGGTCACAGATGGTTTGCGGGAGTGATCGCCGGACGGAGCGGAAGCAGTAGGTGCTCCATTGACAATGGTCACGCCAGAAGAAGATTGATTTTGCATGGGTTTGCCGTTCACAGATACAGAGCTCGACTGCCCATGTTGCGCTGAACCGCCCACGGTGACGGGTGCGGCGGTGGAGTCCGTCGCGGACTTCTTAGTTGCGTTGGCGTAAGATCTGGCTGGCGCCTGGGTGGCAGCCAGGGGGGTAGAGGATGCGGGCTGGGTCGAAGCGGCGGGAGTAGCGGTGCTTTGTCCTTGGTTGCCCGACTGAGGAGGGTTCGAGCTCATTAGACAGGTTGTACGTCTAAACGCGCGAAGAGGAGGAGAAAGTTCGAGGGGAAAAAAGACGAAGGTGATGTCAGTACGCGGAGGCGTAACAAGGCCACATCCAAACCTAACTGTCGCAGGTTGTTAAAGGGATGAAATGGAATAAAAAGAAAGGAAACGAGTTTCCGAAAACACAGAAGACCAGGTACGCAGCAAGAGCGGCGTTTTGGTCTACAGTGTTATGTTTGAAAGGGTTTTTTTTTTGGTTAAAGGGTAGGATGGATGGTGGGAGGGAAAAAATTCAAGGGAAAAAAAATATTTCGGGTTTGTGGAAAACTGGGCAGAACGAGAGAGAGACGCCGGTCGACCAACGTACCTTTTGAATAGGTTTCGGATGAATTCTCTTGAGAATCTCTGAAAAACAATGAAAATAAAAAGAAATTTCCGAAAGAGAAGTGAGAAGTAAAATAGTGAAAAAGGTCGAGAAGGTGACTATGATTCCGCCACCCACATACATGGGTTACAAAGAAATCTTTAACGGGAGAAGTAGATGCTATTGAAGTGGTTTATGGACTTATTTTGTAAATGAATATGAATATGAATTATTATAATCATAATTAACTATTGACGAATTTACTACGAATCTATATTCTTTTATTCATCTGGAACCTGATAGACCCTCTTCAATGTCCCCCCCAAAGGCCCCATTTTCCCCGTTTGCCACTATGTGACCCCATATCTATATACAAAATCTACTTCTGGACATATTGAACATATTGTACATTTATATCGAGAAATAATAAGGTAAATGGTATACATTGTTATATTCTATACTTATTCTATCTCCTTTTTTTAAAACCCTAATCAACAATAGCACATACCCTATCTCCCCGTCCTTGCAGTGCATCTGCGTGAACTCTTTTATGCAAGGCTATTCCTCCGACCGGAGGGATTCGGCTTGATATCCTCGGCTGTTCTCACTTGTATTTAGGTGGTTCAATTAAACGTCGATTCAAAATGCTATTTAGCAATACCTTCTCCCCATTCTTCTCAGCAAGAGCAACTTGAACTTCTATTTTGGGTTTCCTGATCTACCATAACCCCTGTGTTAAAAGCGAAACATATCAGGACTTAAGATCGGTCGTATCCAGTTGTACGCGACCGGGCAATCTCATCAACAGCCCGTGCCGCGAAGTCAGTACCAGATGAACCGGAGGAGTCTTGCTCGTTGCCGAACCAACCAGATGCCCATCCACCACTAGTCTTTCGTTCCGGGCGACGTCCTAGATCTTCATCATCAACCACCTCGAAGGAGTTCTCACTGCGGTTCTTGCGCAACGGCACCCCGTAGGCCAGATCATCAGCCTCAAGCCCACCCCGAGAGGTGCTCTGTTCCTCTTGTGCGAGAGTAGATCGAAGGTGATCTAGCAGCTCTCGCTGCGAGGAAATAAAGTGAGCCTTCTCAGCTGCAGACATCGACTGCATCTGGCGCTGGAGAAGATTGCCACTGGCTGAAAGTTCCTCGTCCCGCGCCTCCCGGGACATTCCAGATGTGACAGAGCCCACAGCAGCACTGAGAACAGAATACCAATCATTTGCATTGGCGGACGCCCCAGTAGCTCCTGCTCCGGCAACGGGGATGTTGAATCGCGATAGTAGCGACTGCGCGTAGGAAGCGGCACCTGGTTGAGGGGGTGTTGTGGGCCGCTGCGGGGGTAGACCCAAAACTTTCTGCCGGATCAAATCGACGGCTTGGTAGAAGTATTGAAGACCCAGTGCCTTGGCCCGCTCATGAGTGTGGCCGATCATATCTTCGATCTCCCGCTCATGGTGTGTCAAGAATGGGTCAACATAGTCCTGGTACAGTAGACGAGCCCCTTGCGTTTGCGGGAGGACGAGATAGCACATGAAACCAAGGCGGATCCAGCTATAGAAGGGGAACCTGAATAATTATCAAGTCATTGGCTTGCGATCTTGTTAAGCGGAGCGAGCAGGACCATACCATCCTATAATAAAGACTGTCCATGATTCAGCCAGTAGAATGACTGAAAGTACCACCCAGTACATCAGCCATGGTGCGAGTTGTGAGGGGTCAGAGGAACGAAGAGCTTTGTAGGAAGCGAAGACGGGGAAGAAGATCGTGATGACCGAGCTATAGGATAGATCTGCGTTAGCTTGCGGGCCCGTCGCTAAGGTATTTTTACTTACGACATCAAGTCCGCGAATATTCCGAACATGATGAAGGGTGAATTGAAGTGAGAAAAAGAAATCCTTGGGGATTTTTAATCTTCAGCCCCGCTGATCTGAGAACACCCGAAGTTAAACAAAAAAAAAAGAGAGAGAGAACTAGGCAACAAAGACAGTTCAGGGGGTATATGAAAGCAGAAATAGAACAATAGAGACTGTAAAAATAGTAAACATAGTAGAACATAAAAATTACTTCACGATAATTTCCAGAGTTGACCTTTTCCCAAAGAATCAACGGATGTGTTCTGACGTCACGCGAGACACTTTAAGACACTTTAAGTGTATTGTCAATGATTCAGTCATTCATGTTTAAAATATCTGGATATCTAGATATCTTTGGATGTTTAAGATATCTAAGATATTTATTTTCTTTTTAGAAGAAAAAAAAACTCATTCGAATATGGTACGAGAGGTACAAGCCCGACAAGGCACACGTCGCTAACGGGGTGGCCCAATCACCCGAGATGCCTTAACTAGTTCCTTTCTATGGCACGTTCCTCTTTCTCTTCCAAGATTTCCTTTCTCTTTTAAGAGTTCTTGCTTCTATTTCCTCTACACCATTGTTAAATCCTGTGAATCTTGCATTATTTTTCCCCGCTTCAACTACGGGACCTCGGAACTCAAACCATGTGTATCGCATTGATCTCAACTGCCCATCCGGAATACTCATTGATCATAATCAATAACAGAGATGTAATTATTTTCCGTCTGAGTGGAATTCCAAGCTTATCATATCTAGGAATTCCTCCATCGTCCCACGTCATCGCCCGACTGGTGGCCAGAGCCAGCCTCACATGTCCTTGGCTCACGAGATTTAGCCCGATCCACACATGGAACTTGGATGGGGGTCACCAAGCATGGAAAAGTGGCAGTTCTGACCAACTACCGTGAGGACTCGACCAGCGCAGCCATCGGAGCCTACAGTCGCGGCGTCATCGTCAACAGCTGGTTGATCGGGTCCACTGACAAGTCTGAGGATACAAGGGAGTTTGTACAAGGCATCGTGGCTAGCCCAGAAGCAAAGCAGGTTGGGGGTTTCAGTCTAGTGTGTGGACATATCAATGAGCCCTTGGCCATTGTCTCCAACCGTTCCGCAGACATGGATCAGATCACCTGGGTGGCAACGGAGAAGAACCAGACACGGGGACTCAGCAATACAAGTTTTGATGACAGAACCTGGCCAAAGATCATTGATGGAGAGCAGTTGATGGAGGCTGCTATTGATGAGCATGTGCAAAAGGGAGATAGGGAGGACGAGGATGCATTAATTGATCGTCTGCTCCAGGTCCTCAACACCGATACCCTGCCACGCCTGTCAGAGGAGAATGCCACAATTGAGACCTACATCCACCATCTGCGCAAGAGCATCTTCATCCCTCTCATCGGTGCTGCAAATGATCGTGATCGAGCTGCAGAGAGAACAGCTGCAGCTCGGGTAGAGGATGAAATGAATACACCAGCAAATGGTCCCCCTGACCAGAGTTATACCTGTGGATCATACGGGACACAGAAACAAACTATTCTCCTTGCACGACCGGATGGACGGGTGCGATACTTTGAAAGAACGTTGTATGACAATGATGCCAAGGTTGTACCGGTCGGGCAGGGTGATCATTCATTTGAATTCAACATCACAGAGTAGCTTTTTATGAGCTTGAATATGCTTAGACTTTATAACTTTGTTAATGGATGCATGCACCTTGAGAACTTCAGACTAAACCTCTACCTAGGTAACTTCACGTGATTAGTAAGCCATGACTACCTGGAGGTAACCAATCACAGACCGATGACTCCAATAACGAAAGCAGTAGGCGGTACGATTCTGCTTCTAGCCGACGTTAAATAGAACTTTAAGGAAGTCCCTTCGCCCTTCGGGGCATATGGTCAAATGAAAATATACAGAGAAGATTAGCATGGCCCCTGCACTAAGGATGACACGCTCAATCAAAGAGAAGCTACCAATTTTTTTTTTCCTTACCGATCGTTTATTATGAAGATAAGGGTGTGAGGTTTTCTACTATATTTCGCACAATTTTGAATATTACGATCTTAGGAAGTCACGTTAACCGTCGTATGTTCGAATCCCATGCGACACGAAAATAATCCAAAATCGGCGAGTGCTCTCGATGGCTTCAACTCCGTACCTTACCTTTTTGCCTCATTATATAAAAATATGTTGATTAGAAGGATCTTTATGGATGCATATATTGCCCTAAAAGGCCTCTCCTAACTAGGAGAGAAGGCCCTTCTAATTACATACAACAACTGTAGACTTACTCCGTACTGACAACGTTTTTAGCTCTTTTTTCCCCCGCCTTACCGGTCCGAATTGAGCGAGATAAGGTGCGGAGCTTCGGTATGTTTGAATTATATATTTCCCTTAATTACTTCAGGGCTGTTGAGATATTAATCGGGGTTATGAAACATGTTGTTGACGAAGCTTTGATCTACAAACCTACATTATGTATGTATGAGCACTGGCCTTGTATTCTCCCAGTACTCTATATCGGTTAATGGCATGTCTTTTTGGCATGTCTTTACTCAATGTCCAAAATGATAGTATGTTTGGACTTTGAGGGTCTGGTGTATCTATTGAACCCAGCAATTAGCAAAGTAAGATGGACATCCTAAGCACATCCATTCACCCCTTGAAATGTGTAGAATATATATTCCATAAAGCACATGTCAACTCAATTGGAAATGATATCGGAATTTAAATTATATCCGGAAGTAATCAAAGAAATTGTGGACCCTATTAAGAGGCTGCCTTACCTGCAAAGGAGCTTCCGGGTTCATTTTGGTAAATTATGCCGGGGACCTAACGGTTATCAACCTAAAGACCACCTTATGTTTCATCTTGAGTATCTCTCATTTCCCCTGATTTGCTTTGTCGCTTCATTTTTCGGCCGCTACACCCAAGACGGGTTAGTCGATCCCGCAAGTGTATCAGAACAATTTCCTTTTTAATTACATCTTCTGAGAAACTTTGGACTGGCCAAATGGAAACTGCAACTTTTTTTCGCTGTTTAATGATCTCATCTCCACATATCATCAGATCATGGAACCAGGTCTTGACTAACAATCTCCGATAGATTGGGTTTACTATGGATAGCAATTCGTCTTTACACACTTCCGGACCATTCATGATTGCTCGCGCTTGAACTAGTGGCCTTTGAGCATTTTGGCTATTTAACCGGCCATTTCGGTGGAGAGACCCGCCGTCTAGAAGAGACATCTCCTACGACCATCAGGGTTAGCGTTTCCGGTATACCGGTAATAATTAAGCCGATAGAGTGGTAAGAAAGGTCTCGAATAATGAATCCACTGTGTCTAGGATTGCCTGTTGGTCCACTCCAAGTGCCATTTGATGCCTCTAATCCAGGGTGTGGCTATATAATAGACCTCCCGCAGGCCTGTCTCTTACTTTGTACATTACATTCATTCACATTCATTCCAAATTCAAGACTGGTTTCTTGATTTCCATTCTTTTCCTTCTATCACATTCTTTATCGTCAAACTTGACACCCACTCTCTTTTTAAATTTCACTATGAAGTTCACCAACATTGTTCTGGCTGCCAGCGCCGCTACTGTGGCCTGCGCATACCCCCGAGGACGGGAAGCTGTTCCCAACAAGCAGACTGCTGAGATCAAGAAGCGTGCCAATGGATTCACTTGGGTCGGTGTGAGCGAGTCCGGTGCCGAGTTCGCCCCTGGCAGCCTTCCCGGTACTCTGGAAAAGGACTACACTTGGCCCAAGACCTCCCAGATTAAGATTCTGAGAGATGCCGGCATGAACATCTTCCGTGTCCCCTTCTTGATGGAGCGCCTGGTGCCCTCCAGCATGACCGGTGCCCCGGATGCGACTTACATGGCCGCCCTCAAGTCTGTACGTGATATGTATTTTGTGGCTGTCGATTATCCTTCAAGCTCTAACATGTACCCGTTCTTTAGACTGTCAAGTTTATTACCGACAGCGGTGCCTATGCCGTCATTGATCCCCACAACTACGGAAGATAGTAAGTGCAACAAAATTGCAGGTGCCAATTGTTATTGATATTAACGCTACATCTACAGCGGTGGCAACATCATCACCTCGACCTCCGATTTCAAGGCCTTCTGGAAGACAGTTGCTAAGGAGTTCGTCTCCAACGAGAAGGTCGTCTTCGATACCAGTAAGCCACCCATGGTCAAACGCACACCATGAAATCTTCCGCTAATATCATCTCCTTAGACAACGAGTACCACGATCTTGACCAGACCCTCGTCCTGGACCTGAACCAGGCCGCCATTGATGCTATCCGTGCCGCTGGCGCCACCAGCCAGTACATCTTCGTCGAGGGCAACTCTTGGAGCGGCGCCCACTCCTGGACCGCCAACAACGACAACCTCAAGGCTCTTACCGACTCCGAGGACAAGATAGTCTACGAGATGCACCAGTACCTTGACGGCGACAGCTCCGGAACCTCCCCATCCTGCGTCAGCGCTACCATCGGCAAGGAGCGTCTCGAGTCCGCCACCGCCTGGTTGAAGAAGAACCACAAGAAGGGCTTCATCGGCGAGTTCGCCGGTGGTGTCAACAGCGTCTGCGAGTCTGCCGTTGAGGGCATGCTCTCCTACATGTCCGAGAACAGCGACGTCTGGACCGGCGCCGAGTGGTGGGCTGCCGGTCCCTGGTGGAAGTCTTACATGTACAACTTGGAGCCCGCTGATGGCCCTGCTTACGCCACCTACCTCCCCATCCTCGAGAAGTACTTCGTCGATGGCAAAGCCGCACCCCCGGCCGAAGTTTCTTCATCCACCAAGACCACCTCCACTGTCCAGACCTCCACCACCACCATTGCCGACGTTAAGGTCACTACCACCACCAAGCCCAATGTCCAGGTCCCCAGCGCTACCTCCAGCTCCACCACCACCGCTGCCGCTGAGACTACTACTACTGCCGCTGTCGGCAAGGTTCCCACTACCACTGCTGCCCCTACTACCCTCGTCACTGCCACAACCAATGCTCAAGTATCTACCTGCACCCCACCTGCCTCTACTGAGAACATTGCTAAGCAATACTACCAGTGCGGCGGCATCAACTGGACCGGCCCCACTGTCTGTGAGACTGGAACCACCTGCGTTAAGCAGAACCCTTACTACTCCCAGTGCCTTAGCGCCTAAGTAGTTGATCTCATATGGATCAAGGCAAAAGGGGAGACTTTTTTGATTGGTGGATTGGTGTGAGCGTTTTCTTTCAGTGTTGACTATTATCTACACTACTTTTTATACATTACTTTCTTCTCGATCTAGTTCGATCTATATAAATTTCAATTTGAATGTGCTCCAAATACTTTGTGCTACTCTATAGGCCTCATAATCATAGTTTAAACCCAGTTTTATATCTTATTAGAAACGGTAATTTCTGCATGATGTTTGGTGTCGAATTCTGATTTTCCCAGTGAATGTGAGCCCATGACGAAAAGACAGAATGCAACTGCCTCTGATTTGATGAAACATGTGCCTACGTACAGGTTTCATTTCTATGGGCGTAACCCCCAGTCTGACATCTACTTGAAACCGATGGATACCACAAGATAACATAAGCACGGCCTTAAAAGACTCCCTGAATCCTAAATGACCTACTATAATGCAGTGGCCCAATTAGGAAAGCGGTTCCATATAGGACATGTTAAGGCCCCAACGCACAAGTTCATCCTAGTGTGGTGGGGAGAGGAGGGGGAGAGGGTTCTCATATCTACTCTACTAGGCCACTGGTATTTGTAGGGGTGGACTTGTGCACACTCTCTTTTTTGCTTAACGTGAAGAAATTGGCCCTGTGGGGTCTTTTCAGTGGTCTTCTCATTTATTCCGTTAAGACATCTTCATGATGGTTCCTCCTTTCAGTTGTATAGGTTTTGCTATTTATAATCTTTGGAGATATATTATTTAGTTGCTAGCTTTACAGGGGGTATACCCTGTTCCTTCATATATTCCACAATATATCTCTCCTTCATCTTTCCGCATGCTCAGCAACACTTTTATTTTTCCATGATTCACCCCATATTGGTAATATGAAGTCAAAGGCGATTGTATAGGTTAAGCCTCTTGTTATTTCTTTTGTCGTCTACCTGTAAAGCTGGGAGGGTGTATATATATTAAAGGTATCTGGACGGAATATGTGAGAGGACCACTGAGAACTACAAGACCAAATATTCTTATATCCATAACTAAGTAAATATGTCATTATCATCATAACTCTGCTAGGAACAAACCGACCTAAATCCAAAGCACTGAAGCAGATCTCAGTAACGTAACTGGGGAACCCCCAGACCCCAAAGAACAGCAGAAAGATAATACAAGCATTGAAAAGAAGACCCATACAGGAACAAATCCAAAGACAACCTATAAAACCTCAAGCATCCTCAGCCTGGTGCAAGCGCACAGTAACCAGATCAGCAGGCGCACTAGTCAAAGTAAGACCGTACCGAATCTTCTGATCGGGATAAACATCCTCAATCTTATCAAAGCGCTGCAAAAGTCGCACAATAACATATCCAGCCTCAGTAAGTGCAAACTGCTGCCCGATACAAATCCGCGGCCCACCATTGAAGGGGATATACTCCCATCCAGCTCTACGGTCTACCCAGCGCTCAGGCTTGAACTCGTCCGCGTCAGGGCCCCACAAGTCTTTGCGGCGCTGCATAACGTGCGTAGTGTAGATCACTGACTGGCCCTTGCGGACGTAGACGGGGTCTTGACCATCTGGACCGCCGCCGCGCGGGATGGTCGTGTCGCGGACTGCGTTGCGACGGTTGAAGGGGACCACTGGGTACAGACGGAGGACTTCGTTCATCACGTACTGCAGATACTGGCAGGATTTCATGGTGGCGAAGGTGATGTTCTGGGGGTTTGAGTAGGTTCCGAAGTTTGAGATAATTGTTTCGCGGAGTTTAGTGAAGACTTCTGGGTGGCGGGCGAGCATGAGGGTTGTCCAGCTTAGGAGCGATGCTGTTGTGTCGCGGCCGGCGAGGAGGATGTTGAGGAGTTGCGAGCGGAGCTCGATTGGGTCGCGGGTCACTTCAAGGAGTGCTTCAAGGAAGACGTAGGAGGATTTTCCGTCGGGGGAGGCTTTCTTTTCAGACTGGGAGGCTGCCAGTGCGTTTGAGACGACTTTGTCGACGAAGGAGTGCACTTGCTTATCTGAGAACTTGGTTTCCTTGTTCTCAGCGAGGAAGGCAAGTTTCTCGAAGCGGCTTCGCTGCGCGCAGACCCACTGGGACTTGTCGAAGTAGGCGGCGAATGAGTCTTCAGGTCTGTGTAGGCCGTTCAGAGCGCCGAGTTGACTCTCGACGCTTTCACCAAATAGGAATTCTGTGGCGGAGTCGATGGTCAAGCGGAAGAAGATGGACTGGATGTCGGTTGTGGCAGTCCATCCGTTGGCCGCAACGGGTAGAGCTTGCATGGCCTTTTGTACGTGTTCCTCTTCCAATTCCAATTGGCTGATCTGCTCGCGGGTGAACTGAGGTCGAAGTAGGCCGCGGGAACGACTCCATTCCTCTCCATCGGCGGTGAACTATAAACGGTCAATACCTAACTTGGAGACAGGGGCTAAATATGGAGCGACTCACAATACCAGTGCCTAGAAGCGGATGCATGCTCATCCGACGGACGGTACCAAGCTCGAAGTCCTTGAACTGGGTAGCTAAGACAGCCTGTATGTTCCTGGGATCTACTGTAAAGATATGCGTCCGGCCGAGATTCTTGATTGCAAAAGTGGTGGTATATCGTTTCTCCTGATCACTGATGACCTTAACGCGCTTTTCGGCTAACTCAGGTACCAGTTTGGCCTTGTCTGCCGCCAGGGACTGTTTCAGGTTGTCAATTCCAAAAGGATCCTTGCACGGGTACATTGGCACACTGCCACAGCCCATACGTTTCGCATTGCGTGAGTGTTGCCATGAGTTGAATATCATACGGATGACCTGCAGCACAAGGGCTGCGGCCGCAAAACCGAATACGAAAGACATAGCCATGATTGTTAGAGAGGAGAATTTATGTGCAGGAATCAAGTTGACTTTATATAATAAGTAACCTCGGGTCGAAGCGATAGTGGGGAAAAGCTCCGTAACAAGGATTAGGCATGATCGTCATTCAGCCAAAGACCAATAGCCAATAATAACTTTAGTGGATGTCATATTCGATCGGCAGTTCGGATTTCACACTCTATGCAATTTCTTGTCCGATCTGTATCTCGGAGCTGTTACTTGGTGTGTGTTGGAACCCGAAGCGTCGGGGTTTATGAAGAATATTTCCATATAGGGATAATCTCCCTTTTTCCTCTTTGAATGCATCGCCCGACAAGGTCCAAGCGGGGTGTCACGAGAAGAATAAAATAAACCGTTTGTTGTGTGACTTCAATATTAAGCAGGATATTTCATAATTTCATAATTTCATAATTTCATATGAAGATTTAAATATCTGCAGAGCAGTGGGGAAGATCCCTGTCGCATTAGCGTTGACTTGGCCGAGGTTCTCACCTGCGCCTGCAGATTATTTGATGAGGTGATCAATTATCTCCGAGGTATTAACCTCAACCTCACATCAACTCCAATCTCCCTAATAATTTTTTTAACTATTTCAGCTCAAAACTGAATATGCAGGGACCCGGGAATTCCCCTATGTTATTGGATATGCTATCGGCAAGATCCTACCTGGAACTGTCACAAGAAGACGTATCAACTTTGTCCAGAGAATTAAGCCCCGAGATCAAAGCCGAGTCAGATCGCCATCTAAGGCCCCGAAAGGGACCTGCATCCCAAGCTCCGGGGATCCCCGACCGAGTCGATAGAAACTCGGCTGCCCCGGATCGTCCCGTGCGGAAAAGAGGCCGACCGAGATTGGATACAGCCAAAGATGCCACTGCCATTGAGGTAGATCTCGGCCCACCTGAAATAGAAACATTGTTAACCCGCTCCACAGGAACGCCGTCTGCAGATCCGACGGGCGCAACGCACCTATCGTCTTAAAAAGGAGAATACCATCCAGGCTCTCAGGTCTCGCGTCAATATACTAGAGCAGACACTAGAGAATGTATCAGATATCCTCAGTGGAGCCCACTACATCGACCACCCCAACGGCGATTCGACTGTTCAGCCAAGCGTGGACTACCTCGCTCGCACACGAGAACTCATTCTAGCTGAAATAAATAAGACGCGATTTCCCTCAAACGATGATGATCTCCAACTCGAGCAGACAAATGGCACACCCGGGGACAGTAACAAATTCGGCTACGAAGTGTCGCACACGCGACCTCAGGAGAAGAACTCCATCGGCTCCTCTCCATACTCCCGATACACCCGAGCCCGCTCCCCATCCCCATTAATAAACCGTATCCTCCCAACAGCAACAATCTACACCTACAGCCACCAAGAATCCAACCTCTCCCGCCGCCTCCACAGATTCAGCCTCGAGCACATCTACCGCTGGCTAACCGACCCACGTACCGAGCCCGCCTTCTTAGGCCGCGTGTTCGGACTAGTCCCCTGCATTCACGATATGCCTGGCATAAGACGCAGTTTCCGGCGCACGCTGCAATCCGAGATCGGGAGCCAACTTGAATTCATTAAAATGCCCTTCTACACGCTCGGCGGGGCAGGGAAGCACTTCCCGCGCGCGGACGTCGATGGAAACCCCGTGGACCCGGAGAACAGCCGGAGACCGGGGAAGATTCTGCGGCGGATGGTGCGAATTATGCAGCGTGGCGGGATCCAGGATTGGGATGAGGATTGGAGTGGGGAGCGGGAGCCTGTTCCTGTTACTTCGGAGGGGTTGGTGGGTGAAGCGCAGGAGAAGATGGGCGAGGAAGAGAGGATTCGTTCGCTTGATCTTGATGGTGAGTGGTTTGATTGTCATGATGTGCAGGGGTATCTGGAGCATCGAGGTCTTGTGCTTGATGGGTCGGCAGTGAGGCTCGGCGTTCCTGAGGCTTTGGTTAAGGATTTGTATGGATTTTCACCGGATCGGTCGACTGTTTCCAGTATCTATGCTTCATCAGATGGGACCACGCCTGCTGATCGCACGGGGTCTGAACCCTCGAGCTCGTCGTATAGTCTGGATGTTGAGTGTTTCTTTGACCGTGAGTTAACCGTCGATAGGTTTCGTCTTTTGTTAATATCACTAACATGGGTCTAGTACTCCTCGCAAACCTTAGAATTCTCGGCCGAGCGCCAGGGTTTCGAGTGTGGGATGTAGATGCCGCATTGCGATCAGCGATCTCCCGTCGCCCTTTTGGCTAGCCCACACAAGACTGACAACTGAACTTTCCTTCCATGGATATAACGACTACTTCACGAGCCACGACAGCCACGACTAGAATGATCATCTACTTATATCAAAGCGAATTAAATCAACCACAAGAATCTGAAAATTGAACTCCATAGCTGGCATTGTTCTGGGGTATAGCGTAGAAAACCAGTATAGCAAAAAAAGGAAGTCCATAAAGTCACATCAAATCGAATCACATCCAAGACCGCCGAGCCCACGCGGTAGACGATGAATCCGGCCTAGGAAGGTTCCAAGAGTTGACCGCAATAAGGTCGAATCGATCGACAGTGTCGTCGCATGAGGGCATCGGCGGCCACATCCTGATCTCATTTGATCGTCTAGCAGCAAATCTCACAGCACTCGAAGCAAGCAATACCGGCGCAACTGGGATAAGTTAGTTTCTTGAAGGTTTTTTTCATTGCGCGCATGACCGAATATGTTGGTCGGCTTGGATCGGGGATAGAACGTACACTCCGCAGCAGATACCACCGCCGCCACCACCGCGCAGCTGCATTTGTTCCTGACTGGTCTAAATGCGATAGAAGTTAGTTTTTATTTTGGAAATATGAGTTTATTTTTCCATAGGTTATCAACATACCGGCTGCTCAGAGATGACATTTTGGTTTGTTGAAGGGGCAGCGGGGCTGGTGGGCTGCGTGTTGACGGTGTTGGCGTTCCAGCCGTCAGTGGCGGGCTCGTTAGCCGGGGCGGATTTGAAGAAGTTGAAGTTGAACATTATGGTAGTTGGTCTATGTGTATAGGGTTGTATAATGTGGAAGTTGGGTAAGGTATATTTATGTTAAGAGAACAAAGGAAATGTAAGAAGAGAGAAAACAGAAAGAGAGAACAGGCCAGTATATGTACTTTTCTCAACAATGTGGAGGATCGGCTGAAAAATAAGCAAAATGAGTAAATAAAACAACTAGCGCCCGAAGGAGATTACACGCCCATGCTAATGTGGAAGTACATAACGTTGCTAAGTATAGACGTAATTAGAATGATGCTGCCTGGACCCCGACAGTGAGGCTTTGCAGTCTACGGTGGAGTTCTATGGTACCCTAATGCTTGTTTATTCTATATTTATTTCTAGAACTGTGGCTATGTGCAGTAGATACGTAAATATCTGTGAATTGCACCGCAATCTTAGAGTTTATCTCCAGGAAATCCATGGAACCGTGAATATCGAGAACCTTGGGAAATCAGCTGGACAGCCCTTCAGCCCTGTAGGTTGCCAAGATCTTGGCAAACGGCTTGTATTGAATGTGTAATCGTATTGTGGCTGACATTTTGTGCAGATGACGTACGTACTGGTATAGTATCTTCCTTCACAAAATGTTGGGAAAGAGCGCGTATGTTTATAACCCCTGAAAAATATCAAACACTTAGAGTTTCGAGAGGATCCCGTCTGGCTGCAAAACAGAAAGATAACTTTTTTGAATGTCGCCGATCGTCCGGCACCTGCTTCCGATTAGAAAATTTTGTTATTATTATTTTTTTTTTTTGCAAAGAGCACTTACCCAGCCAATGCCATGGTGATCCGCAGTTCTTGGCGGAGAATTCGAATCGCTAATTCAACACCCTCTTGTCCGTTATACTGTACTTCGGTTAGTCAAAAAAATAACACAAACAGAAGCAAACACATACAGCCAACCCCCAGAACGGAATCCTTCCGATAAAACAGAAGCTAGCACCCAAAGCCAAAGCCTTGAAGATATCCGAGCCTCGTCGAATGCCTCCATCCACCGCAATCGGAATTCGATTCTTGGCTACTGGGGCACAGGCCCGCAGCGCATCCACTGTCGACGGCATGCCGTCTAGTTGCCGCCCACCATGGTTCGAAATGACCACGCCGTCAATGCCGTATTTGATGGCCAGTTCTATATCCTCGGGAGAAGTTACTGTACAACTGTCAGTGGGACTGGATATGCTTTACTTGGATCACTTAATAGCACAAACATACCACCCTTAAGCCAGATCTTCAGAGATGTGTGCTGTCTTAACCAAGGAATCGTGTTCTCCCAGTCCAAACTAGGGTCTGTAAAACATCAGTATGTCCATCACCTCACACCAACTTCACAGATCAGCTTCGCTACAAGACATACCGTACTCAGTGCGGTTCGAGTGATCCCCTCCGTGGCTAAGGATATTCGGCCACGACATGTCATCTGGAATGGTATACTCGTTCCGGTATTCGTTAATGCGCTTGCCTAACACAGGTACATCAACAGATAGGAACAACGCCTTGTATCCGGCCTCTAAAAAAGGTTAGCTCAACCGAGTCAATGAAGCTATGGAAAAAAAGCATTCAAGACACGACATACTCTCCGCCCGTTCCAGCAATTGAAGCGTAATCGCCCGATCTCTCAGTACACACATCTGCATCACATATGGATTACCGGTGCCTTGTGCAGCGACGTCTTCAAGCGGATAATTCGAGTACGAGGACAGGCCCATGCAGAGGCCGAATTTTGCGGCTGCGCGCGATGTTGCGAGCTCGCCATCTGGGTGGGCGAGTTTCATTGATGCGGCGGGGCTGAAGCCGAATGGCAGTGAGACCTGTGATTTCATTACAGTTAGTACTATTTCATTACTTGGTCGGGAAGGTGAAGAATAACATACCTTGGTGCCGAGGAACTCGGTCTCTGTATTGATCTTGTCGACGTTGATCAAGATCCGGGGACGGATCTTGTAGCGGTCGAAGGCTGTTTCGTTCTCGTTGAGACTAGACAAATGTTAGAGATATGGACGAGTTGCTACCATTTGAGACTTCATACGTGATTAGATCCATAGATCCTCCATTGTAGTAGTCTATTCGAGATCAGCGCTGGCACAATAAATCGCTATGAAGTGATGGTACTCACCTCTGACCATAGGAGCCAGCCGGCTACTCCCCATTTTCTTGAGGTCAGCAATGCAGCACACATCTTTGTGAAGAGTCTCTCCGCGGTGAGCCATTGTGCACGTTGGGATGTGATTATAGAACTTGTATAAGAAAAATGGATAGAGTAAGGCGACGAGGGAACAGTTCAAATAAGAAGGATTATTGACCACCTCTCCCCTTCCGAGGTCATCTTAATTGCCGGATCGAGATACACATAGCGAGCTTCTCTTTGCTATAGATGGGGGTTGTGGGGTTACTGTCCTAATCGCAGTAGAGATCATCGGAGTCGCTTGCCAGATTGAGATTCTATGGACGGTGTCACGGGGCAAAGGATAGTTAATCACACGGACCTTATGCCAATTTATTAGTTACGAATGATATAAATATAGTGCCAGGATATCTATACAACAGCGTCGAGGATATTGCGTGTGGCCGAGCCAAGTGTATAGCCATAGAGCGCTTATGCAGCTCAGGCTCAGGATACTCTGCTCTAGATATCTGGAGCGGACGTATCAATCTTGGTTACCATCAACGGACACTTCTGATCTCAACGGTGTCAATGGAGTCCACGATATTATTCACTACGGGGTAGAACCATTGGGGCAAACGGGGGTTTGAATCGCTCTATTTTCAACCTAACCGCCAAGATTCTGTTTTGGTTATCCACTCCAATCAGTCTGGAATGAAATTGTACTCAAATATGAACGAAAGAAGAAAGACATTAGGGTTTGGGAGCGCAGGTGATTCCGAGGAGATAGCCGATAAGGGATCCCATTCAGGAAGGTGATTCCGATATTTGGCGGGGGTGGCCATAATTTCGACTTTCGACTTTCTACCTTCTAATACGGAAATAAGGTAGCAATAAGCTCCCTTTTTAAATTAGATCTATATATAAATCGGAGAATGGTGACGCCTAAGCGATCAAGACCTCGCCGATCCCATGTTCTGGGAGGGTGTAATAACTGCAGAAAACGACATGTCAAATGCGACCAGATTCGTCCCGTTTGCCTTAAATGCCAGGACATAGGCGCGGCATGCGAGGGATATTCGGATCAGGTCTTGTGGGATAGCGAGAAGCCCGAGAATACCCGTGTATCTCGTGGGACTCGTCGCTATCTTTATTCAGGTACATGGCCTTGCATGAGACACATTGGACCTTTTGATATTAACCTATATTCTAGAACAATATAGACTTTCTATGAGCACTGCACTGGAGTCTGATCTTGTATCAGGTTCTATTGACGCGTCGCTGGCAGAAGTTGACTCAAGACTGCGAGACCCTGAACGGTCGCTAGATGGTGACATTGTCATCGGACCATTTGCTGTTCTCGATTTCTCTTCAGCGCAGGAACCCCCAGAGCAAGAATTGGGACACGAAGCCGAGCCCGTCGAGTCTAATATAAACTCTGTAGTTGAGGAATCTGAGATAGTGGCTCCTGAGAAACTGCAAGAGCCTACTCCAATATTTGATTCACTGTCTCATATTGATGACTTCCTCCATTGGTCGGATCTATTGAGCTTTGGCCCGGAACAGACAGAGTTCGCAACACACGGTGCTTTGAGCACGCCGAACGATTTATTATTTGATATGAGCCAAGAGATGGGGTTGTTACCCGTTGACTCAAACCACAGCGATGATATATTGCAAACTTTCACAGAACAGCCACCAGCAGAGCTTATGTCTGCTGATATGGATTGCCTTAAAGATGCTCCGACCCTGCTTAGACATTTCCAGGATGTTGTCATCCCACACATAATGGCTATTCCCTGTCGACAAAAGTCACCCTGGAAGATTTTGAATGTGCCGGCGGCGGTCGTTACATATAGCGACTCGACCTTCCTTGGAACGGAAAGGGTCAGCCACGCCAAACTTGCAAATTTGTATGGCTTACTCGCCTGCTCTGCTATTCATCTTGTTTTGAATCCCTCAACAATATCGACGAAGTCGCCTGAGTATTGGTGGAGGGTTGCCAATCACGCATATCTGCAAGCCAAGGACCATATGCAAACATCTCTGCATTCAGAAACACAGGGGTTGAAGAAGGCAAAATATAAAGATCAGCTGATGGCTGTATGCATTCTCATACAGTACACAGTGAGTTCTCTATTTGACGTTAATTCCATTGAATGACTCTTAACTTTCATAGATCATGTCCGGACAACAACAACACGCCCGATGTTTTATGATTGATGCAGAGCGGCTACTACGTCTTCGAGGACTTTCAAAGACCCGAATCTCGAAAAAGGCACGGCTTTTGCATCACGTCTACACCTGGCTAAGAATAGTTGGCGAGAGCACATTCGTTCTCCATGAAGAGACCCCCTCTCCCTCCTCCTTTGAAACACTTGGTTCTCGATTTCAGTCACGATTCACACCAAACTCAGAAACAATGGGGAACACTGAGCCAAATCCTCGACTAGACGATTTCCTCCGCCTAGAACAAAATTCAGATAGTGATCTGAACATCGATGAACGCAAGGACCAAGCTTCAGGACTTCATGATATCCACCTACAGGACTCACGAAGTTATCCTGAAACATTATACAAGCAAATCTATGGCATCCCAGAAACCTGGCTTAGCCTTGTCTCGCAAACAACGAGACTAGCCAACGTCTTGGAGACGTTCCGTATTGCCCGTGAGGCAGGTCAGACCATGAACCTCGAAGCATGGGAAACACTGCAGCGACGTAGCACACGCCTGGAAAACATGATTTGCTCTTTCAGCCTAGGCCGAACAAGAGCCGGAGCCCTGGAGCTCCACGCCGATTCAAAACCGCACGGTCATATGGTGGAGGCACTGAATGCAGCTTTAGTTATTTTCTTTTACAGACGAATCCGAAAGACACATCCTGCTGCCCTGCAGGGTCATGTGGACAGTGTTATTACAGCGCTTCAGGCGTGTAGTGCGACACTTACACAAGATGACCCCACAGGACCTGGAACGGCATGGCCGTTGTTTATTGCAGGATGTGAAGCAATGTCAGCTGCGAGGCGAGAGGCGATCATGAACATGGTAGATAGGGCGAGCTCAGTGTGCGGTTTTGCTGCGTTTGGGACGGCTAGAAATATCATCCTCGAAGTATGGCGCAAGCAGGATGAGCATATGACTGCAAACAGGGGTGAATCAATGCCGTCATGGGTTGATGTTGTGAAGCAAGGACAGATATGGCCCTTGTTTTGTTGATCTGGCTCTCTATCCTTGTCATCATTATATTCTACATTTTGTATCATGCATTTTCATAGCGCAGGGAAAGGGATGGTCTCTAAGGTTATATATTCTTATATCGACATTCAATCATTCAAACATGTCCAAAATCAAATCCGCCACAGAAAGAAACTAAACAGTCTTAACCCCAGCATTCTGCAATAGTTGCTTAAGCTCCGCCGTCAACTTCGGGTTAAGAAGAGCAAAAGGCTTGCGCAAGCCACCAGTGGGCTGCCCAATTAACTCAACACCAGTCTTAACAGCAGCCGCATAGCTATTCGACTCGAGGAAATTGCAAATAGGCCAAGCCTTAGCCCAAAGCTCACGCCCGCGCTTCAAATCGCCCTTAACAGAAACGGCCTCGTGAAGCTCAACCGCCAACTCAGGAATAATATTCGCCGCACCCCAGATACCACCAGGCGCACCAGCAGCAAGACCATAGAAAGTTAAAGTATCCCACCCATTGAATGAGGTAATCTGATCCGACAGGCCAAAGATAAGCTCCGTCAGCGCGGTGGCATTACCAGAAGTATCCTTTAGATACTTGACGCCGACCTTAGACAGACCCGCGATTTCGGCGGGGGACAGGGTCATCCCGGATGCAGCAGGGATATTATAGAAGACGATTGGCAGGCCGGAGGCAGTGTGGATCTCGGAGAGCAACTCGTGCAGCTGTTCCAGGTTGAGCGGGTCATAGAAGGGAGGCACGACCATTATAGCTGCGGCACCTGCTTGAGAGGCGTGAACGGAGAGCTCGATCGCCTCTGCGGATGAGAGGCTGCCTGTGCCTGCGACGACGGGAACACGGCCAGCGGCGAACTTCACGCAGAGCTCTGTTAGCTGCTTGCGCTCGGCGGTCGTCATTGTGGTGAATTCGCCTGTGCTGCCGCCTGGAACGAGACCGTGCACGCCTGCTGTGATCAAGTGCTCGATGTGTGCTTGGAGACGGGATTCGTCAATTGCAGTATTGTCGTCTGTGAAGGGGGTGATCAAGGCCACCATGATTCCATGGAGGGAGGCCATTTTGAAGGTTTTATAGAGGTATAAAATATAGAGTGAGAGAGAGGGATGCTTTGGTTGTTTGGTTGGGAAATGTGGTGAATATGTAGAGATGGATGAAGTGATCGTGATCTAGATATAGTTCGATCTGTTATGGAGTCTCTTACTATTTCTATATTGATGTTTGTATTCATTCCGAGATGTTGAGGAATGACCTTCCTTTTCGGGATCAGTTTCCTATTTAGGATGCATTATCATGATCAGATAATCTCTCTCTAACTTTTTTCCCATTCTAATATCGTGTTCTTTCAATTGGAAGTCTACTCCGCAGGCATATAGTGGGGACTGACTGTTGATGCTCAGCTAGGACTCATCTTCTTTCTGTGGAGGAGACCTGAACCTGAGTGACATCCACCATATACGATACGCTTCGTCGCTTTTCCGCTCTGTTGAACTGCGCTAGTTTGTTTCTTTTATCCTTTCTGCGGTTAATGTAGATTGTATAGCATATTCAGTTTTTGCGTCATATATCTTTAGCTAAACAGAGCTTGGAAGAAAAACCCCTGCAAGCGACACGTTAGGGCTGAGCACGTGGAAAAAAGGTAAGCTCGCACCTTAATCCGACATGACCCCGACAGAGTCCCAAGAGCTGTGACGTATACTGACTGATTAGGTAACCAGAAACATTTTGTTTACGTGAATTAATTGGTTGCGAATAAATCGAGGACATTAAGATTACGATAAATTGAGATATTCTATCAAATTCACTAAATTCACTAACATATGCGGGGAGTATATCGGATAGTATATCGGAAGGACTTGCCTGAAGGGGCTTAACCCCATTGAAGGAATGTCATATATTATGTTGTATACCCCACGCGTCTTGTTCAAAATCCTTGTTAAACTCAACAAAATGGACCTCTTCATTGATATTACCACTCCCAACGGGCACAGCTACAAGCAGCCCACCGGTCTCTTCATTAATAACGAGATTGTACCCGCCACAGGAGGCCAGACTATCACATCTCTTGACCCCGCGTATGTCATTATCAAGATTGCTATGTACACCCCCACTAACAATTGACTAGCACCGACAAGCCCATTGCCACTGTCCAAGCAGCCAGCGTCGAAGATGTTGACCGCGCCGTGAAGGCTGCGAAAGCGGCCCTGGTCCACCCGTCATGGAAATTACTCCCCGCCACAGAGCGGGGCCAGTTAATGGCACGACTCGCGGATCTCATGGAGGAGAACAGACAGTTGTTTGCTTCTATTGAAGCTTGGGATAATGGTATAGTCTGAAAATTACCAAAAAAAAGACAACTTGCTCATTAAATTCAGGAAAACCCTACCACGTCGCCCTTGATGAAGATCTTACCGAGGCAATCTCAACAATCCGCTATTATAGTGGGTGGGCCGATAAGACTTTTGGTCAGACCATTAACACAACTCCCCAAAAATTCGCTTATACAATCCGCCAGCCTATTGGTGTAGTTGGCCAGATCATTCCATGGAACTACCCCCTTTCAATGGCCAGCTGGAAGCTTGGCCCTGCTCTAGCTTGTGGAAACACAGTTGTCCTGAAGCCCGCCGAGCAGACCCCTCTCAGCGCTCTCATTCTCGGTACATTAATCAAGAAGGCTGGATTCCCTCCAGGTGTCGTGAACATTGTCAATGGCTACGGGCGCGAGGCCGGCGCTGCGCTCGCTTCGCACCCATTGATTGATAAGGTCGCATTCACGGGATCAACTATGACCGCTCGGGAAATTATGAAGATGGCTGCTGGCACCCTCAAGAACATCACGCTTGAAACAGGCGGCAAGTCCCCGTTACTGGTTTTCCCAGATGCAGATATGGACCAGGCCGTCAAGTGGTCGCATGGCGGTATTATGTCCAACAAAGGCGAGATCTGTACCGCCACTTCGCGGATCTTCGTGCACCGCGATATTATCGAAGCATTCACTGCTAGTTACAAGACAGCAGTTGAGAGTGTGAAGATCGGCGACCAGTGGGATGAGTCGGTTTTCCATGGGCCGCAGGTGACACGCGCGCAATATGACCGTATCCTCTCCTACTTTGAGATCGCCAAGAGTGAAGGAGCTACTATTCTCACTGGTGGTGCTCCCTACACGCCGACTGAGGAGAAGAATAAGAATGGGTACTTTATCCAACCTACCGTTATTGTGGGTGCGACAGATTCTATGCGCATTGCCCGCGAAGAAGTGTTTGGCCCTGTCGTGGTGATTTTCCCCTTCGATGATGAGGAAGAGGCTATTCGTCGGGCCAATGATACCACTTACGGCCTAGGTGCGGCTGTCTTCACGCGTGATTTGGAGCGTGCTCACCGCGTGGCCGCTGAGATTGAGTCCGGTATGGTCTGGATTAACAGCAGCCAAGACTGTGATCCGCGCATTCCTTTCGGTGGCGTGAAGCAGAGTGGTATTGGGCGTGAGTTGGGAGAGGCAGGCCTGGAGGCATATAGCCAGACTAAGGCGGTTCATGTGAACATGGGGACCAGGCTGTAATGGGTTTATATGACAGAAGTATAGATTTTGCTAATGGAAACGCTACGTTTTATGATACACCTAGTATAGTTATCAATATGATGAGATGAAGAATCAGAATACGGGTGACTGGCTTGTTCAAGAGAAAATATTCGGCGGGTAGATGAATCCATCCTGGAAGTTGAAAGCTGGGTTCTTGAATTAATGAAAAGGTTGGCCTACCTATGTGACCTGCTGTACTAGAGGCACAGTGATGATAAGAGTGAAAGAAAAGACCATAGAAATAAAAGAACATGTGACGAAACTTGGATTTCCGCTCGTCGAACTCTAGATACAATGCTATTCCTTTCCATTGCCAGGCAATTACAGATAGAGAATGTTACCCGTTCAGACGTTGCTATGTACGTCTCATAAAAAATGCAAGTATTACTACGTTAGTTATGCGGATCATAAATGAGAGGAGTCAAAGTTCCTTCCACACACATACCAGTTATGCCCATATTCGCATACTCGACACACCATGGGCATCTCAAGGCGGGCTTTTGTTTCCACGATGAATCCCGGAATAAATTTGAAAGTGACAAGACCACTCTTGCCGACGGTCCTTCAAACCAGGCATTTTTGCTTTGTGTCTATCTTTTAGAAGCATCTGCTGGCAGGAAAAGAGTCTCCTCGCGGTACCGCTCCTCTGTGTACAGCTTTAAGCAAGCGAATGACTGAAACCTTAGTGTCAATACAAGCTTCCAAGTTTCACGCATAAAGATACACTGGAATATGACTTACTGGCTCAATGGGAGGGAAGTCTCGACTTTCGGGGCTGAAGAAGAGCTAATGTCCAAGGATCAGGAAGGATCCAGATCTCAGGCATCTAGGCTGACACATGTCAAATGGAAACTCTAAGTTTATACGAATAAGCAGCCACCAAAAATTAATTAGTCCATTTGACTCACACCTGTGAAAAGTACTTAATCTCTTGCACTTCACCTGTGTTTATCAGCCAATCCTCAGGTCAATATGTCGTGCCCAGATTGTTTTAGCGGTCATGTTCACCAAGGCACGCCGCGTGGTGAAGTCACCTCTCTCCATGGCTTACAAGCCTACACGACCAAACCACTAAATGATGTGCCTCACCGGGGCATTATCATCATAGTGCCCGATGCCTTCGGCTGGGAGTTCGTGAACAACCGAATACTGGCCGACAACTACGCCGAAAAGGGGAACTATCTCGTTTATCTTCCTGAATTCATGAACGGTATGTTATAGTGATCTTAGAAATCTCCAAGGATAACTCGCTAAGTGTAATATCAGGACATGCGGCCCCTGCCAGTATGATGTCTTCCACAAAAGAGCTGCTTAAGACGAGTGGGTTGGTAACCTGGCTTATGAAGCCGTAAGTCGAGAAAACAACAAATGCCTCATATAAAACGGCCACTAATTCAAGCTATAGATACTATCTAGCCTCAACACTGACTAAAATTCTACCCTTCAAGTATTACAATACGTTCGGGGTATCATGGCCTATCGTCAGGGACTTCTTCAAGTCCGTACGTGAGAACGAAGGCGCCGAGCTTCCTATCTACGGAGCTGGTTTCTGCTGGGGTGGAAAGCATATCGTCAATCTAGCTGCTGGGGCAGACATTGCCTCGAATGGTAAACCACTGCTTAATGCTGGGTTTACGGGCCATCCGAGTTTTCTCGAGATCCCTAGTGAGATTGAGAAGATCAATATTCCTGTTAGTTTTGCGCTTGGGGACAAAGACATGGTTGTGAAACCTGCACAAATTGAGCAGATCAAACAAGTCTTCGCCAGCACTTCTGGTGCTGGAAAAGGAGAAGTGGTGGTTTACGAGGGTGCCGGCCATGGCTTTTGTGTCAGGGCTGATCTTGTCCAGGACGATGCGAGTAAACAGGCAGATGAAGCGGAGAACCAGGCACTGGCCTGGTTCAAGAAGTATTGACAGATTGGAGATAAGTTAAGATTTTATATTGAGTTCAATCAAGTGAAGGATAAATTAGTGAAAGAAAGTTGAAAGTAGGAATCGAGTACATGTAAGAAACCATCATGTCCAATGATAGCACAGCCACTTCCAGCACCGCCTCACTGTGGCGGTGCAATTGACCAAAATCGTCAAAAAACAAAACAACAAAATCTCCCTTCATCTGCCCAGCGTCCCACTGACGTGGTCCAAGTTCCAAGTGGAGAATATGTAGCTTTTAGGCTGCATTCTGGAAGCTCACCGCAGTCCATGCGGTCTAGTCTCTCTTTTTTTTTGCCTTGAATAGTTTCCTCTTAAACAAGTTCACATCGCAACAATCTAAACTCTTTCGCTTTGCACCCACATATGCCTCATATTTCAAATACTCCAGAGTCTTTGCTTCCTCGCTCAGATTCTCGAAACCCAGCGACAACATGTAGAGGCATAACCGCCCAAGGCCGGCCTTGCCGCCGCGCTTTAGCTTCTCCAAATCCATCACCTGCTTCTACCCCACGAAAGAGGGATCCTCGCCAAGAAGCTATAGATGTGGCATCTTTGTACTGCTGGCAGCATAAAGATCAAGATTCTTCGTCAAATTCGTATACGGCTGTCCTCACTCCGGCCAAGACGAGGACGAGCATCGATACTTTAATGGATCGACTGGGTGTGCTCGAAATAAATGATGATCCGGCCTCCCAAAGGCCAAAGCCTCCCCAGAAACGGCGGACAAATCAAAGTAGGCCCAGTGAAAAGCGTCGGCCGAGGAAAAAGACAACTTTCTGCTGCTTCCAGATCGTGGATGACAGCAGCGACGACAGGCCTGTCTCAGTGCAACGGCCCAAACCCCCTCGGCCCAAACCCCCTCGGCCGACAAATGGCGTTTCACCTTCTCCAAATCCGAACCAAAAGATTGAATTGCCTGCCTCAGCCGGAAGGCCGCATAAAGTAGGAGTGTCACCCACTCCTCATACATCCCGGCCATCTTTGTCAAACACGGGAAAGCCTTCTACCTCACAAACACAAGCCTTATTATCCTGGATCCCATCTACGCTTTCCCCACAGACAGCATCGACTCTTATGTCAGAATTGGCCAAACCCATCTCCAGCGCCGATGATGAAGGCTATATCTATATGTTCTGGGTGACGCCCCCAACGACTACCATAGAACGGAGCGGTGAACCTGCAGTAACGCGAGACATAGCATCCTCTCTACTACCCCAAGCCCCACAAAGTAGCAGTCATCTTCGCCCACCCACCCAGCCACGTAGCGTCAGCGACGCAATCCGTGCAGCGCGGGACCTCAATGCCCTCACTTCCAACCCAACATCAACCACACCCGGAACGCTGAGGCTGAAAATTGGACGCACAAGCAATGTACACCGTCGACTCGCCGAATGGAGTAAACAGTGCTCATACGACTTGACCTTGATCCGTTATTACCCTTACACGCCGTCGTCCTCCTCGTCCTCCTCCCCTGCTAGAGTGTCACCATCGCAAAATAGCCGGAACAGGGCTCCTTCCGCCTCCTTGGTACCTGGAAGGAAAGTCCCGCATGTGCATCGTGTGGAACGACTTATTCACCTAGAGCTGGCGGCTCTGCGTGTGCGAGACTTAGGACAGTGTCCCGAGTGTGGTAAGGAGCACCGGGAATGGTTTGAGGTCGAGGCGGCGAAGGAGTCTCTTAAAAGGGTGGATGAGTGTATTCGAAGATGGGTCTCCTGGGCCGAGTCTATGTCTTGATGTTGGTGAGGAGAATCAGAATAGACCAGTAGTTATATACATGGATATTTCGACCTATTTAAGTATCTATTTCAGTTGATCTACACCTTCCGCTTTACCAACCCACGGAAGAAGTCAAAGCTGTTACTATCACTCTGTAACTGCCACACACGTCCCGTTGGACGATCATTCCACCCCAACTCCTCAGCCAGCAGAAGGCCAAAGTCACGGGTGATACCTTGAATACGAGCGCGAGCACCGCCCTCCTCCTCCAGTGTGACAATCTGGTGCATATGTAGCCAATCTTGGTAATACATAGCCTCAAAGCCTCGATCAAAGCCTGTGCGCAGGAAGCGGGTGTACAGGGCCTCAAAGGTAGTCAGGATACGAGCCAGTAGCCTCTCGAGCGAAACAGGTGAAGCGGCAGCAGCACCCGGGGAGGCGTAGCGTGCGGCGAGGGTGGTTAATGCGGTTGTCGGAGAGGCGTTGGTGGCATTGACACCAATACCGACGACGGAGATGTACTCGTTTGACATGAAATGAGAGTTGATAAGAATACCGCAGATCTTTGTGTACCGTTTCTGTTCGGGGTCATCTGGATCCAGTGCGTCTGTAGATATTGGTTGTCAGTAAGCCATAACATAACCTGCACAAAGTAACAAAATAAATCAGGCGGCACGTACAAATATCGTTCGGCCATTTTAGTTTGACCGGAATGTTCTCGTAGCCTTTGGCGTAGTTCTTGATTCCCCTGACTACTGCCATGGCTGATAGGTACTGGAGGAACACAACCGGTGCCGACTGGATCTTGTCCATTGGGTGTCGCACCACAGTTGAAAAGATTAGAGAACCTGCTGGCGAGACCCAGACATTGGATCCGCGTCCACGTCCAGCAATTTGTGCTGTAGCGGTAGCTGTAAACCCTTGTGGCAACTGACGGAGCAGCTTCGTGTTTCTGCTGCTTGTTAGAGCCGACTAAGATCGGACTTATGGACCAAAACGCTTACTTTTCAAGAATTGTGTTCGTGCTAGTCACTACCTCTCCATATAAGATATTGGAGCCAAATGTTGTGGCTTCTCCCTTGGACTCGGATTGGTACTGGCGGAGGTGAGCATAGAAGGAATGATGGTTGAAGTCTGGAGTCAGTTTCGAAGATGGGATATCATCGTGGAAAACAAGTCGCTTGATGATTGCCTGGTAATCAACTATACCCTCGCTGGAGTTTGAGGATTCTGCGGGGAGCGATTCTTCTAGTTCACCAAGATTCCATGTTCCAGGGCGTTCAATACGGAACGTATCGTGGTCGTCCTTGAGATACTCTGTCTGACCTTCTTGGGTGAATGAAGCTCCAAGGCCCGACAGGATATCCATAGGACCGTCAGCATCAATTCCGGACATGTGCAATGATGACAATGAAGGCACTGTTGTCGTGTCCTGCGTAACCTCAAGTCCAAGTTTGGACAGGCAAGCCTTCAGGAAGTCGGTTCGTCCCTTGTCATCGGCAGCGAGAGCTGCCACCATGTCCGCATATTCAGGGCCGCCCGCCTTCGGGTTCAGATTAGCAGCCGCAAATCTAGTTCTCAAGTCAGTTACTCAATCCTGCCAATTGGAATCTGAAACATACTCAGGATGAGGTCCGGTCAAGACTGCTGCTCCACTGCCGACCTTGCAATAGACAACAGCAGCTGCACCCTCCCCTGCGTCGACATTCAGCTTTTCAGTATATCTCGCAAGAACCTCCACTCCTTTGTCTGCGAGCAACGGCGCATCAACGAACACACCGCCGCCATTGTAGTACGACTTGAAGTTAATTGGTACGTTGCCAGCGCTTAAAGCATCCTTAGCCACTTCGAGTCCTGCAGCGCGTGCCCCCTCCTCGCTGTGGTAAACGAAGCCCGGGAATGCCCCGCCCCGACAGATGCCTGGATAGAAAGCCAATTCGCGCTCCCCAATAACCTCCATTGTCTTATCACCAACTTCAAACTCACAACTCTTGCATCCGTAGTAGCCACCAGCACAGAGACCGAGGTATCGCCCGCCATTGCGGACGAATTGCGCGATGCGCCGGTTCCCCGCACCATTGAGTGTGCGACAGTATCCCATATCTGCGCCGCCAGGCATGACCAGCATTGCACACGTAGTCATCCACGGCTCCTTGAGGATCATATCACCTGTCACAGGGATGACGGCATAGTGGTGAGCGAGCAGGCGGCGGAGGGTGTAGAGGCAGTGCCGGACTGAGTCAACGGTCGTTCCATTTCCTGTAGAGAAGGCGTCCGTCAGTAAGCGGCCGAGCTGTCAATGCGGAGTAAGCGGGCGAACCGGAGTAAACCAGGACATTGAGCCTTTTGCCAGCGAAATTGGCGTTGTTGCCCGTTGGCGTTGCCATTGTTGTTTCGTTGTAAAGGGAAATCGGTGCGATAAGATAGTTCCATCCGCCGAGGCCAACCGCCTTTCTCCAACTTTCCTAACCATACCTCAGCCATGTCGAACAACGTGGAGAAGACAGCTGTTATCCCGGATGATGATGATGAGCCGGATGATTGGTTAGGCCTTGTTCGATTCTGTAGTCTACGCGGTGCTAACTACTATCACAGGGACAAGCGGATCTTCAGCACAGGCTGCCATAGTAAGTTATACTCAATTCGAGTCACAGATACTATACTAATATATATCAGCCGAGCAGGATAAGATGAATGATTGCTACTATGTGAAGAAGGACTGGCGCGAATGCAAAAATGAGGTGAGCTATACTATCCAAACTGAACAGAGATCATTCCACCTGAAGCCATTGGAGTGTCAGTTCTCCAATTATCATCACACCGCTTCTCCAAAGTCCAATCAATTGATGGAATAGCAAACAGCTTCAATTACCCATACCATACTGACTCTATTCAACACAGATGGAAGCTTTCCGCGAGTGCTGGAAGCGCCAGGGCAACGACCAGCGAACACAGACCAAAGACGCATAATGCACTCTACCTATCCATAATACCATGTTCAAATAGTCGCCTCGAATCAATTCCACTCAATATATCCCTGACCATTCCACCACTGACGAGAACGAAGCTGTTAAAATCGATATCACGTGACGACATGTATTCGCCTCGTTGTAAGACTCCCCTCCTCCTTCCACTATCAACAACACAAGCCACGATGTCAGCTCCTCTTCGTATTCGGTCCTGGCGGGCAATTGAAACCTTTCAAAATGCCACACAGCTTTCGCGCTCCTCGAGAGCCCCCAGTTTACGAACCACCCAGCTCTCCAACCCCATAACCAAGAGAGCAATCAGCTACACCACCAAAAACCAGACCAACCAATCCACACCCAAACCCTCAGCAGCATCCTCGACCACAAAGCCCACCCCTTCAGCTTCATCCCCTATCCCAACCGGCGTCCCCGCCTCCCGCCTCCCAAACTCAACCCCCAGCCGCGCAACAACCGAGAACATCTCCAAAACAGGCCTATCAGACAAACCCCTCGAGCTGGAAAGCCCAGCCGAAGAGAAAATCGACTGGACACGCTCTTTCCACGGTCTATCAGCGGCCCCGTTCCCCAAAGAAGCGGCCGATATCCTGCTAGCGGAAGTGGAGCCCGACGAGGTCGAGATCAAGCCCGATGGAATCCTCTACCTACCAGAGATCAAATACCGGCGAATTCTCAACCGCGCTTTCGGTCCTGGTGGATGGGGTCTCGTGCCTCGGAGTGAGAGTATCGTTACGCCCAAGACGGTAACGAGGGAGTATGCTCTTGTTTGTAATGGACGGTAAGCATCTACAATCCGCCCTTTTTTTACATTGAAATTTTGTCTTTCAATTTGGCGCAGCCCGTATTGGGAAAATAGAAGATAAGTACCATCGGCTAACACACTTCTCCCACAGCCTCGTTTCCGTCGCCCGTGGCGAACAGGACTACTTCTCCCCGGATGGAATCCCCACCGCTACGGAAGGTTGTCGATCGAACGCGCTCGTGCGCTGCTGCAAGGATCTAGGCATTGCCAGCGAATTGTGGGACCCGCGCTGGATCCGCAAGTACAAGGCCAAGTACACGCGTGAGGTGTTTGTTGAGCATGTGGTTAATAAGAGGAAGACGAAGATCTGGACGCGGAAGGATGATCCTGTGGGATATCCGTGGAAGGAGAGTGGAAGTAAATAGGTTATGTTGGATGGTGGCTAGGACTTTGGCTTTTACCAGGAGGTCAAACTTGTACTATAGAAATTTGTGTTCGATATGTGTTAGATTATGGGTATATTATCTGTTTCTCTCCTCAATATTTTCACAGCAGGGAATTATTAACTCCTATACCACAGCTTTTTGTGTGATATAAAACAAGAATAGTCGGTCGCATGAGCGGCCTTATGATATCTTTCAGTGGTCTTCCCAGATATCATTCTGTTTACATGTCTTGTCAGTTTTATAGGTCGGAAAAAGGGTATGGACTTTTCTAAGTATAGCCGTTGACATACCTCATCTTTGAGACCCTGCTCCCATGTCAATTGCCTATTGTCTGTGTCATTAGTTCAATCGTATTCATGTAGAAGAAACCACAGCATGAGAGATCAGGACAAAAAGAGAATTGATTTTAAGATCCCAAAACCGGGGATAGCATATCTTCGTAGCCGCACACCACGAAGGGTCTAAACTTTTGATGCGGCTCAAAAAAACGCAGAAAGAAACTATCGACATCACACACGTAATATGAACAACCCAAGAAAAGAAAGGTAGGTAGCCAAGACTGGGCAATTAGAGAGAATCAGTACAAAAACAATCAAGCCTCATGCTCTCCATAAGGAGATTTATCCTTCTTCCTCAGCGGAGCATTGTTGTAGGTACCCGCAGCGGGTTGTGGGACTGTTGGCTGGGGCGGGGAGTACATGGACGGGGGCGAGATGGGGTCATAGGGATCAGAGAGCTGGTAATGGCCGGGCGCGGTCACGCCAGTGATGTCCGAGTTCGAGCCGCGACGGTCGCGTCCCGGTGTGTTCTCGGCGCTATAGCCGCCGGCCGGGATCTGATTGTACCCCGTGTCTTGGGGGTAGTAGTTGTTGAAGGGGTTGGGGTCTGGGGAGCCGACCATCTGGACTGTGCTCTGGTTGTGGTCCTGTGAGTGAGGACGGGGCTCGTAGCGGGCGCTGCCGCGAGAGCCTGGCTTAGGGGTCTCGAGAATAGGCACTTGGCTTGAGGATGGGGTCATGCCGGCGGCGACTGGAGAGAGAGGGGGGTTTCTGAGAGCAGGATGGGTCTCCTGCTCGTTATAGGAGACGCGATTGCCAGCCTTGCGGTGGCCGGTTGACAGACCGCGGTTGATTCCTTCACCTCCGGTGTGCACATTTAGCTGGTTTCCTTGGTTGGAGTTGTTGGTAGCAATGCGGTGTAGGGCGTTCTCATGACCGTCTTGGATGTCGCGGCTGGTGTCGACGGCTGGGGAGCGAGCGTTGAGCATTTCAACAATGGCAGCTTCGCGCTCGGCGTTGGTTTGAGTGGATCCGCGGTGGGTGACTGTTCCTGTGCGGCCCTGGTCGTATCCAGTCGACTGGGCTGTGTTCTCATAGTTGACGATACCTGCGGCGGCAGCGGCAACAGCGGGGTCGGGTTTGGTGGAATCAACACCGCCGCCCTGGGTAGACTTGCGGCGCCCAGCGCCTGCACCGGCATCATCACCCTTGTTATCGTCATCTGCGGCATCGGCGGTTTCTTCTGAGGGAATTTCAACACCTGGAGCGCGAACCTGCACCTTGCGGACGGCTAGGACCAAAGCACATAGGAACTTAGATCGCCGGGCAGCGCGGACAGTCTCGTTAGACCAGTTGGACTTGTGACGGATGTCAACACGCAGCTGGAGCTTGTCCATATCACCAACACCATCGAGCTCGATGTCAATATCCGGTTGGAAGTCACGGCAGTTCTCCTTGTCACGAACGAAGTTCTCCATCTCTTGGCGCAGCAATTGAACCTCAGCAAAGCTAGTGTCGAATGCTACAGGGATGACAAGCTGTTCATGCATAGCATTGGCGCGAGTGAAGTTGTCAACCCAGAGACTGTTCAGAATGTTGTTAGGCACCTGGGTGATGCGGGCGTCTTTAACATTCCGGAAGACAGTGAAAAGAAGCGAAATACGCTCAACGATGAAAGGCACATCGCTGACCTCGACACGGTCGCCAATGTCGAAAGGATGCTTGACGAAGAGGAAGATACATGAGCCAAGGACTTCTTGAGCGGTAACGGAGAAGACGAAACTGAGGGAGAGCAGCGAGGTGGCACCAGCTGCAATGACGGTACCAAATCCAGTGGTGACGAAAGAAATGAAGACAAGAACACCAACCAGACCAGCGACACACATGAGCAGGTTGTCCAGCACACGGATAGCCTGGTCGACATCGTGCATGCTATGGTTCAGGGCCTTTCTCATGCGTCCAAACTCTGTGATAGTCAGGACCATCTCGTCAAGACTGATGTCGCCGTTTCCATCCTTGTCAAGAGCCATGAAGCACTCCTCGGCCTCAGCCTCGTGTTCAGCACCCAGAACCTCAACGATGTCATCCAAGAACAGAGACTCACGACCCTCGACCACAAACGACATCCAGATACGGCGGGCGAGCGCAGCAGCATGGCGCTTGCGCTCAAGGGCATCGATAACCATGGTGTGCGTCGCAGTCGGGTTAAAGACTTGTTTACCAGTAAGCTCCGATGCGACGTGTCCAAAAGCGGCGGTGACTTTGTCGCCAACACGGCCGACGTTCTTGCCGACATGACGGAGCATGCGGAGGGGCATAGCAGAAGACCGCTTGCCATCCTTCTTGCCAGCTTGAGCCAAGATGGAGTCAAAGATGAGCGAGTCCTCCTCCTTGAATTCAGGGCAGTACACGGGGAACATATTGCGTGAAGCATCAAAGAGAAGAGAGACCAAGTGCACATTGCGCTTGGAGGTCTGGATCTTGGCGTCGAACTGCTTGCGGTGATAACTGATCGAGATGAGCTGCACAAGAGCTTTCTCGGCTAGGTAGATGAGACTGCAGACAAGCAGAGCAAACAAAATATTCTTGACACTCTTCTCCCATGACTTAGGAGCCGTATCACCGGATTCTTTCTTACCAGGAGTCAAGGTCATAACCGGGAGGAAAGTCACGAGGGAAATGATAGCCCAGATGACAAGCGCAATGGGGGTCTCGAGGGCGCGCAGAATAAGCGCATACTTGCGGGTACCGGAGCTGACGATACCACACAAGAACTGGAAGAAATAAGGAATGTAACGGGCGAAGATCTTGGACGCCCACAGACTGAACCAAATGATCTCAATCCAAGTAAAGAACCAGTAGAGATGAACACCGCCAATTTTGGCGTCCTGGGCAACAGTAGCGCCCACAATGATTGGAATCGCGATCAAAATCGCAATGGGAATAACATAAATCAGGTAACGAGTGATGAGGGAGTAATTCAGGACAGCTTGGTAGAAACGGCCCATACGGTTGATAGTGCCATCCTCGGGCGCCACAGCAGGCTTTCCGGTCAAATCATTGATATCGGTATCCGCGCGACGTCTGCGGCCAGGACCACGGAGGTGATGGTGGCCAACGATAGGGGCCTTCTCGGTGGTTTGCGAGTTACCACCGGGGCTGGTATTGGTGTTCCATTTACGTGCGCCCGTTTGACCACGGGAAGTGGTCTCCGTCAATGGGATATCAATTGTCACGTCATTGGGATTCAACATCCCATTTCCATGATCCGGCATGTCGTGTAGCTGCTCAAATCGATGAACTGTGAGTCGTCTAGTTGAAAGACTCGAACTTCCCATCGCAAGGATCTCGGAGGACAGGCAGGGCCTTTATTGTTTGGATGCAGATCCACCCCTCAAATAAATGGCTTCGATTGATTGGGGGCCTTCGTGTGTGTAGTGGAGACACACGAAAAAAATAGTACCGTTATAGCTCACCAACGGCTCGTAGCCCTGGTTTTTTTTCGCCTCCCCCTCGCCGGCTAAACCAAAAAAAAAAGCCCGCGGGCGCAACTTTGCGTCGCTTGTGATAGCTGTCAGCTATGGATGGCAATGATTGCCGTGTGTGTGGACTTCGGGAGTCGATCGTCCAATGTCAATGGTCAATAAGTTGGAGACGTGGATCGACAAATTGGAGTAGTGTAAGATTTAAAACTATCAATGTACATATGTACAGTAAATGAATGAAAGAGAGTGTCAATTGAAAAGAGTGTAAAAGAGAGAGAAAGAGATCAAAGTCTTAAAGTAGAAAAATACAAACCCATGGACTCATCGGACATGCCGTGTTTCAGGACCCGTTGGGGGGGAACGGGCAAAAATGTGAGACCGCCTTCTTCCCCCCTGTGGAATCCTTCCAGCTGCATCATTCGTCGTCTTTCCTCTTAGTGGCTGTCCTTATTACCGATCGACTCTAGATTGGGGAACTTCCAAGGTTCCCCATTCCGCCTTATATGAAGTGCCCCATCTCGCACTGTTAATTTATCCATCCCCAAACAGGAATACCGACAAGGATGCAGGTCCACTACGCCCCCACAGCTCGATATATCTGATCATCCAATGAACATCCCCAATCAGCGGGTGGCTTGAGATCAAACGAGTCTACGGGGTATTAATCTAGCCAACAGGAGAAGGACACTGGTTCTAGATGCATCAGACGCACGTAATACATATTATATGGTGAAAATCCTGCTATACGCCATTCATGCTCGCGAGTCAAGATGCATCTTCTCCAGCGCAGCAACAACCTGCTTCCTATCCCAACCACCCTCCAACCCCCGCACAACAATATCCTGCTCACTCTCCGGTGCCATACCACCTAGCCCCGGCGGCCTCCGGTCCAAATTCGTAGGAAAAGGATATCCCTCAGCAACAGCCTGTACAAAAGCCCTAATCTCTCTCTTCTCCAATGAATGCATCTCAGGATCAAGTTCCTGTCCGGCCAACCCTCCAGCAACCCTGAACCGCTCAACCAGCAAATCCCAAGCAGCATCAATTAGCGGCACGGAATCTACCGTCTCCATAGGCTTCCCAAACGCACTACTAACCTGCAATAAATTCGCAACACGCCGGAAACCCCCATTCCCAGGATCCATCTTGTTCTCACCAGCAGCATGGAAAAGCGCCGGATTAAAGAACAACCCATCCCCAAACTTCAACGGTAGCGACACATATCTTTCCTGGAAGAAAGCGCGGAACTCAGGCTTACGCCACGCCAGATAGCCAGGCTTGTATGTCTGACTGAAAGGCAGGAAACGAGTTGGCCCGCTCTCGATGGGCATATCGCTATGCGCGACCGCGCCCTGCAGCGTCAGGAACTGCGACGTTAGCTGCGTCGTGGCTGGGTACCGTTTGCAGGACACTTCTTCCTGGAAACCGAGGTGGTAGTCGCGATGTGCTTCCTGTGCCGCGCCGCCTGGGTGCACGGCGTTGACTTGGGCTGTCACGCGGTATGCTGGACCCAGCCAGGATTCGGAGACTGCTGCTAGCCATGGGTTTGAGTAGTAGTCGATGAAGGAGGATGGGTCTTGTAAGGCATGTTTTGAGAAGGCATTCCAGATGCGGTCGTTTGTGCCGCCTACGGCGAAGTGGTCGCCTTTCTTGGTGTCTGATTGTGCGGCTTCGCGGGTGATGATCGCGTTGAAGGCCGTGTTTGTGTTGTTTAGGATTGTTTCGTATTTGGTTGGTGCATACATTGATCGTAGCACGTAGACGCCCGGGCCTGTGTGGAGGACATGGTGCCATTCATCTTGGAGGCGGGTGATTAGGTCTGCTGTTAGGCCTGTGGATTCGATGGCGGCGAGGTCATAGATGGGAATGTTGGATTGGACTTCGCTGGCTAGTGGATAGGTTTCTGGGTTTGTGGTTTGCGAGCATATGTCTTCGAATTCGGAGAGTTGTGGGGTGGAGGGGGAGTAGAGACGAGAGGAAATGCCATTCATGGTTGCTTTCGTACTTTTGTATCCAATATCTATCAGGGGAATGTATGTGTATCCCAAAGACTTTGGTGAATTTAAATAGTTTCAGGGCGGAAATTAATCTCCTTCGACTCCCCGCATTTTAGGTACTGGACATCGACTTGCGACTCGGAAAAAGAATTCCGTTAAAAATGAAGTTCAAAAATAATAGCCAAAAATTTCTAGGCCTGGATGGGTATCACAGCTATCAAGCAGTATAGTACAGGTCTACCGCTACCACTGAAGCACAAAAAGAAAATAAGCCAAATAAACCATTCAGTCCTCCCGAACGCCAAAGCAGCAGGAGAACACCTCGCCTAGAAAAAGCCTTCATGTCTCGTAAAAAAACAGATCAAAAAGCATGCATAAAATCAATGGCATCCGTGTGTGTGCGTGCCTGTTTCATAAGATCCAAATAATCCCGACCCACGCAAATCTATGCTTGAATTTCAAAATCAAACGTCTTTTTTAACCAGAGAAAAGCAGGGAAAGAGTTTCGTAAACGCGTGGGCCACTGGTCCCGTGGCAAATCATGCATTCATCATGACCGCCCCAAGGTCCGACGTGAGGACCGTTTCGGATGGCGGTTGGTTTGTTTTTGATTCGGTGAGAATGAGTGTGTGTTCCGACATCGTCTCGAGCAGGGCACTCGGTCGTCCGGTGACGGTGAAGAGGACCTTCATGAGGAGAGTAGGGCCTTGACCGTTGAGACCGCCTTGTGGTTGGCGCCGGGTGTGTGTGAGCAGCACGCGGACGAGGTCGCGGATTGGGCCGTCTGTAGACGAATTGTGGATGGCGTCTAGACCGTCAATTATAAAGACTAGAAGTGGTGGGGCGGATTGTAAGAGGGTGTCGACTAGCGATAGAGCGGCTTTCCAGCTGGTGAGAGTTCCGTCTAGTTGGCGGAACCGCTCAGCGCTGAGATCTAGTACAGCATCGCTATCGACTACAGGAGGAAGCCAGTCAATTAATTGCCGGATTATACTGTAGGTGAGGGCGATTAAGCCTTGCTCCTGTAGATTCAACCCCTTGGCCTCCTGGGCAGGAAGGGCACAGAAATGAGAGACGACGGGCAATCGAGCCTGACGAGCAAAGGAGGCATAGCATGCTGAAATTAGAGCCACCGGGTGAAGAGATCCGGTAGGTTGAGTCCCGCCCACAGCTAGAGCCTGAGATCGTGAACTAGTGGCCCATTGCTGGAGAGATGCAACGATATTACCCTCGGCGACGACTTTGACATCGGGTTCGTAGTCGCAAATCTGATCATCACTATCGAAGAAGTCCTGGAGGTGTTTGGATGAGCTTTGGATCTCGAGTCGTGCGAGACGGCGCTTGGATCCCCTCGACCATTCGAAAGAGGACGTGTCTATTTCCGTTAGATGGTGCATCGAGCTGCAAGATGCACATTGACTTCCTACCTATATTTGGAGCCGGAGGTGTGGTCATGCAAACAATGCCATTGCTTTGTTCACTGACCGGCTCCAGTTGCCCACGCACAGAACTTAGTGTCTCTGCCAACAACCGATCCCGACCCTCCCTATATCGAATACGCTCCTCCGCGTCTTGCTGAATCTCCCAAATGAGCCGGCGTGTGATGGTATTTTGTGCCGCTATCCGACGGTCTTTTCCTCGGCGTCCTACTTGGCTGAGCCGGGACTCTTCCCAAAGTGCCCGGGGACTATACGGGTCTTGATCCTCCTCGTCGACGTCCATTGCCACATGCTGCCATGGAAGGTTCTGTGCTTGCAGTTGTATATAGAGAACCAGATGATGAAATTCCGAGTACACATCCTGGCTGTGCATATTCAGCAACTGGCAGGTGGACCTCCGAACATACCAGTCCATGAATTCGGTCAAAAAGAAGAATATTAGAGCGTAAGTTTTCGTAATATGTTGGACGGCGTTTGCGATTATGCTAGGATCGCTAGGAAGACCTAGAGCATCGTGAATATTTATCAGGGCAGTAGCTAAGCCCTCCATTACCCGTGGGTAATGGGATGATGCCTGACCCATAGGTTAACGATACGACGCGAACTTTTGTGATAGATCAAAAACGCACCTTGATCACTGATTGCAAGACTCCGTAGAATAAAGGGGCGTAGGCGTTAGGGTCCGGAAGGGTAGAAAGAAGGGTCGCGTGAGTGTCCATAGTCGGAAGAAGTCGATCACACAAGTCCATGGAGTCGCTAAAGACCCGTTGTCGTGGACGTGCCATCCAGAATGCTTTGATATTGCCAAGCAAGGCCTGTACATCAAGTACCGTTTGTGGCCGTTCCTCCCATTGAACCTGATCCTGAGGTAGGAGAAGGCTGGTAAACCGTTTCCAAGTGTGGGCCAACTCATTTCGTTCGATATCGAGTTCGGCGATGGCGGGGGTTCTGGACAAGGATCAGGTTAGAAGATAGGGTAATGATTTTGTAAATACTTACGTCGAGATTGGCTTCCCGTCAAAGCGGTGTTGCCAGGCTCGGCTGACAGTCTCAGGCATGATGCCACAGTGATAAAGACAAAGCAGTTAGTTTCTTTCACGACATATCCCAAAAAGGAGAGATGCGCGTTGCCGTTGAAAAGGGAAGAAGGAAGGGAAGAAGAAGCGGGTTTTGCCGCTTAGAGAGAGAGGGGGAACTAAAAAGCTAAAAAGAGAGAGAAGAGAGACGAGAGAAGAGATGTTACTATTAATACTTTTTTTTTTTTTTTCCTTTCTATCTTTTCTAATGTTAAGGTAATTCTAGAGCATGTCTTATCTGAGTTTATTTCACTTGATTTTACTGTTTTTTTGTTTTTTGTTTTTTTTTTTTTTCTATTTTTTTCTGTTTTTTTTTTCCTTGTTTTTTTCACACACTTAAAATGTAACGGGCCTAATGAGAGCCGAGGCCTTCTTGGGGTACATTCTTACATTTTGATATATGATTAAGGCATACATAATATATAGCATAAGCATAAGTAACTAACTAGTCAATAACTATACTCAATTAAAGTAGACGGCAAGTAGGCTGTAAGAAACGGCCGCAAATGAGGCCGTTCTTGGCCGTCGATTTGCCAGTGTTTTGCCGCGGAATCCTGAACCTAATAAACTACTATGTGGATATCTGTCAAAAAGCAAGCTTTGAATTCAACTTCCTAATAATACATGTAGCGACATCGCTCAGGCTTCTAGAAAGACATAGCGGCAGCACGCAGCGAGATCCTCAGCCGTGAATGTAATATTTCTTTCCGTCGTGTTAGGGGCCGGCCGGCGGCGCATGACGGATTCGAAATCTAGTTCCAGCGGGGCATTCTGAACATCTGTTGGGGTAATGACGATCTCTTTAGCCGCTAGATGAGGTTGTAGTACTGTTTGGGAGTTTGTTTGAGATGGCGGAGGCGGAGGCGCAGAGAGCAGAGTGCGTCGGACATCTGCCTGTAGTCCACGCGTGATTCTGGGGGTGGTAGGCTCGAGATGGTAGAGATTTATAACAACTCTACGCTCAGGGGATCTCTGGATGCGAAATAGTATGACTGTGTTGACTTGGTGGTCGGAATTTGAGAACCACCAATGTGCATCAGCTCGTAGTTGTGCTTCTGATTCAGAAAGACCAGTTTCAATAACGAGCGAAGGCCAGTCGTTATCTTCAGAAGGATTCCCTAACGGAGTGAGAGACTCGTCGGCTTCTTTGTCGCATGTTCTTCCATTGTACCGCGAGGCGCCGTTCAAGGTGTAATCGTCTGGATCAATCCCCATATCAAGTAACTTCGCGACGAGTTTGCTTGAGAATGACCGCGTCACTCGCTCATGAGCTTTCGAGGGTATTATTCGAATGACCGCTTGTCGGTTTTGTGTGTCGAGTGTTAATCTATAGGGAACCTCAAGGGGGTTTCGATCGCCAGCTAATAGCTGCTGTAGAGGCGGGGATATGTTTAACACGACGATAAACTGGTTCGAGTAAGACGTGTCGGAGTTAATTTGTCGGCATACATCGTTTGCGGTTTCTCGAAGGACAGAAATGAAGGGGGCAGACAACACCACAGCACCCGGGATTTCGAATGGCAGGTGCGAATAACAGACCCCGGCTGCTTCCAGTTGCGAGGCTCGAGACGCAACGTCTGATTCGGACCTGTCGATAGACTTCGCCGAGTCGACATACTTTGCAGCTAGGGGGGAGGAAGCTGTGGATAACGGCAGAGATAGCATGTTGACTGAACGGGGGCGTGTGGGGAAGGGGAGGCAAGAAGTGAAGCAGAAGATTACTACTGATGGAGGGACCGTTATCGAGAAGAGAGACAATAACCATGCGACAAGAGTTGTGACGCAAGTCTACGGCAGGCGGTAGGAGGGCGGCGACCCGCTTGCCGTTGTGTCGAATACTATTATATATTATAATATACATTAAGTTATCGTTCTCCTCCAATACTCTTTCTATAAAGCGGGGACTCCTATCACACTTTACTTAAAACGATCCCCGGGTGTTCGCATCTCCAGGTTTCAATATGGAGAGACTCAAAGAAAAATTGTTAAGGTTTTGATTTCTTCCATTTTCACTCCTCACCAGACCTCATCCTCTTTGCTTTTTTTTTTCTTCCTCTTTCCCTTTGTGAATTAAAGTACTCCACGTCAAGTTTTATGTCCAATCCATGTATATATGATCTGTGGGGGAGCGTTAATCGTGCAACAATAATCCGCTGAAGAAACCTTGGAGAATCTCATGTCAGACCATGGGGATGATCAGATTAAATGTCTCGGTCCTAGAAGCGCACGGAAGTCCGGGTTGTGAAACGGGCAAGTTGGGCGAGTACTTTTGACCGAATACGAGAGCGACAATTGATGACGTTCTAAGGTTAATTTCTATCTTGTTGTAGGTACCTTAGGTAGTGATGCATTTATAACTTTAATGGATTCAAATAAAGAGAGAGATATATATATATATATATAAATATATAGCTAACATTAATAGATAATAGATAGAATTGGAATTAAAATCCATGGATAAAAAAAAGATAACAATGCAATTTATAAAATGTAATGATAATCTTCTCCGCTTTGATCCCAAGATTTTAGGGTCGATCTCCCCTCATTTTCTTTTTGGGATTTTCCCGGTTTCTTTCTCTCTTATGCAAACTAATGTGACCCCACACATTATTCCATCCGCCGTCTCCCGCCATGGGGCTGTTTCTTCTCTTTCTCTTGTTCATCTCTGTTCAAGCTATTGTGGTTTCATTGCCATCAAATACCACAGACATCCATATTAAATCCACTGGATTTCTGATTCAGGGAAACAATCTAACTGGCCAGAAGCTTATCCCCTTAACCGAGTCGCTGATTGAATCAACCACAGCCCATCTTAAGGTGCTATTCGCTCACCCATTGTTCAATGGGGCACTGCTGACATTCACAAGACCTTTAATTATTCTGGCACTGCCACTCAAGTTATCCCAAGCAATTCCCTCAACTTAAAAGAATCACAAATCGCTTGCATATCTTGCGATCAGGACGACTATACCGGAAATATCCGAGTTGACGAGACAATTGAATACGTCACCTCTGCTCAATCCGCTGCTGCCATTATACTATATAGCAAAACAGCTACCGGCTGCAGCTTGAATTCCGATGATCAGACCGCTGAACGTTATCCCAATATATTCACTTTCACAAGCCGATCCGGCTATTCTGCACTACTCCGTGCTTTTGATCAACCAACAACTATCAGCATCGTCTCAATGTCTTCATATATAGGCGGTGTTTCTACCGATGAGAATGCCAGTGGTACAGGTGATAGTCCGAACACTGGTTCGTATCTCAACTCTTCTCTCCACCTTCAGTCCGTTGACTTTCCCTAGCCATGATCATCTTGTACAGTATCACAGGCATCATCACCGCACTGTTCCTAGGAATTATTATCACAGGTGCAGTCCGGGCTCATCGCCATCCAGAGCGATATGGTCCTCGTCGGATTGCCGGACGAGTCCGACAAAGCCGAGCCCGAGGTCTAGCTCGAGCCATGTTAGATACTATACCGGTTGTTAAATTTGATGATAAACACGATGACGTGGAGGCCGCGAAACGAGATGTTGAGATGATGAACACTGAAGATGCTCGCGAGCTCTCCCATCAGGATGGAAACACTACTGGGGTGTCAACGCCTCGCGAATCTGAAATGCCAACCCCAGACGATAACGAGCGCCCCACTGCCACAGCCCCCGAAGCCAGGACCGAGATGCCTGACGCAGGTAACTTCTCATGTCCTATTTGCACAGATGACTTCATCAAGGGCCAAGACCTACGTGTCCTACCCTGTAATCACCAATTCCACATGGAATGTATTGATCCATGGTTGATGAACGTTTCTGGCACTTGTCCCCTTTGGTACGTTCCATCCAATATTGACATTATATATCAACTCCCCATGAACTAAACTAACCATCTCGCAGCCGCATCGACCTCAACCCACCCCAACCTGAAAATGCAGAAACCGAGGAAAATGCCGACCAAAATGACCAATCACAAGTAGAAGGCGCAGTCCTAACAACCGACGACGCCCGCCAGCAAGCCCGTCAGCAAGCCCGCCATACACATCGCCGTCTGACCAACTACCTGCACGGACCCCTCAACGCCCGACGAATGCGCGATGCTACTGTCGAGGAGCGTCTCGCCGCGCTGCGAAGCGTCCGCGAAGCAAACCAAGGCGAGTCTGCGCCCGAAGAAGGAGTACGTCGTGGTCTAACCACCCGGTTACGCGATCGCTTCCGCATTCGAACCCGCGCTCACGGTGCCGAGGGTGAAACATCCGCTGACGCCGATCATGCTGCGCCTTCTCCGGCGGCTCCGGCGGCCGTCCACCTCACGCCGTCCACTGCATGATTCACTCCTTTACATATCACTCCTTTACGTTTTGCATATATTTTGATTCACGATTCAGATGATCTCAGGTCCTCGGTAGGAGGCTATACGGCGTTTTGTGTTTTTCTATGGGTTTTGGTTTTTTTTTTTTTTTTTTTTTTTTTTTGGAACGAGCATTTGGGTTTTTTGTTTTTGTTTTTTTTTTTTTTTTTTTTTTTTTTTTGGAACGAGCATTGGCGTTTTTTGAAAGGGGGTTTGGAGGAAAAGAGAGACTGGTCTTGGCTTCTTTGTATCTTTTTTCTCTACATATACTCTTTGTATATCATGGATATAGGGTCACATACACACTTCTACATACATTAGAATTTATGCGCTGAGATAACCGTGCGGCACGAGGACAGTCCCCGTCTAGCCTTATATACCCGCCATTCACAAGCATCCCATTTGTCATGGGAAGTATAGTCGCCAGATCACCAGTGCTATGGATTATGTTTATCAAGTAATATCAGATCTGATTTCTATTTCTCATGGATCCACTGGCCTTACTAAAAAGGGGTCCACGGGTCCCCATAATGATGTTACGATCGCCAGGCACAACGAGTCATCTTCTGACTTGGGGGATTGGCTGATGTCCTTGCATCAGTGGCTGACACCTGGTCTTACCTAAACTGTTTTGCATGAGGGATATATGATACATATTCTGATATTAGCCATAATACATCTATTACCTTAACAGTCTAATGTTGAACATCGGTATATTATCCGGTGGAGAATCGAAAATCGGACCAAGTCCGTTTCCCTTTAATTCTCCGTCCCGGGATCCCCCTTATTTTAGTCAGTGTGGGGGACGTTTGTAATTTGCAAGATTCTTTGGGGAAGAGGAAATTGTCTCCGCACGAATTCAACCGGCATCGAAAACAACCGGCTTGACTAATACCTACTATGTATATACCGAATACTCCGTACCGAGTGTAAATGACACATATTGTAGTAACAGAAACATACAAAATCCCTTTGCCGAGACTTCATCATGCAATGATAACCTTCCAGAACGGTCTCCACAGTGCGTCTTTTTCCCGTCGGAGTTGTATGACACATGATTTCTAGTCGGCGGATGTAGCCTGTCGGAGAGAGGGAATATATTGGAGAATTGTAATCAGGTGTTTTTTTTAAGAACTGTGTTACTAGAATACTAGGTAACTTATAACTTATATAGGTATAGCATGTGAACTCGGTATATGAAAATGATACGGGAAGTTCCTCGGTATCTTGTGCGCCGAGGGTAGATATGAATATAAGAGAACTTGAGGAACTTGAAAACTTGAAAAAATTTTGAAATTTTGAAATTATATTCAACTTGAAATTTGTACTTGTATCTTTCTCCGATTACATTACAGCGTGCGCTGATTCCCCCACCCCCTCACATCCGGTGAACGCAAGCAGGAATATCCCGTTTCGGTGTCAGATTCCGGGGAATACGTACCAGTATTTTTGGTTTATATAATTCACCATGTCTATTCAATCCGCTAGAGATCGTCTTTCTTCTCTATCATCACACATCATGGGTTCCTCCAATCCTTCAGTATTCACCGCAGCCACTGTGGCTGCCGCCCCCGAAGATCCTTTGTTTGGTCTTATGAAGGCCTATCGTGAAGACCCCTCCGATAAGAAGGTCGATCTTGGAATTGGTGCTTACCGTGACAACAACGCGAAGCCTTGGATTCTGCCTGTTGTCAAGAAGGTAATGTTCATTCTATCTTCATTTCTATAGGTTATCTAACACATCTATAGGCCGACGACGCCATTCACAATGATCCTAGCCTCAACCACGAATACCTCTCTATCGGTGGTCTCGCTGAGTTCACCTCCGCCGCTCAGAAACTGATTGTTGGCGCAGACAGCCCTGCAATTCGCGAGAAGCGAGTACGTACCTTCTACTCGAATATACCTCCCAATAACCACCCCTCAGACCCCAACTAACCCCACCCCCACTAGATCTGCACCCTGCAAACCATCTCAGGCACCGGCGCCGTCCACCTAGGCGGCCTCTTCCTCTCCAAATTTCACCCCCAAAAGCCCGCCATCTACCTCTCAAATCCAACATGGGCAAACCACAACCAAATCTTCTCAAACGTCGGCCTCACCCTCGCAAAGTACCCCTACTTCTCCGTGAAGACAAAAGGCCTTGATTTCAGCGGCATGATCTCCGCCCTCGAAGCCGCCCCCCAAGGCTCCGTAATCCTCCTCCACGCCTGCGCACACAACCCAACAGGCGTCGACCCCACCGAAGACCAATGGAAGCAAATCGCCGAGCTAATGCGCTCCCGCTCGCACTTCCCCTTCTTCGACACCGCCTACCAAGGCTTCGCATCCGGCGACCTAGTCCGCGACTCATGGGCCATCCGCTACTTCGTCGAGCAAGGCTTCGAGCTCTGCGTCGCGCAGTCTTTCGCCAAGAACTTCGGTCTCTACGGTGAGCGCACAGGCGCATTCCATTTCGTCTCCGCGCCTGGTCCAGACGCCGCTGCTGCCTCTGCACACATCGCTTCCCAGCTGGCTATCCTGCAGCGATCGGAGATCTCGAACCCTCCCGCTTACGGCGCGCGCATTGCTAGTCGTGTCTTGAATGATCCCGTTCTATTTAAGGAGTGGGAGGCGGATTTGCGCACGATGAGCGGTCGCATTTTGGAGATGAGGAAGGGGTTGCGGGATCGTCTTGAACAGCGTGGTACACCTGGTTCTTGGGATCATATCACTTCGCAGATTGGAATGTTTAGTTTCACTGGTTTGTCTGAGGAGCAGGTTATGACGCTGCGCTCCAAGTGGCATGTCTACATGGTATGTTTTTCTTTTTCTGTATTGGATATATGTTTGGAATTGCAGCTAACCCTTTTCCACCAGACGAAGAACGGCCGTATCTCAATGGCCGGCTTGAACACGAATAACATCGACTACTTCGCTGAGGCGGTTGATAGTGTTGTTCGCGAGTCTGCTAAGTTGTGATACCTTCCTGATACCCCGGTCTTGAAAAGTGGAAACACTCGGTAGGCTTGGTTTGGCGTTCTATTTGCTTTTAGAAGTCTTTTAAATCTTCTGTGGAAGTTCAGAAGGATTTTCAGCATCAATTTACTATAGCCCTAGGACTTCGGTCTTGATATCGCATTTCTTGTCGTTTTGATACTCCCAACTGTGGGTCTGCATTAGATATCACATGCATCACATGTAATTCATAAATATAGTAATGCACCATTGAAGTCGTTGGATTATATTGTTCAATGGTCTTGCAAAGCCACTAGAACTGGAACCTCATTGATATTACAAGACAGGACCGTAGAAGCTACAGCCCAATACAAGAACTACCGCGTCCTAATCGAGAGACCTTGAGACAATATGCTACATTTCAATGAAATAGACATAATGGTATCTGGTATCGTGTAAAAATGCTTTCCATGAGAGCCTCCGAGAGCCCTGCTCAGCAGAGTCCGGACTAAAAGACCAAATCCCAAACCACAAGCCAGGTACACAACCCAACAGTACCCCAGAAAACAGCCTGAGCCGTACTCCGTCGCTCAGTAGCACGCTTCAACTCCCGATTTCCCTGCCCAACATTCGTCTGCGTCGTATCCACATCTGAAACAAGCTGAGAAATATACTCCTCCTGCGTAGCCAAATGCGAGACCAACGTTTCCTGCAAAGAAGAAATCTCCAGGAGAGATTTCTCGGCATTTCTAAAACACATTAGCCAAACCCAAGCCCAAGCCAATAAAAGAAAACATACTGGACCTTTCCCAGCGTATCCTCATAATGTCTAAGCATAGAATCATTCTCCTCAGCAAAAAGCTGCAACTGCTCCGGCGAAAGCTGCGCCTCGATCCGCGCCGTATCGGCCTCACTCAAAGCCACCGCATCAGGCGCCTGGAAAGTAGGGTCAAACCCACCAGCCCCAGTTCTCTCCACAGAAACGGATCCCTTCCGCGCCGCGTTCCCAGCAGCCCTCCCCGCACTGGCTTTGTAAAGCACGCTCTTCTCCTTCTCCCGCACCCTCTCAATCCGCTTCTCGACCATCCTCCGCTGCTCACCGACGGCGCTCTCAAGACCGCGTCTCAAGAACCAGAGTACGCTTTCGCGGATCGTGGCTAATGACCTTGCGCTCTCCTCGGCGTGGATCTGCTCGGCGGATTTGCCTTCATCGGCGCTGGCGCTGTCTAGTGCGCCGCTGCCGCCTGCCCAGCGGCGCAGGAGGGCGCCGGCGGCGGAGTGGCCGTATTTCTTGTGGAGGAGGGTGGAGGTTGTTTCTTGGCGGAGGGATTCGGCGGATGAGAGGTTTGCGATTGAGGTTGCTAGGTCGCGGAGGAGGAGGGCTGTTGATGTGTCGACTGCATCGCGTTCGGGATCTGTGAGGTTTGTTTGGGGGTTGGGGGTTGGGGGTGCATTCTTTAGGTTTGGGGTTGGTGCTCTTGTGTTTGTATTGCGGTGTTGGGGTTGGGTTGTTGAGAGGTAGGCGTGCCGGATTGATTGAAGATATTGAAGGAGGGAGTGGATATGTGAGTTCTGTGTGTGCTTTTTGTTAGATTTTCTTTCTGTTTTTAGGGCTCGTAGTGGGTGTGAGGTGAGTGCGGAGGACGTGGCTTACAATTCGGTATGCCTCCTTTAGGAATTCGTCGGCGGTTTCCGTGCAGGGTTTCCTGATTTTGGGGAGAGACGAGCCTTGCTTTGAAAGCAGTTTGTTAAGGGTGGGTGTTAGGTCGGTCATTGTGGATGTGGCGTTTGAAATGTGTTGCTATACAACTGTACACTTGTCGATCAACATTCAACGTCACTGCACGAGTGGTCTATCCCGCACCCCGCATTTGTTTATACTAGAACTGAGATCGGATCAGGCATGTCACCAACTGTATAGAATTGTCTTCGGAATTTGCTCTTACTTTTCATCATGCAGCTCATCACTTCTCAAGTGGTATCATATCTACAAGGTACTAACCCATTTATCTAACCACTACACTACATACCCTACATCACATCCATCTACAATGGAGGAACCAAAGGTCCACATTGTACGGGTCTCTCCTGCAACCCCAGATGGCGAAGATATCATTTCAGTCGTGCCAGATGCCAAGGGCATGTCCAATGAAGAAATGCAAGCAGTTGCCTCAAGCCAAGGCCACACCACTGGGTTCGTCTTCCCCGCACCCGCAGCCTTCGATTTTTGCCACTTTGAGATCCGCTTCTGGACCCGACACTACGAATTAGAGAGGTGCACCCATGGCATGATAGGAACTGTGTGGCTGCTGTCAAAGCTTGGCTTGACACCACGAGACTACCTCCACATCGTGACCAAGGGCGGCGGTCTCATGGAAGCAAGGATCACGAAGGCTCCAGAAAATACAGACATCACAGTGATCTGGGACATCTGGGTTGAAGTCTCCCACCCGAAGTGTACATTCATGGATGTTGTGAGTGTGAAACATACTGACGCCATACTATCTGAACTGGATATTTCGGGAGATGAAATACCACGCGGATTACAAGTTCGCAATGCTGGCATTAACAGGGTGAAGACGCTGCTTCCACTCAAATCACTTGAGGTATTGAATTCTTTGGAGATGGAATATCGTCGCGCCAAGAAGCTTTGTGAGAAGGTTAAAAGTACTGGTTTGTGCGCATATGTCATCGTCGATCGCGAACTGCAGTTGTATGAAGCGAGGGAGTTCCCTAGAGATTTTGGATCTTGGGAGGATACTGCGACTGCTTTAGCTTTTGCGCTGTTGTTCAATGACTGCCTCCCCAACCCCAAGAACACAATGAGGATTATGCAGAATTGGGGTAGGGGCCGTCGTGGTGAGGTCAATTTGAGGTTCTGGACATCGTGGGATGAGGTCGTTGGCTGTTGGATTGGAGGCTTTGCCAAGTTTGAGACTGGGAAGAAAGAGACTGAAAAGGCGACGACCGAGGAGGCTGATACTTGGTAGAAACTGGAGAGACATGGGAGACTTTGTGGTGTGGACATCTAACTAGCGCTTTAAGCAAATCTGAATTGAAACAAATGACATAAATTGACACGTATCGACTTATTACTTGCCTGGATGATTCTGGAATATTCAGTATATCATAAAGAATGGCCAGAACAAGGGGTTTATAGCCACAAAACCAAGTTCTGATTCAGGCTCACATACTTGGTCATAGATACGTGCTTTTGTCAAGGATCTAGAATTTTAGACAAAGGTCAATGAATCAACTTGCAATTGGTGGAAACAACCATGTCTATACCCGTAACGTTATTCCAAGGCAAGGAATCAGGTTTCAGATATGTCGGTCAGACGTCACATTCGTGACACTACTAGTTTGTTTGTGTAGATATTGTTTCTTACTTAAAACCGACCTCACCTTCCTTTTTAACACTTATCAATCCAGCACTTTCACATATCCAAAATGGCTCGCCCACCTCAAAAGCAAGCAGCAACATCTACTGAGCTACCGACCATACATCGAACCCCATCCATCACACGGTCAAGCGCTTCATACTCCACGCCTGGCCACAAAGAACCCTCCGTGTCGAGTTCCGGCAATACCACCGATGTCACAAATGACAAGATCCGTGATTACCACTACCAAGTCAAAGCAACTCTCACGAACATTCTCAATGATGATCGAGTGAAGCATAACCCCAGTGGAAGCCGCTGTGTGCAGAAGGTACTGCTGGAAAACGAACATGACTTGCGGAAACAACGAAGACATTCCCTCGGTGCATATCCTGCTAAGCGACATCATATTCCATGTCCCGTCAACAAAACCCCCTAGTCTTGAGTTTTGACAATGCCACTGATGCCGCCAATGACACAATCCTCGATTATCATTATCAACTCAAAGCAACTCTTACGAACATCCTTAATGACGACCGGGTGAAGCATAATCCTAATGAAGCCGCTCTGTGCAGAAGATGCTGCTGGAAACCGAACAAGACATGCGAAAACAAAGATATTCCCTCAGTGTCTGTCCTGCCGAGTGAACAATCTATTTTAAATGTAACATTAATACTAGAGTCAAAGCCTACGCCTTTTCCCGTTTTCACTAGGGTCAATGATTATTAGTACATAGATCGTAGGTAGCAAAGCACGGGTGTACAACATATTTATACGGAGATTCGGCCCCACAGCGCGAGATTTAGTAGACCGGCGAGATCAGTCATACCATCCTCTCTAATAACAGCGCACTCAGAGTCTCTTAAATCTTCCCAGTCCCGGAGATGTTGTTCAATTGTCTCCCCCATGGTAGACGCATTGAAAATTTCACACATTCTCCAATGCGTATCGAGAAGTACAGGCTTGGAATCTCGTACTCGGTATTTGGTAAAAATCGGACGCGTCGATCGGAGGGAATAGCGGGGATATCGGCTGGGGGATATCGCTTGTAGGTTTTTACCTCGTACTCATTCTCGATCTCCTAATAAGAAGAGTAAGTATAAATGGGGTTTTATGGTAGGTCATTGCCTACTTACAGTAGGTTTCAAGGCAATTGCAAATTTCCCAAACTGAGTATGCACTGCATCTCGGAGAGTTATTCCATTGTGGAGAGTATTGATCTGCTCCACTGAGATGATATTGCGTACGGCAGGGAAACACTTGTATAACAGAGTCCAGGTCCTTGATGTATCTCTTGGTGCTCCGGACCCCCTTGACCAAGAGGCAAATGCGAAAGGTATGATATGAGCCCCCTCAGTCGGGCCGTAGAAAACGTTTTCTGGTTCACCTTCGTGCTCCCACCGATCTGTATCTAGTTGGCCCGTTATCACACAGCGATAGTTGTCCCACAGTTGGAGCTGTGTCGCGAACGAAGGCTTACGCCTTTCCGGTCGATCAATGGGAGAGGCAACTGCCTCAACGTGTTCCTGGCGCTTTGGATGGGGACCTACCACAGAGGATGCTTTTGATCGGGATCTCACTATTTAGCAATGTTAAGAATAGTCAACAGATACTTTTGAACGGGAGGTACTTACTCGGTGCAGCAAGACCGGTGAAAAGGTTCATAAAAACATCGTACAGCTCTCCGTCGGAGCTTGTTTCAATAATATCCCTCGCGAGTGAGGTTTTACCGGCCTCCGGCAGCCACGTAAGAAACGCATTTAAGCCGCCTTTTAACAAGGTTTCGTCCGCAAGAGACTGAATTTCGTAATTCTTGATCCTCGCCCGTGCTTCTTTCTCCAAGCTCGCCAGTGAGTCTGCACTGTCCATAGAGGGTGTTGATAGTCCACGGGGTGCTGTGGGCGGGGATGCTGCGGGCGGGGAGAATCTTGCTAATCGACGCCTAGCTCGTTGAGCACGCGGCGTGTTAGAAGGGGAAACCGATCTATCTCTCTTTGTCATCTTGGCGAGGGGCTTGTTTCATAGAATTGATAGATGCGAAGTGAAGGAAGATCTGCAGAATGTGTGGGGAAGGGTTCCGACCTCGGGAGGTTCCACCAGCGATCAATGATTATCGCCCAAATAGGAAACTCCCGAGTGCATCCCCTCTTTCCATTCCCTGCTTTCACCATTTCGTTCTAGGGGTTGGCTTCTTCTGTTCAACTAGAAACTGCAATCGGAAAGCTACAAGCTTCAGTTAAAATACAGATCCCAACAAATATAGGCCTACATAAGCAGGCATACCTATACTGATATAACGTTATTTCATAATTTATATATTTCTCACAGGATCTGCGGTCACTGCCTTATTCGGATCGACCCACAATTCAGTGACAAAAGGACAAACGGACGTGATCTTCCGAAACAAGTCCTTGATATATTGATCAACGCGCGCATTCTTACCTGCTGGTGCGTGCGACGACTAATGGAGCTGATCATCGTCATGCGGCCGGAGAAGCTTTCCAATTTCGACAGTCGCCATGTCACCAGCACGCCCATAATGACCTCGTAGTCTTCACCCTCGATCCCATATCCGCCCAGGGCTAAATTCTGCTTCTGCATCATGGATCCTGGTATGGGCGGTGCCTCCGGACCGTTTGCTTCCCTCTGTGCGATAAAAGCATCGATCGTCTCCCCACAGAGAATGGCTAATCGCTCAATCACCATGCTAAGCACCATCATATTCTTCCACTTCGCTCGTCAGGTGTCACAGTCGATCATGCCCTTACATAGGGAGAGCACTTCCTGGTAGATCGAAAGAATGGAGTTGAGACCCTGCTCGCTGGGTTCCCTTTCATGATGGGGCGACTGCAATTCATCCAGTAGGAAGACGGCCGAGGCAAGGCACGAGCAGGACGAGTGCTCCATAGCAATCTCGGCGGTATCCCGGGTCAACGACGGAGTCGGAAATAGACCCGGCTGTAGTGGAGTATTTTCCGATGCAGAGTAACTGTCGTGCATCAGTATTCTATTTCTGGATGGTCCCAGAACCGACAGGGGTATTTATATAACCTGCATTAAAAGAAATAGGCTGGGACGTGTGGGTTCCCTCCCACCGGGTAGTCTGAGTCCGGCACAAACGTGTTCTCCCCTTCTAGAGACCAATTGAGGAATCCGGACGGAGTCAAGGCTTCCTTGAACATCGGGTCCAGGACTGAGTCCGGGTCAACTAGGACCTGGTTTCCCAGCCCGATGCAATTCCCGTCTACTCCATGCGGTTCTATCGTTAACGGGGACGGCAGCACTGTAGCTGTAGCTGCAGCGGCCCTTGCGGGAGATCGGGCCGCCGCCGCGCCAACCACCGGACACGTCTCATTTCCATGATTTTTAGAAGAGCTGTGCGCTTGCTTCCTTTTGCCTTTTTGCGTGGGGACGTGGGTATAGTTGCAGGGGAGAGAAAGGGTTATGCACCGAGAACATCCCGATTTCCGGCCGCTGTAGCGGATCTATTTCATACGCAATTGCCCCAATTAGCCGTTTCGAATATGGGTTGTAAATGCATGAAGCCTTTCAGCGTTTGTGATCACACACCTTTTTTACCCTGCAATTATTGCAGGCCGAGTGTTGAGGTTTGTTGGCTACCACATTTCCCGCAACCCCTGATTCACGCTCGAGGAACTTCCCGGTCTTCTTGGGCTAGTAGCGCAGGGTTCCGAACATTGGATACCGAGATCGCCTAAAAAAGGGCTAAACTTCGAAATGTCTATCTTATCTCTATGACGGATATAAGCTACTCCAATTCACAACTGTTCAGCCGAACGCCAGATCCAACGGGTGAATCAGTGGAGATTTAGCGGCTCGTGCCGGCCTGCGGGGTGGTAATCTACCAATAGGAGTCGTAGCTATGGGCGGAGCGTCCGGACCGGTATGGCGTGGCGATGAAAGGAGGAACTGGACTAAACAAGTTGCCTTGAAAGAACATGGCACAGACTGGATATACAGACTAACGTCTAGGTTTGTCCTTAATATATATATTCTTTACCTCCCATTCGTGCTTGTTCTACCATGAGTACTCTCTGCATCAGCCATTCTGCATGTGACTGAGCTGACTATGTGCTGACATCTCTTAGCCTAAGCCTGAGCTCATAACGGCAAATAAAATAGGAAAGCCCAGGTAAAACCCGGTATAGTTACATTAGTATTTGTTATGCATTGGTCGTATCTCCATGCTACGCAAAACAGGGTATAGACAAAATCACGATGCTAATATCAAATCCAGCCATGCATCAAATCATCGTACGTTCTTCCACCCAAATCTGCACCAGTCAGAAAACGTTAAAAGAATAAAAGGATAAAAACTCACCTCGATCTTCCCCATCTCACTTCCTTCCCGTCGAGCCACCTCCTTCGCCGAACTAACCAGCAAATCCAAATCTTCTTGATCTACCATAGTAATCATATCCCCATCATCCTGCACCTTCATCTTCAGCGGACAATTAAATCCGAACTTTTCCCGAATGCGATTCTCGAATTCCCCAAACTCAATACTCGGCCCGATCATGATATACCTGGTATCATCGGGGGCGTGTACTTTCGTTCTGAACTTCTGAATCTCAGGTCTTCGCGGATTCGCATGACGGGAGTATCGCGTCGGAGAGCGAGTACGACGTTGTTGTGGTGAGTGACTTGGACCAGCCTGCGGAGCGGCGATGAGCTCGAAAGCGCCGTCGTTGAGGGTTGCATCGCATACGTCGCTGGCATATTCTTCCTCTTCATCGATGTATTGGGGTGGTTGGTGGCGGGATCCGCGACCCCAGCCTGTGTTTGCTAGGTTGCGCTGACTTGAGTATGGATCGTATGGGTCTGTGTGGCCGTACTCTTGTGCCGGTGGGTAGGTAGGATTTGCGTTTGTGTCGCTTTGGTTTCTGCGATGGCCGGCTTGTTCGCTGGTCATGCTTCTCCGACTGCTTTCCGGTTGATATCCACGCATGTTTTGTCGTGAGGATGGGCCACGCGGCTCTGATGCTGTTCGTGTTGTTCCTATCCGTGGCTTCTCGGGTGCTGCTAGTTCTTGTTGGGAGGGACGACGGTCTAGGCTGGCGCCTGCGCGATCTAGGTCGAGACGTGGTGGGCGGGCACCTCGTAGAGATGATGATCGGTGGTGGCTGGATGATTGGCCTCCTGAGCCAGATGATGTGCTGACTGATCGGTCATCTGGTGGTGGTGTTGGGGGGAATACGTTGCGGTTCAGCGGTGGTTCAGATTGTTGGCGAGTGCGGCTGCTGAGGTTTTGGCGGACTAGGTGGGATGCGGCGAAGGAAACCCCTTCGCGACCTTGGAGGGCTTCTTTGTCAATGGTCATTGGATTCCATTGGTGATCTGATGATTGGTTTCGGTCCGATGCGGCAACTAGTCGAGCCTTGCCTAGGTAGTCTTTTGTCTTGAGATTCTTGACTTTTGCTGCGTTGGGACGATAGAGTACTCCCACGGGAATTGAGAAGACAGTATAGCCCTATATCTACATTAGCTTGTATCGCGGCAGATTAGTAGAGTCCACATACATCTGCATTCTCGCGGATAGCATCGTCAATCACATCGTGATCCGGGGTAAACTTTTCTTTAGCTGCATACTCGAGGTCTTGGATGCCTGGGCCCATTTGTCGGAGGTAGATATAACAGAGACCCCGATTGAACAGGACTTCGCATGAAAAGAGGCGGAACATAAGACCAAGTTGTTCATAGTCAATGGAAGTATTCCCTCGTAGATACAGCAAAGTGTCATTAAAATTGGCCAAGGCTTCTTCAAAGTCGCCAAGCAAGAAATTAGATACACCTTGCTGGAAGTAGGCGATTGCCAGGTACCGGTCTAGGCCGACGGCACGTTGGTAGCATTCTACCTGCACCAAAATCAATTAGCTGTTGGGAAGAACATCTTGCAAGTTCACCTACTGCTTTATGATGTTCGCCTAGCGTTGCATAAATCACTCCACAGTTGAACAAGATCTTTGATGTGTCGGCAATCTGATCGAAACATCGCAAGGACACTTCGAATTCTTGATTGTCATAGGCATCAAGGGCCTGCACCCATGTTTCAATTTCCTTTTGGACCACAATGTCAGTATGATTAATGTTCCGAGAGATCAGATATACATACTTGTTTGAGCGACATTGTCCCAGAATTGAGCCAGCTATTATTTCTGACCTGTGCCTAGATGATATAAATTGGGGAAAGACTTTGTAAGTACTTTCCGTCCAACACTCTAGGGCACAGTAATAATTCCGTAGATGTCCGCCAGCTTGCTCACCAGCGCAAAGCTGGGAAAGCACAGGTAATATAATCCAAGGACACAGTCGGTGTGACGGAAAAACCTTAGGGTTAAGGGGCCAAGAACTGATGGGGGCGGAAGCGGGGAGACGAAGTCGAGAGTCGTCGATATTCCAAGATGTGAAGTGAAAATGTATTTATAGAAATGGGATGATATAAGATGTGATTGAAGTAATTGGTTTAACCTCTTCTTTCTTTGAATAAGTGGAGATTGAGGGGGTGACCCAGCAACTTGGACCGCAGAAAGGCCAGGGTTAGCGGGGATAGGGGGAAAGGAGGAAAAGGGAACAAAAAAAGAAAAGAAAAATAAAATATGAATGTAAGAAAAAAAACAAAATAAAATTGAAAAAGCAAACAATCTTAGGACCTGCAGAGGGGTAGGGGGGGAAAAAGACTAGAAAGGCTACTTTGACCGAGTGATGGGATAATCCACTTTATAATTATGCACCTCTCAGTCAATAGGATCTCACAGAAGGGTTTTCATACTACCAAAGCCCGTGAGTGGGCAGATTTTCTAACGAAAGTATATCTGTGACACTTAAACATCTCAATCGGCCAATATTTCATGGGCTTTGACTTAATATTTTGACTTTCGACTCTATTGAAGGTGACCCATCACACAAGTCTGGTGGGGGATTTTCTCTTAAAATTTGAATCTGGTCTATCGCGTGGAATGATTCATTGGTCCGACCCCCCTGTCACGTCAATTCATTCCCCGCCACGGCGCTTGCAGTGCTTTATTTAGAGTTGAATAGGGCCCGAGAGTATTTCCAACTCGCTACGAGTTCCTAAAAAGGAAGTATAACTCGAGATAGTGAGTTGATACTTTGTAGACTTGGAGGAATCGTCCTGAGGTCCTTGGAGCCGATTATATACACTTCACGACCTTTCCGTTTCCGATTTAGTGCTCACTCTCCATATTCCACCTTGGGTGCTCCAAAGTTCAAATTGAGGTATAAAACGGACTTGGCCCTCGTATCTGATTGAAGTGGACTTGGTATTTTGTAAGTGACGTGTGCCAGGCCTATATCTCGCCCAGTCCTACGGAGTAGACGGCGCTATATTCGGGTAAGAACGGACCCAACAGGCGGCCGAGTCAGGCCACATGGACCGAACGGTGAGAAATTGGAAATCTTACATCAATTGATATCCACATCTTAACTTGAACACAATGTACCTAGGTACCATTGTCTATACAACATCCATGGATACACTGGAGGTTAGGTGTCCACTTTCCATGGTTCTCTGTGGGACCAACCCCACTAGACATTGAGGTACCATTCTTAGGTACCTTGAACACAAAGAAACAAAAAAAAAAATGATCTATAAAGCTTGCCAATCTATATATTGCTGGCCACTATACGCCTATTAGACACACCGAGGGGTTTAATTGCTGGGCAATATATTAATATCCGGGCATGTTTCGAGTCTATCCCGAAGATAGTAACACCCTTTGCATCTCGACAGCTCAATCATATGGCCAAAGAGACCAAAAGCCCCCGGAATGCTAAACGGTGGTATAATCATGCATCATTGGCCAGAATCTCTCCGTAGTTCGCCAACGCCGTACGGGGCCTTGCAGACCGCACCGCTGCAATAGGTGCAGGAAGTATCCTATCATGTGAGACCATAGAGCCAATGACCACGGAAAATATAAAGTACAACAGTCAGATGTGTACCACAATCAAATGGATATTTTAGGTGGAACTCGGCAAATTTATAGACTAAAGGAAGACCCCGATAAAGTCAGGCCTGATTTCCTACCTAATTTCCAAATCTATTAGGAGCTCGCTATGCGATAATAAGTAAATGATTCTATTTTAATCCATTTATCTCTACGTACACGGTAGGTTGAACATAGAAGAAAAGCAAAAAGATAATACAGGCCGGCCGGATCTTTCGTAGGAACACTCAGATTGAATCTTAAGCACGAATCATGCAGAAAAAAAATATTATTAGTGTTATAAAATGGGCTGTAATTACTAGATGGTCTTTTGTTTGGATAACCGTAGGGGCCATCAAATATCGAAGTACGATGTGCTCATCTCGGTCTGATAACGTCTCACCGGGTTGTGGATGCAGGCCGATATCCAATTGCATGTTACGCATATCTCGCATGGCCATTGGGATCATGTCTCCATGGCAGTCCGTGCGAGAAAGAAGAAAAGCGTTGCAGGTTTCTGCGGGGATATCACACCCAGGGTGCATCCATATGTTTCAGCCATTTCTAACGGCTTTCATATCTACCTCTTTCATGACAATAGGGAAGTCCAAATTAGATTTGATAAATATTTCAAACGGCACGAGCTATATCAAGTTTCTAGATAGTGCACAATTATACTCGTCTTTCCTAATCTGATCAAACAAAGAAAGTGAACAAAGTACCAATCTACGCAGAAAAACATGTACACACGGTAAGCCTGCAAGGATTATCAATCTATTTATATCAAAAATTGACTAGCTAATGCCGGTAACAGAGGTACGGATGTGATTTCCACGTGGAATACGAAGTGGTTGGTGATTGAGTCCCCACCCAGGCGCTTAGGAGCTTTTTTTAGATGGAAGGTTTTGGGAAATAGCAGGGGTAATTCCTAGCGGTCTAAAGAGGGGAACGTACACCGAGAGCTAACCAGATCAAACAATAAGCAAAATCCAAGTTCCAAAATTCGGCTGGGAATATCAGCAGTCGAGTTTGATTATTTTAACGCTGAAGATGACTATAGAAATCGATATATAGTAGGGAATAGTTTATTTACAGCTTAGAAACCATCTTGTTACCACCCTTGAGCAGAGCAGCGGCATCTCCGACGAGCTCATCAACGATAGCCTTGGCGGGCTTCTTCTCGTTGACGACAGCGGCAACCTTGCCCATCAGGTAAGGACGGGCGTTCTCCAGAGCATCGTCATCGGCATCATCGGGCAGGTTCTCCATGTCGTGCTCGACAGGGATGATACCCTTGGAGGTGAGCTCCTTGATCTCCTCGTGACGGTTCTCCTCCCAGTTGAGGATGTAAGGGTTCTTGCGGACACGGAGGGGACGGCCCTATATCGCCTGTTAGCAACCTGGACCTGTTAATAGTAACACAGCTAGGGAATACATACAGTGAAGATAATAGTACGGATGTTGTCCTCGAAGCCGGAAGTACGGACAGCTTCTTGGTGAGCGACGGGGGCACCGGCCTCATCGGACAGGATGAAGCGGGTACCGATCCAGACAGCAGAGGCGCCGAGCATCAGAGCAGCAGCGACCGATCGACCGTTGTACAAACCACCGGCTGCGATGACCTGCACGGGCTGGCCAGTCAAAGGGCTCTTCTTGCCCTCGACCAACTTGGCAACGGTGGGGATGAGGATAGTGGTGGGGACGTCACCGGTGTGACCGCCACCCTCACCACCCTGGGCGCAGATAATATCAACACCAACATCAAGGGCCTTCTGGACGTGCTTGGGGTGACCGATCATGTTCATGCAGAGGATGCCGGCACTGTGGAGCTTATCGACAACAGCCTTGGGGGGCACACCGACGGCGGAGACGAAAAGGCTAGCCTTCTCTTGGATGATAATATCGACGAGCTCACCGAGCTTGCCCTTGGTGTAATCGTAGCTATTTGCCGAAACAAAACACGGTTAGCAAGGTGTCCACAGTTGAGGAAGTATCGCAGCGATTCGAAGGTTCTTACTTGGTCTTGCGGGCACTGCCGCCAACCTGGGGAAGGAGAAGGTCGACACCGAAGGGAGCGTTCTTGTCGTTCAGGTAGCTCTTGAGCTCGGCGACTTGCTCGCGGAGCATCTCGGGGGTGTAACCGACACCGCCAATCACTCCGAGACCACCGGCGTTGGTGACAGCGGCAGCCAGCTTGGGCCCCGCAGCCACGTTCATGCCTGCCAGCAGGATGGGGTGGTTGATCTTAAGCAGATCGGTGATCGGGGTACGGATTTGCTCTGTTCAGTAGTGATTAACATCGATGTTGAGGTTATGCACGTGGAGCCTTCGGCTGCGAAGGAGTGGGTCACATGAAAATGATGGAGATGGACGAAGTAAAGGGATATGTCACTTACGAGGAGAAGCCATTATGAAGATGTATGGAGTGAAGGTAATAGGAAAAGAAAACCTGGGGAAGAGGAGGTGCGGATGGGGTGTTGCCACCTATAAAGCAAAGCAACCTCGGTGGTTCACAGACTTGCGATGAGCCTCGGTCCACGATTTGGCCGAGAGATTAGTCACGAGGTTGCCGTCGGGCCTGTGGGGAACTGCCGTAGCGGGGGTTGCGCTTGGACACCTAAGGCAGGAATTGCACGTGAGGTTTACCCAAGATGCCGATTTTGCTCACGACTTCTACATATACGCCATGGTTGGGGATATCCTGTCATTCGAATCAGCGCTAATTCCAGATAATATGTCGGCACTGATGCCACTGCAGCCCTATATGTGCAGCAAATCGGCAAAGGGATCAAATCGGATCGATACCATGCGAAACAGCAAGGGGGTTCTGGTATTTGGTTTCTGCTCTGTCTTTATGATTGGGCTGGATCTCCCTGTAGTTTTTTTGCGCAAAGAATCGCCATGGATTTACTGGTCCTTATGATTAACAGTTGACTTTTGGTAGCCACATTTCGCACAGCTGAGTCTCAGGAGTGGGCTGATGCTATCAACAAAGTGAGATATATAGGCAAAGGAAGAAATAAGGAGAGACTTGGAGAAAACTACATACTTCATCTAGCATATAGTTTCCGTTTGTGAATCATAGCGGCAATCTCATCTACATATATCTGTCAAAAGCAGAGTAGACCACGATGTTCCTTCACTGGGAATTTGTATATTCCTGTAAAGGTTCTGAGTATGTGCGAATCACGCATAAGTGCCAAATTAGTATATCTATTCTATGGATTAGTGAGGATAGAAGGGCCCCTTGTGGCTTGATGTAAGAAAGAAATGATGAAGGTGGATGTGGCCATATTAGCTTGTGTCCATCGGCGACTAATAAAGAAATAATGGCTTAATCCATCGTCTGTCGGAGAGATCGAGAGAGAAGAGACCAATCCCGGAGAGGAAAGGATAGGACCAAGCTTATCCTTATAGTATCTATATGTTAAGGCAGAGCCTCAATAACAACAACTCAAGTTAAACGCTTCACAGGCTCATGATGTCATCAAGTTCTAACTCACCCCCCAGTATGTAGGCTGATGACAATAGCAGGGAGCTCCGTTGATATGCGCAGGACAAATCATACAAACATCATGCTTGCGCTTATGCCTAGATAAGTCTGGATATGCTTTTCTTTCAACACATTCTAGAATGTATTTTGCTAGTGATACTAGGTAAGCTAGCTCACTGCTATATAATAAATATCGACTTCTGCAGAAGTTTATATACATATCCAAGTGTGTATCCACAATGTTCAACACAACAAGGATGCAGTAAAGTCCTGCAAATCATAAACAAAAAATACAATGTTCCATCGGTCCAGCCGATTCCAACAAGAAAAGAAAATTGATACCAGAGAAGCTTATCCGAGAGTAAGAGTGAAACCGGAGCTCAAGGAGCAAGAGTAGGTGTTCACGTCATCGGGGTTCTGGTAAGCATCCTTGCAGTTCACGTCACCAGGGGCACAAGAAACGGTACGGCAGCTTGTGTCACTGGGCTGCACAGTGAAGCCCGACTTGACAAACTCAGAAGTCTCGTCGAGATCAATGGAGGACATATCCCAGAAGAGAGTTTCACCATCCTGGGTATATTCGAACTGAATGACACTGTCCCGGTCCTCACTGGTAGAGATCTTGATGGAGACACCACCACCGTTGTTGTTGGTGATCCACTCCTCGCTGTAGTCACCTCCGGCGCTGAGGGTCTTCATCTCGCCGGGGTTATCGGTGATGGTCCACAGGTACAGGTCGGAACCCATGTTGTTGACAATCTGAAGACCACCACCGCCGTTAGAATCGCGGGTCTCAACGGCACCGGATTCGCCGGAGCGAACGGAGTGAGGGAGGGCCGCAGCGGTGGCAGCGAGAAGGCTGGTAAGGAAGACGTTGAAAGTCATGATGGAAGATTGTAAAATTGAGGGAATGAAAATGGTAGGTATAATAGATCTTCTGGTTAACAGAGATACTATAGAGACAGTAATTGAGGATCAACCTCTAAAGAATGAATTGACTTCAAGAAAAAGAGTGACTTGAAGTTCAAAGAATGTGTTTGAAGAAAGAAAGAAAAAAAGAACGCCATATCTGCGGATGTCTATCTTTTTATTGTACTCGGTGGAGTTCGGATGGGGATGGAACTTTTCACCAAAAAGTGTTAAGAACGGATAGACTACATTTATAGATGTGGGTATATATGTGGGGGCCTCAGTCAATAAGGTTAACGTCCGACGATCTCAGCCAATCAAAACGTGCGGCTGAAGTTTCCACATCTGGTCTCGAACACTCGTCAGAACTCGTCATCAGCTTGCTTGCGTTTCTAGAAATTCGACCAGGAAACTTCAGTTCGATCCAATCTTTCGACCGGTTTGGTTCTCGAATAAAACACTCTCCTATCCCACCTGCAATACATACAAAAGATGGATGACATCAGTTCTTTGTGGCTTCCCGGAGTCTTCCAAGATTGTCCACGTCAGATTTCGATGGAGCCTTTCACTTGGCATGGAATAGAGAAATCTACAACAAAAGCAACCATCTAACCCGGAATGCTTATCTCCTAGGATCACAAATAATTTCTCGCCAAGAATTTTACCGTTCATATTCTTTTTCCAGCATCCGGATTCTATCCATTTCGAGGCTCCGAGGCTGCTCCTATAATCAGCCAACTTAGCCACACCTTTTTGCCACGATATTCTGTGGGGTCGTCATCTTGACAGAGAGGGCCAAAATAATTACCCAGTGGTTGCTTCACAGCCCCTTGAGTTTTGTTCAATAATACCAGGAGAGCGAGTACCTGCGGAGCATTTTGCCTCCTTCGGTCAAGCTCGGGTTGGGTCGGATAATACCTCTTGAGTATTCCTCGCCTTTCCTGGCTACATCATCAACATCAGGAAGGCTGCGCTAAATGAATGGCGGAATCAAATTCTCTCGAGAGCACTCGATCAGAGAGGAAATACACGAAAGGTAAAAGACACTGTGTAGCAACATTGACTGTAATAGCTTGCTATATTATTGCTCAGCCTCGCCTTGAATCCCTTCAACATTCGACTTGAGATCCTCCAGTGCAAACATCTGGCTTGGCTTAAAAGCCGTGGCAAAAATCTTTTCAAATTCATCATCGGAAAGAACGCGCACCCCGACAAGGTCATTATCCAAAATCTTGAACTCGGCTTCGTACTTGCCACCCAAAAGTGCGGCTTTCAGCAGCGCAAGTGTTTTGAAGAGGTCCAGGTCACCCTGCTTGGTATTTTCAAGAATTGCCTCAAGCTCAGCTGCTGCATCCACTGGACTCTCGATCCATTTGACATCAGGCCCCGAGTACTTCTTCGCCAGGTTCAGAACTTTATTTTGAGTTAGGACAATGTCGTGAACGCTAACCATGCGGTCTTTTGTTGCTGCAGCATTCTTCAGAGCACCAGCGATGGCTTTTCCGACACTTGACACACTGGTTGAGCTGAAAGTATGCACACCATGGTCATACAGTGGGACAGTAGTCTGGGTTTGCAGGTCGATCAGAAACGGCATCGACATGACAAATTCCAAGAAAGGCCCAACAGCAAAGAGTGTGTACTCAATTTGCCCACTAAGCGCTTTCTCTTTGAGATAGTTCTGGATGTCTATCCATAAAGCGTTCAGCGGGAGGGACTCTGCTCCAGGTCTGGTCGTAAGCGCCCCAAAATCGGAAGGGATGAAGCGTCGGACGCCAGCCTGAATGCTGGCATCGATGACCGTCTTCTGCGCGCTAATACCGGGAGTTCCAACGGTAGATACCACAGCATCCTGACCCTGGAGTGCAGCTATAAGACTGTCGATAGATGCATAATCTACTTGCACAGTCCTGACGCTAGAAGGGGGTCCGTCTGCTGAGCTAGCTGTGCGACTTAGCACCGTGACTTGAAAGCCAGTATTCACAAGCTGCTCCAAGACTGCGGATCCCAGCAATCCTTTCTGTTGGTAACACATTAGCATAACAAACGTAGAACGTTATTGCCATTAAACTAACCCCCAAGAGTGCGACGTTCCGGATAGGCTCCATGTTAGATGGAAATGATGTTTGAAAGCCAAGTGTGTATGGAGAAAGTGGAAGAAAGTAAGAAATTGTAGTGAATCAAAAGAGGAATAATTGTATGTTTCTAATGATATAAGAATAACGAAGAGAGTCTCTCCTTTTATAGTTGGAAATGTGGTGGAATATGTGGTCCTCTATTATGTATGGTCATTGGCAGTATCTACATTAGGCAACTCATTCATGAAATAGCAAATATTCTGAGCCCACCGTCAGCTCTATTCCCATTTAGACAAGTCAGTCGTGGTATAGCGTGCAATCCACTTATATGGCTGCGCCATAGATCATCGGTTAATCAACATTAATATATGCGCTATTCCCACTTGGGTAAGTCAGTCGTGAATTAGCGCCACGATATCAACCAATGAGGGGCCGTTTGTGGAGTCTTCCTGTCTCATCTGGGTTGGTATATCTGACTCGGAAGATCCAATTATGCGATGTTCCACGGGCATCGAATAGTTGCAGATTTCGTTGAGGCTCCTAGTCAGTTGCTAGAATATTGGTGTTGGGTCCCTGAATGTCGCCAGATGCTTAGTTGTCACTATTCCTACGTCTCCGACAAACAATGGCCTTCTACTATTGTGCAGCCTCCCAAGAAGATCCCGGGAAATCTGATCCACAGCCTCATTGCAGCTAAGAAGGTTAATCAAGGGATTCTCATTCTCAGGTAGCTTGCATTCAGCAAATTCGACATGCAAATCCACTGCCCCAGTTCCCGCCATCTTATCCAGTCAGTCCGTACTGGCGAAATTCATAACTCGCTCCTGCAGAAACCGACACATCTACAGGGCCCTGGGAATAGGACAGACTTGGGGAATGGACATGTTACTACTTTGCACTATATGTGGGGCCAAGAGGCAAATTATTATTCCTATCTCTAGTATCTTTGACCGCTGCTTACACAGAGAAGGATGCTGATTGTTAACTCGTCTTCTAGCACCCGTATATTGGCAGCTGACCTTTGATTTTCCAATTTTCATTCAGATCCAATGAGCCGTGATGCTGGTCTCCGGTACAGAAAAATGATACTAGCACCCGGAGGAAGTCAAAATGAGATGACGGCCCTCGAGACATTCTTGGGGAGGTCACCCACACTTGATGCATATTTTCGAGATCTCGGTGCTCGTGGATGAAGCCTCGTGTTGAGGAACATAGAGCCGAGTACTGCGCTGAGCATGATTCGGGCAGATGGTGGCGGTGGGCACTGCGGTCCCAGCGATAGAATAGTGTAAATATACCAAAGGGACGGCTTTCTAAGCAATTAGAGGCTTGAAGGTAAGTTCAAGTGCTTCAACTTCATTTTTATTTCGGTTGCTTCAGCAGAATTATTGTCAGGGAGCGTGCGTGCGTATAAGCAGACCTCCGCAAAGCCCACAAATGGGCCCGAAGTCCTCGCCCAAAGCCCAACCAACAGTGGGCTGTGGGCCCAGCAACCGCGGGCCCACGGGGGCCAAAGCCCATTTTGTGTATAACTATAAGTCTTGGCATACATAAAATAGCTGATTAATGCAACTGGCAAATAAAACTTACCTAACGGTTCTGACCCCCGCCCCCAAGTTCTTTCTATTGTCTCGGTGGCCCCAAAGACCCTGGGTCTTTCTGTAAGCTGCCAAGAGACCGGAGATCACCTCTTCGTGCCTCGGCGGTTACTGCCACGCTCTTTGACTGGATTAATTCCGAAATTCACTCTGCCACCATGGCATCTACCAGAGCTAGCCCAGCCTGTGGGAACTGCAGGTCTAGGAGAATCAAGGTTAGCTTTTAATTTTCCACAGAATTCTGATTGACAATAATAACCTCTCGAAAGTGCAATCTCCTCAGACCAAGATGCAGCCAGTGCGCTCGAGCTGGTTTAGACTGCACTGGTTATAGGTCTCCGTCAGATATACTTTTCCGAGACCAGACCAAGTCGACCATTCGAAAGTGTAATGCTACAAGGGTGATCACGGCCAACAAGCATGTCACTTGTTGGAGCCTAATCGCAATGAAACCCACTTTCAATGTCGAAGAACTTGCACAAAAAGTATTTTCTGACAATTTTGGGACATTGGGAGATGAGTGTAAGCACTGGATGGACTCCGGTGCGGAGCGCCCTTCTTCCGCCACCATCAGCCTCACCTCTGTTGGTCTCGCTGCACTCGCCATTGTCCACAAAGATCCGAATATGATGGATATTGCGCGAAGAAAATATACCTTTGCTATAAAGGTCCTTAATAAAGCAATCATTGCCAAACAGAGCTCTGGAATCGAACAATTTATTGCTGGAAGTTTTATTTTGTCTATCTTCGAGGTTCTGTGCTCTCATATTCTGCTAATTTAGATCTCACCACCGGACTGACATATGGTTGATGCTGCAGATAATAACATGCGACAACCAATCTTCTTCACATGCTTGGCAAAAGCATGTCCACGGTGCTGCTGCATTCTTAGGCTATTTGTGTTCTACCAAGAGTCTTCCAGTGTCACCAGTGAAAGAACTCATAGAAATTTGCTACACCACAGTACGTTGGTATGCCATTGAAGGGCAAGAAACTTACTAATTACTCATACTTCAAGGTACTTGCGTGTCTTATAAGTGGCAAAACAGTTCCGCACTTCTTACTGGAATTACCAGCTCGCTTTGGAGCATCATCAAATACGCCGAAAAATGACGAGGATCCCTTGTTATCAGCAATGAGACTCTTTTCTATAATGGGAACCTTAGTGAATATCTGGGGCATGGCAACCCAGAGCTTCTTTCCACCCAGCGAGCTAATTTCACTCGCCATAACACATGATCAAGCCCTCCAAAGCTGGGCAAACTCACTTCCTGTGTCGTGGACTTATCACGAACCCCCCGAAGCACGACAATCCAGTTATAAAGACGTTTGGTATGCTCGAATGTGGAACTACTATCGTCTAGCCCGAATTTTAGCTAACCGGATAATCATCGACAATTTGGACCTGCTGTCGCCCGCAATTTTGCCAGGTGATAATTTCAAACTACAATGTGACCAGTCAGATGAAACCATTTCCTCCCTGTTACAGGGGATCTACATCAGCCTGCCTTTCATGTTCAACTCGGAACAATTGCCTGCTACCTCTATACCACTCTCGGGAGCCCTTTTCTTCTTAACTACTCTATTGCAATCTCTATTGGAAATCACAGATAGAGCTGCTCTCATTCAGGGCTGGTCATCTCCAGCATGTGAGGTCTTGGGAGAAAGGTTTACTTTTACGAAAGGGATTGTAATGAAGAATCTTCACTAAGGAGATGTTGTTATGAACGGCTTGTACATATCATGCCCGGCTCTGAACTAGGCTTTAAACAAGCGGGAAAAAGCGCTGCGGCCTCGGCCTTAAAGCACAATCGCAAATACCACAAGTGGGACCATAGGCTATGTACGGAGTACAGTCGGCATCCCGATCTAGACCGGAGTAGTTATTGAGAGCTGCCCGGGTGGGGCGCAGAAGATGAGACCATGCATTGCAGCCTGCGGATTCTATTCATTTGATGGTTAATGGCAGGACCCGTGCAGCACGCCCCTTTGTCCATTTCATAATTTATGAAACGTAAGACACATTGCATCACCAAGCGGGCCAAAACACACACACCAGTCTGAGAACCAGCTATGAGGATGAATTCGCCGTTTTTCCCCCATGGCGATCGAAGGAAGATAATGGCTCAAGAAATTCCAGATGGAGTGACCTTGGAAAATGTGTCTGGTCGTTTTGCAACGTTTGCATATAGTGTTTTAGCCCTGGAGGTTAATATGCTTACGTTAGGCTATATGACCCGGGCGGGGCACCACATTACGTCTACCAAGTCTTATAATTGCCTGATATAAGCTGAGAACTGGCTTGAAAGATCAGGTACAGAGGATGATATTTGTTCCCATGGTCTGTCTCCAAGCTGGCTCGAGTTGGTTTTCTGCCATCTAACCAATGGGATTCCTTTTGTCCCTCTCCAGGACTAAACGAGCAAGCCACATTGCAGTGATTGAGTCGCCTCGCAAGCCGAGCATTGTCATTCATACCAGCTACCTCTGGTTTCAGGCCAAGATTCCAAGAGCCATCGTACGATTCTAAGCTCTTTTGGTCCACGGCCAAGTACTCCGTATTCTCGGCCTAAATGCTTAATTGGTACATGTACCTCTCGTTGCCCCGCATCTTCAGGGCACCAAAGCCCGCAACTGAACTTCAGGCTAGGACGCCACAGTCCCACGCTGGTTAGGCTTGTCTGAATCCAGTCCAATCATGAGCAATTTGTTCAATTGGCTTTCTACTAATGCCGCCTTGAAGAAGATAAAAGGGGAAAATCCCGGTGGCACAAGCTTTAATGATAGTGCATGCAGAAACAACCTATCCTTGTAACATGAAGTCAGACATTAGGGGTTTTTGCTACCTAGGTAGCATCAAAAACGGAACAAATGCTTCCGTCTCACTATCCACTTCTTGCTAGCTCTGTGAGTAGAGTCACTTGAACCCGCTGCATTCACCGGGCCTGTGGGGAAATTCATTCACCTACATTATGACTAGAATTATTGGAGGAGAATTACCGCCACTTAAGAAACCCCTGCTACTTCTTACCTTGAGCAGAATTTTCTAACGAACGAGTTGAATGATATAAATATGAAGGACATCGCACGGCATAAGACCATTCATTTTCTTTTAGTGCCCATCAATTCATCTTGGTTCAAACGGCGACAAGGCTTGTCTAACTTACTGTTCCAAAGGTGACCAAACATGTTCTCACGACGAAGCTTTGAACGCTTCTGTGTACTTATTCTAGGCCTTGCTGCCACTGGCACTCTTGTTGAAGCTGGGCCCTGTGATATCTATGCCTCCGGAAACACTCCCTGCATCGCTGCACACAGCACTACTCGCGCCCTGTACAACGCCTACACCGGCGCACTCTACCAGGTTAAACGTGGCTCTGATAGTACCACAACAGATATCTCGCCGCTTTCCGCTGGTGGGGTTGCAAATGCCGCTGCTCAGGACAAATTCTGTTCAGGCACAACCTGCTTGATCACGATCATTTATGACCAGTCTGGCCGCGGTAATCATCTCAAACAGGCGCCGCCCGGTGGCTTCAAAGGCCCCGAAGCGAATGGCTACGATAATCTGGCCAGCGCGATTGGTGCACCGGTCACGCTGAATGGCAAGAAGGCGTACGGCGTGTTCATGTCCCCTGGCACCGGCTATAGCAACAACGCCCCTAGCGGCACGGCTGTAGGAGATGCAGCAGAGGGCATGTACGCAGTACTTGACGGAACACACTACAATGGTGCCTGTTGCTTTGACTACGGCAACGCCGAGATCAGCAGCACTGATACGGGCAACGGTCACATGGAGGCCATCTACTATGGCGACAACACTGTCTGGGGCTCCGGTGCCGGGAAGGGTCCTTGGATCATGGCTGATCTTGAGAATGGTCTGTTCTCTGGCTCGAGCCCTAAGAACAACGCTGGAGACCCATCGATCTCCCACCGGTTTGTAAACGCGGTTATCAAGGGCGGGCCAAACAAGTGGGCCATTCGTGGCGGTAATGCTGCGTCTGGTTCCCTATCAACATACTACAATGGCGCCCGCCCAAGTGTGTCCGGATACAACCCCATGAGCAAAGAGGGCGCTATTATTCTTGGCATCGGCGGCGACAACAGCAACGGCGCCCAGGGCACCTTCTACGAGGGCGTCATGACCTCAGGCTACCCATCCGATGCCACCGAGAACTCTGTACAGGCTGACATCGTAGCGGCCAAGTACGCTACCGCACCACTGACTAGTGGGGCCCCGCTGACCGTCGGTTCCTCGATCTCGCTACGGGCTACTACGTCTGGCTACACAACACGCTATATCGCACACACCGGCACTACCATCAATACCCAGGTCGTCTCGTCATCCAGCACCACCGCCCTCAAGAAGCAGGCTAGTTGGACAGTTCGCGCTGGTCTTGCCAACAGCGATTGTTTCTCGTTCGAGTCCGTCGATACTCCGGGGAGCTTCATCCGGCATGCTGAGTTCGCACTCGTGCTTGCGGTCAACGATGGCACGAAACTAGTCCACGAAGACGCCACATTCTGCCCGCAGACCGGCCTCAATGGCGATACCACCTCAGTTCGATCCTGGAGCTATCCCACTCGCTATTTCCGCCATTACGATAACGTGCTTTACATTGCGAGCAACGGCGGTGTTCACACGTTCGATTCCGCCGCTTCTTTCAACAGTGACGTGAGCTGGGTGATTAGTGCCGGCTTTGCTTGAGATGCTTCATAGGCAAGGGGCACAGATGTGCTGGAAGGGAGAATTATATCCAGATGATTAGCATCACAGCATTCTATGTATGTAGCTGGTTGACTTGTAGCACTCACTATATACACAACTATCTCAATTTGACTAGCATTATCTATGTTTGAATTAGGAAGGAGCTACCCATAGTTGACTCGTACCTGCCAGCGTTCACATCAAAGGCAGCGACTCAGCGACGGCGCAGGGGTCAGTTCCTTCCTATAAATACCCCAGTTTCATTTCGTTCCTCTTTCGTTCCTTCTCCTCTCCTCTTATCACGTTCTTCTCATCGACTCCAACTCCGAACAAACCAAATCATCTCATCAACTCTGAACCATCTCATCAACTTATCTCTATTATCTCTAAATCATTTCATCAATATGGCCCCAACCAAGCCTGATGTCAAGTCTCGTCTCCCTGCCCGCAAGCGAGCGCCTCCCGCTAGCCACTTCAAAGACGAAGACATCCTGCTCCTCTGGACAGCCTTCAAGATGACCAATATGGAGGTCATATCAGCCTGCCCTCAGTTCTATTAATATAATATACCAGTTGGCTGAACTCATATTACTTCTAGGTCACCAACCCAGCTCTAGCTCAGGAGCTCGGCGTCAACATTCCTGCCGCTCGTATGCGCTGGACTCGTCTGAAGGCCAAACTGGTGGCCTTCGAGGAGAAGGAAAAGGAGGCTAAGGCCGAAGCTTCCCCTGCTGCTTCCCCTGCTGCTTTTCCTGCTGTCGCTTCTCCTGCTTTCCCCACCGACGCCACCATGGAAGATGTTGGTGCGGCCGAAGACAACGAGGCCACCAACGACGCTGTCAAGGATGAGAGCGCGGAGTGAGCGCCTTGCCGGCTGGTTTTCTGTCCCTCTCCTTGTTGGACCTTTTCTGAAGAGATGTGAAGTTCGGGAGTACCATACTCTTCAGTTACGGGACAGATCTTATGAACAGTGAATGTCAAATGAATACATACTGAAAGCGAAATGTAGCTGAAAGTAAAATGACTGAAATAAGTAGAATCCCATTTAGATCATCAAGAAGTGTCAATTAATGCCACTCTATAATGTCTGAATCAGTTCCATGTATTTCCTGTTGCTCATGTCCTTTAAACTACAAGACAGAACCAGTGTTTTGTGAAACATCTGGTAGACCAGTTTCAAAAGTCCATCTGCAGTTATCATCGTATCCCTGCGCGATTCTCTCAACATCGACGACAGCATCCCATGCCGCCATCGTCCTCTTGTATCCTTCCTCTCTTTCGTCGACATTAATGGCATCCATGTCTTCCTGGCACCTAGGATCGGATTCCAAGCGTAGAACTGATCGTAGCACATCTAACAGTTCTCTCCTCCACTCGGGCTGATGACCACCAGACAGCCGTGCTGCGACGTATTCAAAGTACGCGGGCATGATGTTAGCCATCTCCCAGTCTAGGAAGCCAGTCACTGCGAGTGTAGAGGGGTCCACGAGGATGTTCCGGTCAGATAAGCCCCCATGTGAGAGGACAGGGTGGTCCCAACCATCTACACCGTTCGTGTCACGCTGAACTCTCTCAAGGGCGAGTGTACGTTCCGTGTCAGGGTCTTTAGCCTGTAGCGCGCGGACGCGCGAATCGTCCCACTCTGAGCGGGAGGCGCAACAGTCGTATGTCTCAACGCCGAATTCGGAGAATAGTAGGTACGGCTGCCGGTTAGGCCGGCCGTAGTAAGAGAAGCGATGCTTACGCATACGCACGAGAAGACGACAGAGATCCGTCTTAACGGTCTGGCGCTGCGGAGGGGTGAGTGAGGGCCAGAGCTCGACTAGCGGCGTGCCCAGCTGGTGAGTGAGGACAAGGCCATGTTGGGTGCGACTGGGCGTCGAAGCGTCGCAGGTTATTATCGGAATTTTGACAATGCAAATAATGCGCGGGACACAGGAGCCCAGGATGGAATGGGCGAGCGCGGTCATGTTGCCTTCGCCATCGTGAGTGCCAAGCTTGAGGATGGTAGAGGGAGAATGGGCAAAGAACCGGCGTCCAACGGCTGGAACGGTTGACCCTGAGCGGAGGGAGGTTGGGTAGAGAGGCCCAGGTCTCTTGAGGAATTGGCTCTAGCTCTTGAGTGTCCTCACTGTGTAGTGTCATAGTATTATAGGCAATAATGTGTAGTCCTGTGCTCCGCCCGGGTTTAAACCGCTACTCCTGAGGGATTACATATACCGTTGCAATGGCAAACGCACATTCTGTTTGTCCTTATGAACTTTTTCGGGCCCTAATATGCTGTATGACTGTGACCCATGGTGATGTTATTTCAAAACACCGCAATTACTATTCATACCTCAATCGCAAGAACCTCTGGAAACTCATGAAGGAAAGCTCGTCAGCTCAGCAGGCACGATATTCCCTGCTCTCGAGCGCTTGATGTAAATAATAAAAACAGGGTACGTCTGTGTCGCATTCATAGAGCGATCTCGCCCCTCTTTTTCGTGGATCGCACCGAGAGCCGCGGGCCGAAGGATGTCATCGACTAGCTGAGTTACCTCAACACTGCCTGTCTGTAGCTCTGCTGGGCTCGAGCTTACAGGGTCATTCCGCAGCTTACGGATGCTTGTCTCGACGGCGTCGAGGAAGCTGTCGGGAGCCCCACCATCTCCAACGTGAAGTGTAACCGTGCCAATATGTTCACGCGCCTGCTCTTTGGCCCCGCGATGGTGGAAGGTGGAGGAGGAAGAATGGGTTGCAAGGCCAAAGCGCTCAATGGTGCCGTTCTCGGGTAGGAGATGAAGAACTTCGATTTTGGCAAACTGTGTGGAACCAAGATTGCCAATAACAAGGAGCACAGAAGGAATGGTAGAGGGGGCGAATGTGGTTTTAAGACTGGCAAACATGATTACGCCCGTTGTAGATTGTTAGACGAAGAGGTCTTTGTTGGAGAATGACAGGTTTAAAATTAGGCAGCCAGGCATCAAGTCCCCCAAAAAGGGTATTACCCCTGAGTTGTGCTATACATCTTCGTACCTATGTAACTAACCTTGGAATAACCATGATATTAAAGGTGAATCATCCTATGTCAAGCGTTAGATTTCGATATTCAAATACACTAAAGCGACAGGATATTACGACACAGTACAGTCATAATGAGATATGGCTTATCTGTTGACAGGAACCTTTGAAGGCAATTTATATACTTCACCTTGTCGTACAGCTTGAAAACAGCTGAGCTCTTCTCTGAAGAGAAACAGTTGTGATCACCTGATGTGACCCCGTTTGTCACGACTTCCAGTAGCTAGCTCCCCTTCCTCTCACTCCCTTTTCCCAATGAATCAACCATCTTGATATCTCTTCTCCATCTCCATGAAATATGTCCGGGCTTAATGAGAGTACTATCCAACATGACCTCCAGGATATTGAAGGGTTACCTCCTTCGGTCAAAGTATATCACTACAACGGTATGGACGACTTTTGCCGGATCATCTTCCTTGAGAATGATCGTCTCTATGGTTCCTCTGGCCCAAAAACACAAGATCGGGAAAGTGGTGCAAGTTACGAAGAACGGAAAGACCAATCGATCACGCCACCACCGATAAAAGGCACTACAAATACCCTGGACGACAGTAACAACTGGGATAACGACGATGAAAGCGAACACCTCATCTTCATTATCGAACCTACTGATTTTGAGCACGATTTCCTTGACTCAGATTCTCTTTTACAAGTCAATATCAGGATATTCTTCAATCCAAAAACAAAAATCCTTGTGGTCAAGATGGCTAGCCCAGTGGATAGAGAAGCCGCGTTGATTTTCCACGACATGATTGAAGAGGCCCTTGAGCCAATGGGCCTAAAGAACGCAATTCAATTATTGGGAAGCACAATAATGCTCGCCACAGATGGCACGAAGAAGCAGGCAGATGGGGGGTGGGGTCCACAGAGACCCCCCAGGGACGCTCCCAGGAGACCGACACTTGTTTTGGAGGTTTCCAATTCACGGTCTTACGCAAAACTTCATCGGAATGTCCAGTACTGGGTAGATCCAGAAAAACAGGAGGCCAATGTGGCTATCGGCATTAGTCTCCATAGGAACAAGCCCGAGATCACTATCGACCAGTGGGAATGCAGCTCGGGAGTATCCCAACCCATCCAAAAGGCACACTTTATTATTAGAGGAAGGTCTAATGGTCAAGTTTACTTTAATTCCGAAAATCCTCTACCTCAGCTCGTGATCCCTTTTCACCTTCTTTTTCGACGGCCAGCAGAGAACAACAGAGAACACGATATCGTCATTTCGACGCGAGAACTCGTTGAGTTCGCTATTATGGTGTGGGATATGCAATTCAAAGACGAGAAATAAAAGAAAAGTGACGATAGCGGCGTGCAGTCGAAAGTTAAGAATCCTCAGATGACCAGGTGCACTGACCTTTTTCTGGCTGGTTAGACATACTAGGAAGAGTAGGATGAAGGTCTTCACAGGGGCTAAAATGGGATTGTAGGCGAGCTCGGTCCATTTGGTAAAAGGCACGAGCTACTGGGATAAAAAATGATATGTTCTATCCACTGCGTAGGTATTTTTGTTACCAAGAATGACGATATGGTGGGTATATCCCAGACATTATATCCGATGTACGTGTCGATCACTAAGAGATGATAAACTTCATGAAGCAAAAACACAGTAGAGTATTCTTTCTGTGATCTTGTCTTTATAGGATGTAAATATCTCCCATTGTTCCAATATATGAACGCGCCTATTTGGCCAAGATATGTAACTAGTTAATTAGTGCAGAAGGCTTTTTGTCCTGTCGGCTATACCACCAAACAAATAAATAGACCGATGAATCTTAATTAAAGTATAGCACCTCTAGCCCAATAGGTGCAAAATGTCTTGAAAGCCCGGTGGTTCTTTAGTTTCTTGTGCCGGAAGTCTTTCAAGGGCTGCGTGGTAGCAGATATATTAAGTAACATTCCTGTCCACATTGTTGACAAAGGTTGGTCATATATTATATCTTAACCTTTAATCAGACTTTCCTCATCTTTCTTTTTTCTTTGTATTTAGAATTGGGTTGGTAAATATCCTCCGGGATGAAGAGCATGTGGCGAGTTACTCTCGTCGTGAGCGTTTCGCTCGCTCGGGCGATGTCCACAACATCACTCACAGCAGCAGCAACTACGGTAGTCCCTACGGCTGGTCCAGCCCCTTCATTATTCCATAATGAGAAGGTGCAGTTAACCGAAGGCGTCCTCTATGATGTGTCGGTAGCCTTGCATAATAGCACTGTTGCTAATATGTTCGCCTTTGCAAGCGACTCCAAGAGGAGTGTGCGCCATAGCTGCAAGGTAATGCCCGGAGATCCCTGGTGGCCCGCGGATAAGATTTGGGACATCTTCGATATCTTGCTCGGCGGCAACCTAATTAAGACCGTGCCCCTGGCAGCCTACTGCTATCCCGACTGGCCGCAGTACGATGCCGCTAAGTGCGCAAGTATTTCGGCTGACTGGCTTAAGTCTGACCTACACATGGCTGATTCTACCTCAATAATGCTGCCGCTGTATGAGGGCCGCTCGTGCCTACCACCACCGTATAGCTATACTACAAACTGCACGCAGGGCGGCTATCCAACGTATGCAGTGAACGTATCCACCGTTGCTCAGATTCAGCTAGCGGTCAATTTTGCCCGTAACTTGAACTTACGGCTAGTGGTTAAGAATACTGGACATGATTTCAATGGCAAGGCCTCCGGCAAAGGTGCTCTCTCCATATGGACGCACTACCTCAAGGATAAAGAGTATTTGCCGAACTTTAAGGCGGCCAATGGCTATGTCGGGCCAGCGATTAAGTTTGGCTCAGGTGTCCAAGTCTATGAGGCTTATAAGTTTGCTCAGACCCTCGGTCACTCCGTTGTCGGTGGAGAAGGCTTCACCGTCGGTTTAGGTGGTGGCTACACTGCCGGCGGTGGACACTCCCCCCTTTCCAGCCTGTACGGTTTGGCGGCCGATCAAGTTCTCGCCATGCAAGGTAAGTCTCTTTCTATAACCTCGTATTAGATAAAACCTTCCTACTAAGTCTGCTTTAGTTGTTCTGGCAGATGGTAGGTTCATCACTGCCACCTCTACTGAGAACTCGGAAGTTTTCTGGATGCTTCGCGGTGGGGGTGGTAGCACCATTGGAGTCGTCACCTCTTTAACAGTGAAGGCTCTACCTCAGTTGGAGACTACTACTGTAACCTTCAATTTCACGATCAAAGACACTCCTGGTCCGGATGCCTTCTGGGCTGCTGTTGGATTTTACCTCGACAATTTTGAGACCTTTGTTGATGCTGGCACCTACGGTTACTTCCACATCGGTGCGTCGGAGGCCATGAATGGTACGATATATGCCGGTGATACCGACTACTACTTCCGTATGGCATCGTTCGTCGCGCCAAACATGAGTGTTGCCCAGACTGAGGCGCTCTTGGCTCCATGGTTTGATGCTCTCAACGGTCTGGATATCTCATACACCCCGTGGTACAACCACGCGGATAACTTGTGCGTCTAAAGTCTCCCCGTTCATTTCTGGCATGTATGACCTTAGCTAAAACTTTCTTCCAGCCATGATCCCTGGGCAGTGGCCTTCCCCAAAGAACTCATTGGAACTGATGTGGCCAAGACTGCTTCTCGCCTGCTCCCCCGTAGTGTCTTCCAGAGCGATGATCTCCGCAACCAAACCTTGGCCGCCTACAGGGACGCTGTCAATCAGGTATGCCGCATATGTATACACAAATGCATAGATATACTCTCTACTATGTCAATATATTGGGTTTTAACATGGTATAGGGCCTTTTCCTTGCCGGCTTCCACATAAGCGGCACCGGCATTGCCGTTGGGCCCCCCACAGACAATTCCGTGCTCCCCGCATGGCGCGATGCCCTGTCTCATACTATTGTCGGTTCTCAGTGGAATACTACCTCCTCCTGGGATGTGGTAAAGAGCTCCTCGCTCTTCGTGACCAAGTGGATGGATATTCTACGTAAGATTGCCCCAGGCTCAGGCGCTTACATGAGTGAGGCCGATCTCCTCGAGCCGAACCTCCAAGAAGCCTTTCACGGAGTCAACTACCCTCGTCTCTACGCCCTCAAGCAGAAATATGACCCTACGGGTCTTTTCTTTGCCTTAACTGCCGTTGGTGCTGAGGATTGGGAGGTCCAGACTGTTGACCCGCTGCCTTACTCGTGGAACAACAATGGGCGACTCTGCCGTAAGTCTTCTCGGAACGGGAAACACGAAATTAAACAGGTATAAGTCAAAGCAATGAAAGTCGGATAATGGGAAGATTTAGACTGCGAAATATAGGTACTCGGTGCTGCAACTCAATTGTTAACCACTCTGTCTTGAGGCATATAATTTATACATACCTTGATATTGAAGATGGATGTACCATAGCTCTTTGGCGAACTTTAATGTATAATCCAATATACCTGGAATAGCTCAATCAATCAGAGACTCAAGAAGGTCCATCTTACTTTGGTCTCGGCAGGTTATGGTCAACCTTGAATGATATATTGTTCATAATCCCATACCTCTATAAAATAGGGGTTGATTTATAGACCCTGCTAGTAAGAATCTACCCACTGCCCATTTTCCCACCAAAACTGACCGAGTTTGAAGCCTATTCTCTCGATGAATTTATATTGTAACCTATTTTTATTTATTTTTTATCTTATGTATAATTGGAAGCCCAATGTAATATATTATAAAATAATATCCGTAAGTATTTTTCATAGAGTATGGCCAATTTTCAAAGTCATGATACTGATCGCAGTTTAGTATGGGAGCCACTAGCTCTCGCTATCTATAATGACAATTTATTTTGACATCTGAATTTCAACTACTTGTCACTCAACAGCCATATATATTGGACTATTTGGAAAGAGATATTTACTAACCTGATAATGCTCTTTTGATTAAAGTCATCAGAAAAAATTATTACAATATAATTTTTTTGAGAGAATAGGGTTCAAAGTTGGTCAGTTTTGGTGGGGAAATGGGCAGTGGGTAAATACTTAGTAACCGCTATGTATCAATATTTGAGCACATTTCTGAGATATTTACTTGTCTTGTTTCACTACGTTGTGCTATCTAGGTAATACACGCACCTTTTAGCCATATTTGGGTGTTGAAAGCTTTCAATCCTTCCGATTTCGTCCCCCATTTCGTGTGTCGGATAACCAATGTTAGTTCGTGCCAAATGCGCGCAGCTCAAGGCTAAAATTACCACTAAAATAGATTTGACAAGGCCGTATAAGCGGTTGGATATTCCAATTTTCTTATTCTATCTAATTAAAGTTTCTATACTTTGAATACGCTATGCCTGCAGATTCAATACAAATCAATGACGAGCTACCAGCGCGTCAGGCAGTCAAAATTTACTATGAGAAAGTGTGGAAGAGACGCACTGCCAGCAATAAACTTCCGATAAAACCTTGAATTCGGAGGGTTCAGGTACGGAGGTTTCGGCGATGTCGAAGGTAGTGGCTCTTTTCTACAAAATGAGTCCAGCTAGCCGGGGGATACCCATGTCAAGACGACTATGTCCCAGGCGTCATGTAGATTTACGCCACTGAGCGAGCCCACGTCGTCGGTTAAAAATCTTGCAACAGACTCTCGGTGTCGGTGAATTGGTCCACTACGATATAACGCTCCGTTGACCTAAGAACCAAGTGTAAACTTTGCGCGTCAACACGGGCACGTAAAACGACCTTCACATACCACAGGTATCGGCGACTAAGTTTGCCATCACCGAGTCTCGGGGTATATTTTAGTGGGTTGGGTTGGGCCGCGTTGTGGGCTTTATGGGCTTTATGGTCTAATAAGAGGGAAGATATCGAAGAATCTGTAATTAGGTATAACTATTCCAAGGGTATCTATCGCCTTATATGAGGCCCGTTGTTACAACCTGCCCCTGGACTGGCGAGTTACACACTAGGCCAAAAAGACCACTATATCTGAGCATTATGCTCAGATATTCCAGGCTCCGATATATATAGTGCATGACGTGACACCCGTGGAATATGCCCGTTCATAGGTAATGTCGCAGTCTAAATGATAGTATGTAAGTTATGCTCAAACTAAGTCGAACTAGACATCTACCCTAAGTCTGGATTAGGTCTAGGTTATGGACGTTCGACCTAGACCTAGACTGGGTTAACACTAAACCTTGGAACCTTTGTCAAGTTGCTTTAAGCTTTAGCGTTTAGTGGATCACCGCTAAGCATGTCGATCATCCGCATCCTTAGAGCGACCAAAAGGTAATAAAAAAGCGAGGCAATAAGAAAGTAGGAGTGATATAGAGAGGAATGGAGAGATATTGGGATAGACTAGGATGAACCTGAAATGGGAAAAATAGGGCAAGATTCCTAGAGAGCACATGAAGACACGAGTACGTTTAGGAAACAAGTACCAGGCCAATGAGAGCGAGACTTCATCTTTGACTCGGATAGCACAAATTCTATCTAGCCAAACAAGTAAAGCCTTCAACAACAACATCCATCGACTTAAGGATCCAGAGATAAAGTGAAGCCTTCCTGATAGAGTAACGTGGTATCGCGCGGCTTCAGTTTGTTTGCCCCAGTACTTCTAGTGGTTCAATGCCCCTTCTTACCAGGCTTGGGAATCGCCCCTAAGACTTTCACCAAGAGCAATAACTCTGGATTAGATTCGCCTGCCAAGACCTCTATCTCTCGGATATCACGTTCAATTTCCTGTTGCAGCTGCTGAAGATAATCGAATGTATCCTCCAGAGCTCTAGCACTCGACATGAGGTCCAAAATATGCAATTTGCTCTCACGCATCATCTTCGTGTTTGTCATTCGCATTTGTCGGAATATGCCGAGAATAATGCCCTTATTTGTCTCACTCTTTTGGCAGCACTTGAGAATTGGGTAGGACAATTTGCCCTCATCGAGATCTTCGCAGAAGCCCTTTTGTTTCGAATAATCTGCCCCTTGGAGGTTCATGTAGTCATCGCGGACCTGATACCATCGGCCGAAAAGTCGGGCTAAGGGTGAAAGTCGATATGAAAAGGGCAGTGTTTTGGCGTTGCATTGCATAAGCTCAACCATCATGGTCAACAAGGCACCAGTCTTCTTGTCCGCCGCACTGAGGTATTCGGATTCCGTGGGACAATGAAAACTTTGTCTCCAGCTTATATCCCAGCTCTGACCAATGAAGAGCGTCTCAAGCCCCTGCAAAAAGGCGGTCATCATCTGAGGAGTACCCAGGGCGTCTACTGTTTGAGCTGCTTTGACAAACATGTATGTGGCGCTGTTGATTGATTGCGCAGGTCCGAAGATGAGATGGGTCGCCGTTCTCCCTCGTCGGAGTGGTGAGTTGTCTTGGATGTCGTCCAGGATTAGGGAAGAGTTATGTAGATCATCGAGGACATGCTTAATTGCTGCCAATGGCTTAGGGGGCACCTGCATCCAGACGTTGAATGCTTCGACAAGTTTTGAAAGCACGTTCTTTGATGACAGAGACTCCACGTAATGAGCTGGAGCGAGGAGAGCCGAGTCATCCAAATCAGATGTACATGTGAAATGGGATACTGAAGGTAGAGACTGAACTTTCGTAATCGCTTGAATTTTGCCGGAAGTTTGGTTTGTCTTAACTGGCTTGACAAGCTCAGCCTTTCCTGTAGGATTTGAAACTTCGTCGTTTTTTGATCCATGGAAATCAGTCTCTGCAGTTGGAGCCTGCTCTTTCCAGGAGTTCAGCCTAGGACATGTCGACGCCCAGTAATTATATCCACCCATAGCTACCTCAGCAACCTGGAGCAATTTCTTTACATGACGAGGAAGGTTCGGCTCTCGTGCGAATCGTTCAACACACATGTTGTGGAAAAGATGTTCGCCTTGCAGGATCTCCTCCTTTGTTCTCTGCTTGGCTTCTTCCTCAGAAAGACCCTCGGTTCTCATATAGAACTCGATCACATTTGCAATCCTTCCCTGGCCATAAAGACGCTCCCGTGGCCAACTGAAGTAGTCATTTGTCAATATAAAGACCCTGTTGGCGGATTTCAGAAGATCTTCTATCGAATCCCAATCTGCTTGCGTGAATCTATCCTCGTGAGAGAATGCCAACCAATGCCAATATGCCCTAGGAATATCAGCACCACTCATGTTAACAGGGTATCACGTCATACTTTATCCCTCCGTTAAGTCGCCTAAAGTGGAGGTATTCGTCAACACATTCAATCGTTTGGGGATTTTTCAACCCAATTTCGTCATCAGCCCAAACTTTGAGATTCTTAACAAATTCCTGGCCTTCATTGGTATCCATATCAATCAGTTCAAGAACTGTCTGTGAAAGGAACTTCTTCATGGCTTTTCCCCTTTCCGACGTGCCCGGGTTGTTGTCCTTGGGGTCTAGCGCATGGGATAGATGTTTGTTCTCTTCCTTGGAATCTTTTGAGGATAATGCATCTGTAAGATCTGGTTTGAAATTTTAATTCTTGCTCGTTGTTTATTCAAGGCCAATTGTATCAATGGCGTACCGTCATGTATGAATGAAACCTGTGTGAAGTATGCCAGGATATGTGCCTTATCTGGCGAGCACTCGGGAAAAATAAAGCTAGATACATTCCCCACTGATGAGAAAGCATGTCCAACTTTACGGTCTGCATCGTCGCACATTGCTGCTGTCCAGTTGTTGATTGCCTTTGTGGTGTAGAGATTCATAACATCATCGCACTTGTTTATTCGCACCGCGCGAGTCGTAAAGCAATCAGGTGGTCTTTCCCTAGTCAGATCCACAGACTTGGAATTGGTCCAGGTGGCATCAAGCTCGCTAGTTGGTAAGTCCATTGTTGACTCGATATAGTGGAAATTGAAAAGAAAGGATGGGATAGTACATCCCATAAAAGTATTCCCCAGAGTATTCCCCAGTCCTTAAGTAGGTGTTCTTACCGCTCTTTCATTTGGTGCTTCATGTGATATATATCAGCGTGCCCAACAGGATCAACGTTATAGAAGTCCGAGGGATCGATTTATATGCAAGGGGCTGCCTTTCCTCTTCATAAGAAGTGGATAAGTCATACTGGAGATCTGGCTCGTCCTTTATGTATTCCACTTCGACCAGAGTACCATCATTGTCCGTCAGTACATACATGCATACAGAGTAGTTTTGACAGTACAGCGTATCCTGGTCTTGGGGTTTAACTCCAAAAAAGCTTTCTTTAGTTTTTACACATTTTTCTCATCATCCACAATAAAAAGTGTAACTCCATGTCACAGTGTATGTAACAGTCCAGGAATGAAGGTCCCAAATCAAGTAACTAGTTAGCAGTCAGGGAGTGGAGATGGATGCAGGGCAGGTGGAGATATCCAGGCACCAAGGCACCAAGGTGTCAAGGCATAAACGCCAAGAAGCAGGCGAACCACGTGAAGCTTATCAGACTTGACTCGAAGCTCTTGTAGTATTTATGTTCTTGCCTCCTTTCTCAAATCAGAATGGGCACTAGGACAATACAGAGAGCCTCTATATCGGCGTCTTTTATTCCTCATTCACGGCAAATTGGGAGGTCGTTCAGACTTTCGCCATTGATTGCTTCCGCCACAAGCGCTAGTTATCGACAGTTGCATACAGGGTAAACACCCAAAATAATCAATTGGCTGTGGCGAATCTGACGACATCGTATAGTTGCCGAATATCCTCACTGCAGAGCCTGGGTATGTCCTTGGTTTCCTCTTCGAAGCCCCTCGAACGCTTATCGGCGTATCATCCCAATGGGGAAATATGCATGTCCCGCATTTTTTTTTCCTTCGTTTGATTTGCTGCACTTTAATCCAACAGGACTAATATTCAATAGGGTCATCTTATCAATCCCAGTTGGTATATACAGCTCCATTACTATCAGGAATTCTCACCAGAAATGGTCTATCGCGACGCTCAATAACATCGTTGCATTTGACCCCGCCTGGGAGGAATTTCTCCACTGCGCGAGCAGTTGACTCCAAGATGAATTTGAAGTTCTCCAGCCCAGACATCCACCGGGCTTTTATTGCCTTGGGAAGCAATGTCGGAGACAGAATAGAAATGATTGAACAGGCTTGTCTTGAAATGGATCGAGTTGGGATCAAAGTGAAAAGAACAAGTTCATTGTTCGAGACCGCACCGATGTATGTGCTTGATCAAGACCCATTCATTAATGGTGTATGCGAGGTATGTTAGCGAAGTTAATTTTCAAATATGGTAACGCATTGCTAATTTGTCTCAGGTGGAAACAACACTTGCACCTCTGGATCTTTTGGATACTATCCAATCCATTGAGATTGCAATGGGCAGAAAGAAGCTCATCGACAAAGGCCCACGCTCTATTGACTTGGACATCCTACTATATGATCAGGAGATCTTCTCTCATGAGCGTCTCAACATCCCACATAAGCTGATGCTCGAGCGGGACTTTGTATTGCGCCCTCTCAGCCAGTACGCTCCCAATGACCGACGTACAAACAATTACTAACCACCCGATTCTAGACTAATCCCAACTGAATACCCTCCACTACCAGGAAAGGACACGCAGACATACAGCACACATCTGAAGGCTCTCCCGCCACCAGAACCAACTCCAATCTCAACAACTCCAATCTCACCACTATTCCCATCCCTGCGCGCAACAGATCCCAAGCGCAGCACCCACGTCATGGCAATCCTCAACTTAACGCCAGACTCCTTCTCCGACGGGGGCAAACACTCCCCAACAGACCTGACCTATATAACAGAAACAGTCCGGAACTTCATCGCCTCCGGCGCAACAATCATCGATATCGGCGGCGAGAGTACCCGACCAGGCTCAACACCAGTCGGTGCCGCCGAAGAGATAGCCCGCGTAGTACCAGCAATCAAACACATCCGAACCTCCATCCCCGAAGCCGCCAACATCGCCATCAGCATCGACACCTACCGCGCCAGCGTAGCAGAGGCCGCCTGCGCCGCCGGCGCAGACATCATCAACGACATCACCGCCGGTCTCCTCGACCCAGAAATGCTACCCACAGTAGCACGGCTCGGCAAGTCCGTGATCCTGATGCACATGCGCGGCACACCGCAGACAATGACAACCCTGCATGAGTATCCTTCCGGCATTATCCCGGAAGTGGCTGCTGAGCTGGGCGCGCGCATCGCGGCAGCCGAAGATGCAGGCATCCGACGCTGGCGCATCATTCTCGATCCGGGTCTTGGCTTTGCTAAGATCCAGCCGCATGATCTGGAGATCTTGCGGGACCTGCCGAGGCTGCGGGAGATGCCCGGGCTTGAGTGTTTCCCTTGGCTGATGGGGCCTAGTCGGAAGAGGTTCATTGGCCATCTTACTGGGGTGAAGACACCGGCAGAGCGCGTTTGGGGTACGGCTGCTACTGTCTCTGCTAGTGTGGCTGGTGGGGCGGATATTGTTCGTGTTCATGATGTCCGTGAGATGTGGCAGGTGACGAAGGTTGCGGATGCGATTTATCGCGTTGATTAGTTCGGGACTGCTACGTCTCTTTGTATAGCTTTGCGCCGCTGCTTTGTATATGGGGCCTTTTTTATATTCAACACTTGGGTATGACTTGTACTATATGTACTACTGTGTTCTCTTCATTCATCATGGAGTTTCGGTTGAGCCGTGTAGGGCTTGAGAGTCGGGTTCTGCTTTTGTCAAAAATTCTTGTCTATCAATAATATCAAATCATGAATTTCTCGAGTATCCTAAACCATATCAAAGCGATGAGCAAAATAAAATAAAAGGTCTCCTCGATCATCCTGTGTTATTGGTAGGAATGCGAAGAAACAAAGAGAAAATAAACAAAAACGTCAATGACACGCCCATATTGCAAATCAGAAGGTATGAAACCAAATTTTTGGCCGACTGCTGATCGCAATGGTTTTCCAGATGAAGATATATTGTCAGGGGGACAAAATGAGCAGGGCACAGTATACGTAGAGCACGAAGAGGACAGGGCTGGGGTAGTCAGAGAAAAATGTTGCTTGCTAAGGTAGTTGGAGTCGTAGAAGGCGCAATATCTGATTAGCATAGACTACTAGCCTAGTTGTTCAGATAGTTACGAATAGCACCTGGTGATATTCAGTCAGCGAAAACTTGTTATATCCTCAAACCAGGATCTGCTCACCTTGTAGCTTAGTTGCACCTTCGCCGACAAGATGCGACAGGTTCTCAAGATCATCTCCAGCCGTGATGCCAAAGCGACGAATGAAATCCTTAGCGGCAACCTCCATATCACCATAACCATCGTCAAGTGAATTGACCTCATCCTCGGGCCGGCCGAAGTAGGAGTTGCTAGAAATGGATGTAGCGCTATCGAATTGGCGAAGACGCTCCTTGGCCTCTGACTGGGCAGCGGGATCAAAGCGGTCCCGTCCGAAGAACTCATCGGACGAGATACCCTTCTGAGTGCCAAATCGGGTTCTGGTCTGAGCAAGTTCCGCTTCTGTAAAAAGTGTCAGCTTATATTTCATATGTCGGGTGACCAAGGACAATTTACCCTCAGCAGGACTGGGCTTGGCAGGGCCAACAGAACCAAAGGTTGGCTTCTTGGGAGCAGCGGGCTTCGACACCTGGCCAAAGCCCAGTCTGCTCACACCCATACCCAGGCGCTCCACATCACCCGAGTTTCTATCATTAGACTTGCCAGCAGGGCTAACTGGGATAGGAGAAGCGATAGGGACAGCGGCAGTGGCGGTCTTCTTGGCCTCGGCTTCCGCCTGCTCAGCCTCGGGGTCGTAGCCAAGCTTTTCGATACGCTCAGCCTCTTCCTTGGCCTTACGCTCTGCCTCCTCGAAATCAATCATATCTGCGGCAGCAACCTTCTTAGCCCCGAGCTTGGGTGCCTTCTTGGCACCGAGGACACTGCCCTTCTTTGCAGCGGTAGCTGTCGAGGTCTTCCGAGTAACACTGGTGGGGCGGATAGCAGATGGCGCGGGAGAGGCGCTTTTTTCTTCCGAAGATGACAAGGGAGACTTCGAGCGAGATCCATTTGCACTGGCGCCAGCGTTCAGGAAAGGAGAGCTGTTCCGGCTGACAACGGGGGGAGTACTGGTGCGCGATGGGGGGTTGCTCGGGCGCTTGATCGAGGGCTTGTCCCAGGAAGAAAAGAAATCGTCCTCAGCGTCGCCAGCAGGAGTGCTCGAGCCATCCGAGGGTGTGCCAGCGGGGACATCTGTGATGACGACTTCGCCGGGATACCTAAATGAAACAATAACACTGGTTAGCACGTAGTCATTGCCACCGGGATTGGATCCACTGACTGTTGCGCATCCAGCGCAGCGCGCCTCTTGAGTTCTTCCTTATACTTGACAGCTGCATTGCATGTGTACTTGACTTTAGTGTCCTTGCTCGCCAGCGCAGCGGAACCTCCGTGCGATTGGAAATACTTGGTCGCAGATTCATTTCCACCAACCTTCATCACCCGCAATTGCTCCCATTGCCATTCTGCATGGTATGTTAGCATTGAGCTACCGGCACATTTGGTTTGTAAAGAAATTGTGTTGCAGTGTACGTACGGTCGAGGTTTGTTGATCGGACAAAGGAGATGTGCACACCCAGGTTACGGTGGTGAGCCGAGCAATCAAGGCAGAGATAGATACCGAATGGAACTGAAGACCATGTCGGGTTCTTACTGCCACAGTCGAAGCACACCTGAAAGCAAAAACATCAGAATCGAGTGCCACAATCACTGGGTACGGGGTGGGGGTGTGCGCACCTTGTTCGCGGGCTTCAGCTTGGCCTTCTCAAAGATCTTTTGAGACTGCGCCTTTGTGGCACTCATGATGGTACCGAGGAGATATCAATGGGAAAGAGAAAGAGAAAAAGAAAAGGGGGGTTTGGGCGAGAATGTGAGGGTAAGGCAAAAAGCATCCCGAGTCGGGAACGGCGAACGTGGACTCTATCGACCTTGTGCCTGGTGTAATCGGCATACAACGCCTCCCATTTGGCCGGGGTCTTTTCTACTATCGACTGTATCGTAATACCGTATTGTAATCACGTGCTACCGATAATGAAGGCCGATAGCAACCTTTCAACAATGATCGAGTTCAGTATTCGACTGAAATACTCCAAGTTTCCAGACGCTCGGTTTTGACCCTTCACAATGAGTTCTATCCAACTACGCGTTCTTCCCCGACTATCCTCGGCAACTCTTGTTCTCCGCCCCTCTCCCCGCATACAGACACAGATCACTCGGCTCTACGCCACGCAAAACAACATAGGCAACGGGCCTAACATCCTTTCACCCAAGAAGAAAAGCGTTACAGTGTTCTCCGACGATGGGAGGGTTAAGTGGGGCGATTTGAGTCGAGGAGAGAAGCTTGCGCGGACAACACAACAATCATTCAACTTCGTTATCGTGTTGGTTGGAGCAGTACTAACGGTATGAACTGCTTTCATTCAGAGGACCTAGCAAATAGTTGCTGACTATATGCTCTTCTTAGGGTGGAGTCTGCGTACTTTTCTACCAAGAGGTTTTGTCACCAAACAGCAAGACATGGCAATTTGAAACTGCAGTAGGGCGCATTAAAGATGACCCCGAGTGCATAAAATTGCTCGGTGATCGAAGAGAGATCAAGGCATATGGCGAGCAGACGTCGAGCCGCTGGGCGCGGAACAAGCCTATTGCGTATGTTCTATGGTTTCTGCTATGCTGTAAAACCGAAACGCTGACAATAACTAGATCATCAGTCGAAAAGGACCGATTGGGTCGTGAGCACCTTCGCATGCATTTCCATGTATGATACTATTTCCGGTCAATTTGGGATACTTGTACTAACCGTGCTTTCCAGGTGGAGGGTCCTCTCAACTCTGGCGTAGTCGTCGTGCACATGATGAAGCCTTTGGATAAGAGCAATTTCGAGTACCAGCTTCTCGCGCTGGATGTGAAGGGACACTCTCGCATCGTACTCGAGAAAGCCTCAGAGAAGGCTAATGTGACTAGCGCCTTGAAGCTTTTTGGTATTCAGTGGCGCTGAACTGGCAGTGATGCCAATTTCTCATGATACCCCTTTCACCTTCAACTACACTACATAGGCTCTACGCCTTCATCTGCGAAGAGCATTTGAACATTCACAGCCTCTGAACTTTTGTTCTGGCGCTTTCCCCGCGCTGTTCTGTGTCAGTTTAGAAAACGCGCTTCCCTTGTATTTTTTTAGGACAGGGCCACTGGCCGTCCACTCAGGCTCTTATTATGACCTGTAACATGTATCATAACTTTCTGGGTTTCTACCATTATTGCGCTAGTCCCACATTTACTCAACAAATTCGATTTGGTCCTGGGGATCCATATATGTTGATGAATTTGCACAAATCCATTTCTAAGTATAACCTTCGACTCAATCCAGACTTCTGGGTGAGTACTATATGCAAAACAAATTTTGAAACCTATTGACATGAATACACATAAACACATAACGTCTATAACAACCCACACACTCAAGCCCATCAAATCTATACAACTCTGGGTCCATCAATAATTGTCTTAGCCTCCTCCGATCTCCACCAACTCTTGCCCTCCTGACCGGGGTATTCGAAAGCATCCATACTCTCGGCCTTCATCTCAACACTGTATCCAGGCTCGAAGGGAGTAACATAGTAACCATCCTTAACGCTGGACGGGTGGACGAAGTGCTCGTGGAGATGATCAACATACTCGAGGACACTCTTCTTGCCGGTAACAACAACATAATCGATTGTGCTCAAGTGCTGAGTGTACTCTGGCAGACCGACACCACCCGAGTGTGGCACGATAGGGATGCCGAACTTACGTGCAAGCAGGAGAATAGCCAAAACCTCGTTCACGCCACCAACACGGCAGGCGTCGGGCTGCAGGACAGTCAAAGCACCGGCTTGCAGAAGCTGCTTGAAGATCACGCGGTTCTGGCACATCTCGCCTGTGGCCACGCCAACAGGGCCGTATGGGGTATCAGCCAGGGCCTTGCGGATGGCAGCGTGGCCGAGAATGTCATCGGGGGAGGTGGGCTCTTCGATGAACCAGGGCTTGAACTCGGCAAGTTCTTGCATCCAGGTGATTGCCTCGGGGACGGACCAGACCTATTTATTTCCCAAGTGTTAGTCGAATGTGTAACGAAACCAGCCCGAAGAAATATAACGTACCTGGTTGGCATCGACCATCAAAATATTACCCTTGTCATATCCAATAGCCTCACGTGCAATACGCAAGCGAGTCTTATCATCTTCCAAATCAGCTCCAACCTTAAGCTTGAAATGTCTATATCCCTGCTCAACACTCTGCTCCAACAATGACTTCAGCTTATCCTTGCTGTATCCCAACCACCCGGCACTAGTAGTGTAAGCAGGGACAGCCTTGCTGGCCTCGGCTTCCTTAATACGCTCCTGCTTGCCAGACTCAACCTCCTTCAGCAAACTGATAGCCTCTTCGGGAGTGATGGCATCAGTGATATAACGGAAATCAACGCAACGCACGTACTCCTCGGGGGTCATGTCAGCAATGATGCGCCAGACGGGCTTGCCGAGGGTCTTGGCCCATATATCCCAGAGGGCATTGACAACAGCGCCGAGGGCGAGATGGATCACACCCTTCTCGGGACCGATCCAGCGCAGCTGGCTGTCGGAGACGAGGTATCGCCAGGTCTTACCCCAGTCGGCGGTCATTTCATCCAGGTCTTTGCCAACTACCATCGGGGCGAGTAGGGAGATTGCTGCGCAGACAATTTCATTTCCGCGGCCGATTGTGAATGTCTGTAAGGGCTTGGGTTAATTGGAGTGTTGCGGATGGGTGATGTGGCATTACATACCATGCCATGTCCGGAGTATTCCGAGTCTGTGGTGATAATGCAGTAGGCGGAAGAGTAATCACCGGCTGCGTTCATAGCATCTGAACCGGTCTTGTCAAGGGACGTCTATGGTGAGCTAGTCAGTATTGGGCTCATTGGGTGTGGAGAAATGCTTGGGGCACAATTGACATACCGGGAACCGCACGTCCCGCGTGCTGAAGCCAGTGATTTTGACCATTGTGAATAGTTGTAGATGTAAGTTTGATCTTAATGTCTAACAATAATGCTGGCACAAGGTACTAGATAAACAAAGTCAATCTAGGTCGAGATGCGAATATAGATCTGGGTATAGAGCTCCAAAGACACAAAAGAAAAGAGAGAAATATTCAACAATTTCAAAAGGATTCCACTTCATATATGTATACAGCCAATATATTCCCCCGCGCCTCCAGTTTATCCCACTTTAGTTTTTTGCCGTTCTCATTGGTGGAGAATAACAAATGCCGGGAAATTACGTTCTTCCACCAATGGAAGTGAAGAGAGTATAATTCGGAGCTATTCCGTGATTTACCCCATGCTACGTGGACGGTTGCATCAACTCGGACTAGACCCGATTTTCTGGAGTCTGGGGTAATCTCACAATTGATTCATTTGTGTAGAACTATTTCACTGGTTAGGCACAGTTATGTAGATTACGAGGACAAACCTCGCTTCTCGCTCTCAGAACAGAAAATGATCATCCGCCAAAGCTTGCGAACAAGGACCTCGGCCTCTTCGTCCAATGCCTATAGGGAACAGTGGTCAGTAACTTATTTCATAGACAATGAATGGGTCAATACTCACTTCTGCTAGTTGCTCCACCAATTCCTGAGGCGATCCATGCTTCCGCACATGTTCCTCCACCACATCGACCAACATTTGCTCCTGGACACCAAGATATTCGACAATCTTCTTCTCGACGAACGGCTTGAGCTGGTCGGTGATAACAGCATCGTCCACGAATTCCCACTTGACAGCCCAGTTCCACAGGCCTTCCTTCTCGGCCGGAATCTCTGCTGCGAGTTGACGGGCTGCTTGAGCACGTTCCTCGTCCGTGAGGCCTGCAGCCTCGGCGGCGGAATCGAATTTGATTGGAATAAGAGGGCGACGGGTTGCAGCAACGGGCTCTTCCTCATCCTCCAGCAAACCTTCCACATCGGCCATTGCGCGGCGGGTGGTTGCGGCCTGGGCCTTCTGCGCAGCGGCTCCAAGAGAGAGCTTGAAGCGTTGGGGTTCCCGCGGTGCCTCCTGGGGACGTGTCTCGAGCTCCTTTGCCTGGCGGGCGAGGAAGTCGTCAGCCATACCGCGAGCCTGCTCTTGCTGCTTGGCGGATTGAACACGTTCGCGATCCTCGGCAGCTCGATCAGCATCGTCAATCTTGGTCTCACGAGCACGGAAGCTTGCACGGTTCCGGAGCCAGGCACCACGGTCTGCGTAGTAATCGACCGCCTTGCGGCTTTCCTCAATATCGTCATTCCAAGCAGCAAGTCGTCCTTCCATCTCATCATGCGCAGCTTGCAACTTTTCATCTTCCTCATCTTCGCGCTTCTTCTCTCGTTCTAGGGCAGCGGTTCGGCTGCGCTCACGACTAAGCCAGCGGCGCTCTTGGTCTGCGAACTGCTTCTCTTTCTCAGCATTAAGCCGATCTTGTCGGCGGCGTTCAATTTCCTCGTCGCTGGCATCGGAATCCTCGTCTTCGCGGTCAATGGAGACTCCATTGAGGGCTCCGCCATTGACAAAAGCAACTCCATTCTGATAATCCTTGGGAATCTGGACACCGAACGCCTTCGGGCCAGAAGGTGCGTTAAACACATGACGATCTCGTGGGCCCAACGGAATACCGTTAGTACCAGCAGCAGGGCCACTGGGGGCAGATACCGGAGGCGAAGCAAGTCGATTGATCCGAGAGCCAGAATTGCGCGCACGCTCCATTGCCTCGATCTCTTCCTCGCGTTTCATACGCTCGATGTCGCGGCGGGTGCTT